TCCATACATGATGCGAATGCAAGAAGTACGCACACTCGGAGTTGATGCAAGCCCGGAGATGCATGGAGAAAAGATATAATAAATGTTGTATAGACTTTTTTTTTTGCTAGATTACTAATACTAATGGCTAACTATGATGATATCGCTCAACGCTCAAGGGTATATTGATATGAACAAATGAAACCGACAAAGGAAACCGACAAAAGAAAAATCAACCATTTAAAACACAAACAAAAGGGTAAACAGGGTATCTCGTAAAAAACAAAGACAAGAAAACACAGGCTTGGGTATCAAAAAAAAAAGAATAAATTGTGTGCAAGAAGAAGAAGAAAAGAAAAAGAGGAGGAAGAAGCTGGGATAAACAAGGCTGAGGCCGGAGAAGGAAGGGAAAGCGGTGAGGAGGAGATGAGGTAAGCAAGGCCCCCCGTGACCTGGACCACGTGCACTCAGCACGAAAAAAGAGTTGGAAGAACAAACGTAAGCAAGTCAGCCTCGGGGACGTTTATCCTTCTCTCTTTTCTATTTTTAACGCGGCTGACAGAGGGGGATCCGATGACGAAGATGGCACTTCTTTCCCTCAGGCTGTGGCAGAGTTGACTGACTGTGACGGTGTCAGCGAGCGCTGTCAAGGTTGGGCCTTCGTCGGGTGTTGTGTGCTGCGTGAGGCTGCGTGGTGATGGCGGTGATCGCAAGGCGAAGCGGTGAAACGTCCTTCCGGCCAATCACCAGGATGGTGAGCGGGAGGCCCAACATGAAGGGAAAAGGCAAAATAATAAAATTAAAAGAATAAAGTAAAACCACCGAACGCGCCTAACTCGCTGAGCCTTGGGCATCCACATCCCCCAAGTCTGAAGAGTGACTCATATTCTGGAAGTCTGTTTGATGTTGTGCATGTGCTGGATTCTTTTCGTGAACTCGTGGTATCATTTTGTGTTTTTTTTTTTCTTTCTTTGGTTGTTGTCTGAAGAATAGATGGGAGAAGTAAAAATCAAACTCGCTTCGAGCCGGTCGAGGACGCCACCGATGCCGAGGCAGAAGTACAGGCCGAAGCTGTCGTGCTGTTGCTGGTGGATGTGGTGGATACATGGGAGCGTCGTTTCTTAGTGCCGGCGCGCTTCTTGCGATGCCTGGCCGCCTGCGCATGCTCGACTGCCGCGAGTTGCGCCGCCCTTAGGGCCTGGAGTGCGCGAGCCTGTGCCTGTGCCTGCACGTAGTTACGCATGCGCCAGTCCTCGGTCTCGTTCATGTGGCGGATCTGTTCCTCGGTGGTCAGGCCGGGGGCTCCGATGATAGCTTGCGTCTCGTCCTCGAAGCTGTCGCCGCCGAACGGGCTGTCCATCGTCTGGTTGCCGCCGGAGGGCGAGATGGGGAACAGGTCTTCGTCAGAGAGATAGGCCGAGGCTGAGCTGGGGCTGTCATCCTCGGACCCTGAGTAGAGAGATGACCGGTTAGGCCACGATGGGAAGGCACAGGATGTGTTGCTTCCTGAGATCGTGGAGAAGGAGGTCTTGCGGGGATAGATGTCGAGCAGTCCATCACACGGTGAAGGTGGTGGAGGAGCTGGCTGTGGGAACGAAGATGGTGGTGATGGAGAGGAAGCAGCACTGCTGCCAAATCCGTAGCCTCGCCACATCTTGGTCTGGTAGGTTCGTGAGTCGAGGTTGTTGCTGTTGCTGCTGGTATATGATGATCCTGAAGAGGCTGATAGTAGAGTCGAGAGCGACGATGATAGTGATGGTGGGTGTATAGCGGTGCAAGCCATAAGATACTATCAGTCGAGTATGATTTATAGATGTTTGTAGCTTAGAAGCAACTGCTCTCGTCGATGTGGATTGTGATGTGGGTTGTGAGGAGACATCTAGACGGAGTGCGAGGGATGACCAAATATATATAAACAGGCGACAGCAAGAATATTGGATATATATGATAGCTCGTGCAAGGTGTGTAAGGTGTACTCCAGGGCTAGGGGAGTAAAAAAAAGCAAAAAATAACCATTTGCAAAAAAGCAAAGAAAAAAAAAAAAGGAAGGGGGAACAAAAAAAAAAAGAATGTTATATCATATGCAAAAAGCGAAACCCGAATAATAAAAAAAAAAAAAAAGATGCGGTGGAGCGGATTTGCATCAACCGGTCCCCCGGTCGAAACGCAAATAACCAGTCGTTAGCGTAGGGTGAGGCGTGTGGGTTAGCGTAGGGGGAAGAAGGGGAGAAGATCGTGTATTAGAAGCCAATACACAGACACACACCCAAAACACCCATCAAGCAGTTTAATATTAGTAGGGAGAAAGAAAAGAAAGAGTAGTAGACATAAGGGTAAAGGGGGGGAGGCAAAGACGAAGCTAATCTCCGTCTCCGGCACTTCTTGTCACCGTCTTGCAACACGGGCGGCCGATAGAGTTACCCCAGTCCAGCCCAGTGAGATCCTATGGAACGGTCCGCTGAGCCCGGGGAGAAAGATGTTGTATTGTATACTCCGTACAGATATATACATAGTAGTACGTCCTGTGTATGGCGTTTGATGTACGCACCCTGTACGGGAAGATTTGAAAAATACGCCTCCCTCTTGACTCTTCTCCGAACGGGTCGAAAGAGGATGAGACCCAAGGCTGTATAGGGGGGGCGGAAACCCGTTGATGGCAGGGCGGCGTGAGAACCTGGGGGAGAAAGGGAAAGGCGTGAACCATGAAGAAGAGGTCTGGTTGATGTCGACCTGCCCATACTATGGTGTACTCTGTACATGTGCTTTGCTTTGGGTTGTGATGGTGTGGTTGTATCCAACTTCCGTCTCTTCAACTGGCGGTCTAGTCAGCAACTCGACTAATCAGGTCGCAACGAGGACACCCTGGCGCAACGGGCGGTGACTAACTGCGTCTACCTGGCTGGGTGATGTGTGGTGATGATGGTGACGGTGAAGGTGACGGTGACGGTGATGCTGAAAGATGGTGCTTGCTGCTGGCCTTCACCGTCAAACTGTACAAACCTTTTGCCCGATCTCGGTCTGTCCCTCGTCTCCCTTTTCGTTCTGTTGTATCGTGGACTGGACAGGCGGTCTCGTCACAGGAAGGATGACCAACAGCAACCCTTCCATTAAGCATCATTTTCCTTTTTTTTTTTTTCCCTTCTTCTTCTTTATCGCCCTGTAACCATACCATCCCTTCCCGCGAAATGAAGCCTCCCCTATGGACGGACGGGAATGGCGGTAGTGAGACCTCCCAACTGACTGCCGCCGTTACACATGTAAACAAGATATCGGGAGGCGGCGCCAGGTGAAGCTCTCCCTTGTTTTCTTTTCATATTCTGATCGTACGGAGTATAGTTATCCTGCTTTCTTTGGACATTTTGCTTTTTTCTTCTTTCACCCCTCTCTTCTCTCACCTCTTCCCTGGAAATGTACTGTATTCATCAAGTGGACGGTGAGAATAATAAAAGGCAGAGAGAGCCCTGTTTTTCAGGATGGCAAGGCCTGGGAGTTGGAGCAATAACTCGCTCTCTCTCTCCCTGTTTTATTTTTATTTTTTCTCTCTCGTTTTACTTTGTACCTTCAAAGTGCGACTTCGAATTTGGCCTGCAGTAGTAATTAAGAATAATTGTTGCCTTGGGCGAGTGGTGGGTTTGGGCAACGAGTAAGAGAGAAAATCTGCCGGTTCCGGACCTGCGTCCTGCGTCCTGGGCCATCTGCGTGTTGTTCGAAGGGCTGTGAAAAGGTGTGGCATGTCTGTGTCTGTCTCCGGTCAAGGGCTGAGGCGACACGATGCTCGTATACTCTAGGGGGGGACGGACTAATATGTTGTATGGCCTTGTCGCGGCACGGTGACTTACTCCGGAGTCTGTTGGCAAGCTGACGCCGTTACGCAACAGCCGGTTACAGACAGTGTCAGAGTACAACAGACAACCAGCCATCCGCAGGAATGAAGATTATGTCGGTCGTCCACAGTTACTCCGTGCCTTAGCTCCATAAATTACCTACTCCATACAGAGTTGACCGTAGGGGAATTTACAAAAAAAAAAAAAAAAAAGCCGTTGGCGGAGTGCAGCCAATGCAGGGGGGCGCGCGGACGGGAAACAAGCACGCCCCGGAGATAATATAAATATAATATATACGTAATAACACATCATGCTGCGAGCCGCTATTCGCCCGTTTTAATATTATAGTTAATAGCAGCAGTAAATCTGATTGACTGTTTTATCTCCCATCCCCAGCGCTGTCTGGTTCTTTATTCCGCATCTCCGGGTTTCTTTCTTTCGCTTCGCGTTTGTGCTCCAGACACAAAGGGATGCTTATATATAAATATATTACTACGATGTATGCAAACTCTGGGGGTAGAAGTGCCGGGTTGTCGGGACAGACCATCCTCTTTGTCCATAATAAGCTGAGAAGTCAGATAGACTCTCCCGTACAGGAGAGCCGACAAGGCAGAAGAAGGAAAAGAAAGTCGTTGTGGTAGAATCAACCTGACTGCTCACCAACTGCCGCTGTATGCGATCTATCCGGTCAACGCGTGCTGGCTGTCAACCCTCTCAATACGTCGTATAATGGTAGGCATACCTCATGTATTATTAGGCACAATCCTGGTCCGGGGAACGTGAGACAGCGACTTGTCGGAATCGGATCCGCGATAGCTTTTTTTTTTTGGTTCGTTTTCTGCTTTCTTTTCTCGCTGTGTCATTTTTTCCGTATAATGGAAAATAAAAACGTAAAAAGAAATAAAAGAAGGAAAACAATTATACCGGCTGCGTAATAGGGGGAGGCGAGTTAGGTGGCTGGAAAGGTTTTGACTCGTGGAGAAGTCTGCTTAGCCCGATGGAGGGTTTTTTATTTTTTATTTTCAATTCACAATTCATTCGATTTGGAGACACACGACTTTCTGCCGTGGATGATTGGTCTGGCGGTTTGGTCCCTTCTCCTGGGTCTAATCTCCATAGCGCTGTACATCCTCATAGGTAGTTTGGTGAGGGACCTGAAGACGCCGTTGACAGGCTAAACTCGATGATCTTGAGTGTGGGAGAGTCGAGACCGTTAAGGAGTGGAAGGACCAAACGGCGATTGGCAAAAAACATCAAGCAGACCAATCGAGACTTATTATCTGGTGCCCAGGATGAAGTGCTCTGTAAAAAGAGGCTCCCTAGCCTTTTGGTTGGGTTCTCATCTCAGGACAGGCTCCCTGTGATGTAGACAAAGATTCTGCCTTCCAACCACATCTCCATCTTGAATACGCAAGCTCTTGTCTATGTTTCAACTTCCGAAGTTGCTTGACTCCAGGAGAAGGGTTCTGTTTATACAGAAAAGCGAGGAACCACTGACTCTTTGCCCTTGCATACACGTGTGGGTGCTGCAGACGCATCGAAAATCCGCCTTACTAGCTATCCACCTAACCAGCCATATCCATCACAAGAGGGCATAAGAGGGCCAAAAAAAGGAGGGACCACACCACCACCATCGCTGTCGTAGTCATCTTTATCCTGCACTAGTCGGGATGGCTGATCAAGCCGGTCAAAGAGGCAATCATCAACGTTGCAACGATGGGCTCGAGCTGTCTTCTACCGTTGCAAGCCAAGCACCTAGTCTCCCGCTGGATGGGAATCACCTCCTAGCCTATCCTTCAACAAGGGCTGGCCACGAGTGGATATCGAGGTGAGGTGTTAGGGCTCGAGAGTGGCGGACACTGCTGAGATTGGGGGGGGAGAGACGGCTGATGCTGCATGAACAACCTCAGGCAAAAAGTCAAACGAATCATTTGGCAGATGATGATTTAACTCGAATTTTTGCCCCAAGACATAACTGGGATTTGAAAAGCATACAAATATTAACACTCCCTACTTCCACATATACTTCCTCACATTCAACTTCTCGCATTTTCCCTGCTGACTGTCCGTATCGAAAATCCTGCCAGGGTAGGGAGAAAGACACACATGGTTCAAGAGACGTCCCAAATCCCTGGACCCCCACCGGCTGGGCTTGGGGCGATTCCACCACTCGGGGAGCTTGAAAAGAGAATTGTTGGACAAGACCCATCATATATGTACGACCGTACAGTTAGTGCATCTAGTATGCCCAGTTAGTGTAATTAAATATGCAGCATTAAAATAATAATCCGCCCTTCCAGCCCAACCTGGAATTCTGGATCATATTCTCACCAGAGGATTTGGGGGGGGATGGGGTGGAAGGGCTTGGACGGAAGGGCGGTCCGCCAGCCTCCCTTCCGCGTCCCCACATCCCAATCAGGGTAAAAAGGCATTTCAAATGAAACTAATGATCTTCAATAGTTGCTAAAAACGAAGAGGAGGGGGGGGCGAGAGGAGGAGAAAAAGTGAGGAAGGCGAGGAGAGAGAGGAAGGACAGTGTGGTGGTGGGAGCGATCGAATGTGATAGTCTGACCTGTGGAAGGTTTATCCCGACGAGACGGGCAAGGCCAGATCCCGGGTCCATGGGACCAAGTGCCTCTGTACCTGGACCGACTAGCTGGTTGCTGGCTGTCCTCCCCGTGTGTGCGCAAACCTAGAACTATCGCTAGAAAACTTGATAGTTCTCCAGACACACACACACACACACAAATGCACGGGGAAATAATATTTTATGATGTGGCAATATCTTGGATGGATCTTATACGATCAGGCTCGATCGAAATGCGTACATCTGTCGCACAGTGTAAAGATGACTGACGTGTTTACTCCAGTCCAGGGTGTAGGGAGTAAAAACTTGGTACAAACCTCCTCTCCTACCGGAGCACTTCATTATACTCTCATACAGCTTCGTTATTTCCTGATATGATACGCGGTCAGACCTCGTTACCTCCCCCCTCCTCTTCAATGGTGAGGGGAGATGACACGGGTTTATGGACGGGAGGGCGAAAGGGAGGCGTCTGGGGAGTTCGGGGAGGGTTGACGGTGGCGGCGCCAGTCGCCTCATGGACGCAGGTCCAAGGGAGTGGCTTCCAGCCCTTCGACTGGCTCCCCCGACGAGCGCAGATCCCCTTTACCACAGCATCTTCTTACGCACCAACAACCTGTAGAGAGAGGGAGGTTCATGTTTAAGAAGAGACGGTATGGAGTATACCCCAGACTCTAGAGCCTCTTCTGTAGGCGAGTTCCAAACATGCAGCCCGAGGGTGCCATCCCCAGGTTATTTTCATTTTTTAATCTTCCATGGCTAATATTAATTTTTATCTCTAGCTCAGATATATTGCGGAGTCTGCTGGAGGGGTCTGTGTACACACACGCATACATAGTAGCTGTATATGGAGCAAACCCGCGATCTCAGATCTCCCTTCGCTTCTTCCATTATTTCTTCTCCCTTTCTTCTTTTTCGTTGCTTTTTGTTCTTGATTCTTCAGGGGGGCCAATCAAATGAAGACTCTACTAGCCAATCACATGGTGAAGATCATGTGATATTATACTTAGATAAGCAGGCAAAGATGGGAGGTGTTGTCTGTTATTGTTGGATATTATTTACCATGACAAGACGTTCGGCTCGTTTTATCCCAAGTGGCTAGTGACCGAGTACTGGGCAGGTTGCAGCCCTGAAGCTGCCATCAATTACTACCCGCTTATTGACTATAGCGTATGTAATACCTGTCTGAATGCCAACTTCATGAGATCAAGAGCTCATTTCCACCCCTCCAGGCATAGCCATATCGATACCCTCCCCCGCGTTGAGGTACCCTCGCACGACATGATGCGATGGATCCCGTAGGCTGATGGGGCTCGGGCGGGCCGAGACAGGCTCATAGCAGGACTTGAGGCAAGCTTCTTAGCGTCATCCGCACTTCACAAACAATTATCCTGTTTATCCCATGTCTTCTGCTGCTATCCATCTTTCCCGCAGGATGGCCCCGATAATTTGCCCGGCTGGGTAGTGTTGTTTATCATGGACACCACCTGCCCTTCGATGATGCCAGCTGTAATGTCCAGCTGCGCGGATCAGCAGGCCAAAAATTGCGATTGATTCCAACACCACTCTATGGGCCGATGTACTCCGTATAGGGCCTACCACGAAGAGCTTGCTCATGCCGTCTTGTGTGTGAGCCACAACGTACGTTGCAGCTCTACTATGTAATACCTGGTTGGAGAGTCTCTAAGTGGAGGAACGAAATGCGAGCCGATAGTCCAGCCCTTTCGTATCGGTGAATAAACAACCATATACAACACAGTGAAGGAACGTCGTGGCTTCGAAAGATTATTTTCAATCGGGGATCTCACCGCTACTATAGGCAGCCACCTGGCAGCCATGGGAAAATCTTCCCCAATACACACAAGGGCCATATGGCTTGGCTATATCGTGGAGAAATATTGATCTAAGAGATCATTCTAGAAAGCGAGCTGAAACCGTCTGCTTCTACAGAACCTTTTGTTTAATAGATTACTCGTTAATTCAGCTGATGGCGTGGTTTAATAGTGTGCTGGGCAATAGCCGGGCGCCTGCTTCAACGTTGAAATTTCTACAACATACAGACTTTGGATGGAGACGACCTTTTAAGATATGTACTCCATAGCTGCAGCTAACCTTTGGTTTATGACAGCCCGCGACCAGTTTCTATATACTACTCCGCACGGTATCGTCTCTGTAGATATTGGCATCCTCCCTGGCTTGAAGTCATGCAGGGGAGGAAGATATAACATCTTTTGTTTTCATTTTATGATCCATAACTACCTCTAGAACACGGCACGGGGTACTCCGCATACACACCATAATGTAAACGCCCTGTGAGTACTCCGTATGGATGGGTGTGTTATTGGGTTGGCCCCAAATAATCCGGCCAGTCTCTTGGTATGGGCTCGGGAGCATATAGATCACATCAGATGCATAGAGTTGCTACCCTCTCGCTCGTTTTCCTTGTTTCCATAAACTAAATCTAGATTCTCAAAGAAACTAACCAAGGAAACGCAGTTAACACACACACACACTCGTGAGAGGGGTGGCACAATCGGTACGGAGTAGTTATATCTATACGCTAGGAAGTTATCTCCGTCCTTCAACGGTGGCCTTAATTTTAAACATGTTGATATATCGAACCCGCCTCCCCTCAAAGTAAACATCTCGATCCCTTAATCACAGATAGCCCACACTCTTGGTTGGTTGAGCTATACCTTCGATGAAGTAAAAAAAGCCTGTTCCTTGTGCGCTGTGTTTCCTTGTAATCTTGACAGTCTCAAAGGAATTGTTTTCTTTGATCTTCGAGCCACTAGCAGATCAACCGACGCCAGGTAAATCAGGAGTGGCGCAAGGTCTTTTTAATAGAGCCATAAAGGTTTGTTGCTGAGGCTGTCAAGGGTTATCAATAACTAAACAAGCCCTGCATTGTTTTCTTTGTTCAGTTGGCCTTGTCCTCAGAGTAGTTAATTATATAAACAACTAGACTACAGTTGCTGTTTCCGATAGCCTAGATAACAAAGAGCTGTCGAAGCATGGCTGAATGGAAGGGAATAGGATATGTTCGGTTGTATGGATAGTTAATAAGTAACTAGTCGACTGATGGGAATGGTGACACGACCGTAACTGGTATAAGTCGCGATAGTTGTCATGGTTAGCAATTAGTTATGACATGAGAATGATGAATGTATGATCAAATAACTCAAAAGGGTATATAGCCATGAACCAGCGGATGCTCTGTCAATGTACACATAAGGATAAGACAAGAGGGAACGTGTGCTAATGAATGAGAAATATCAGTACTTATTATCTGTTCTAACAGTAGGGCTTTCTCATACGACCAATCTCAGTAGAGTTGTCACTATATACATACACGATCTGGATTTCTATGTCATCGACTCAAACGTCAAATTAACTGGCTACAATAGCTAAAGTAACTTATCGTAGATGGTTTAAAGTAATTCATTGTAGGTCTCATAACACTACCAAATCCCATTCCCAGAATAATACGGAACGCCCAAGCAAACAATAGGAAGATTAAGAGCAATTGAAAAGGGATTAGGGCAGATGTGCAGGTACAACAAATGAAAGGGAAAGGAGGATAAGTGAGAAGTCAGTTATGGTCAATGGTAAACGTAACTGGTGAGTCGATCATTTCCCAAATTTTTTTTGTCTTCAGTAAAAACACTTTAGTAAAGCCCGAGCCCGGACGAATAGAAGAGGTATTAAAACATAGCACATGGAAAGTGAGAACAGCCTTGTCAAACAGTCAATTACATCAGGGCATTCCGAATCAACCAGGCGCCCTGTAACGAATGCTAGGAGCGATAGGTTTACTACAACCCATACGTTAGCGTCGATGGGGATAGAACTATAGGCGCAAGAGATATGCTTACAGAGATCTCATCCACCATCCCAAGGTCTTCGCCATTAGCAGCTGGTTGGGCAGGAGCACCATTGGCTGCAGGAACGGCAGCATTGGTGCTAGCCGGAGCTTCGGCGAAGTAGTCTTCTATTTCAGCATCAAGTTCTTCGGTAGTCTTTGATTTCGGACGGCCAGCATTACGTCCTCGTTGCGCTCGACCACGAGTATCTCGCTTTCGTCCAGCCTTTCCAGCTGAAGCTGGTTTGGGCTGAGCCTTTGGCTGGCTGCTTCCAATTAGAAAACGGAACTTCTCAAATGTTACTTTGGACAGGTGGAGAAGGAAGGCTTACGCGACGCGCTCGGTCAGAGGCTTAGGGGTTGGAACTGGAGGGGCGCGGGATGCGTCGACAACAACCTCAATCTAAATTGATTCTGTGTTAGCTGAAGATACCATCATTGCGGATGATTAAACGAGAGATCGTACTTTAATGGGCCGCTTGTCGATCAAGAGCCCATTCAGTTCCTTAGCAGCCTTGATGGCGGTTTCAGGGCGGGCGAATATGATAGAAGCAATACCACGGCTGGTGCCATTCTGATTATAGGTAAGCATGACCTTCTTGACTGGCCCGGCTGATTTGTGGAAGTATTCCTAGCGGTGAGACGATATTCATCAGTATGTTCGTAATTTGAAAAGACGAATGCCATGCCGGAGCGTTAAATATGAGCAATTGGAATCATCGGCTTTCGAACGAAATAAAGGAAAATGATTCAGTCACATCAGCGAGCACAGCACAACAGCCAGGTTAGTGGTTAGTAAGATCAAGATAAGCCAGGGTTGCTTGCAAGGAGTACAGCCTATATCCGGTCCAAAGACAGCTGTACCAGTCTCCTGTTGAGGGGAATATCCATATCTAAGGTGACCAATAACTCCAGTCGGCGGAAAGGGTAATTATGAGAATGCGTCCTACGCGGGGGGCCTGGAAGAGGAAATTTGATGACGGCATCTGCTGTGTTCGGAACGGTTGATTGAAATGCAAGCTCGGTCCATTAGTGTAATGCCATGATTCCGATAATATCCATCAACGTGGTTGACAAGTCCCGTTATCTTGAGAGCCACATGGTTTGCGGTAGGGGGAGTATCGCAGAATTATGTCTGAATCGATCGGCATGCTAATGAGGCTGAGCATTGTATTGGTAATGAAGATAATCATTCTGTGCTGTTCAACCGTTGCTGCGCTCGCTGATTCCCATCACGCCCAATAAAAGAGCCAAAGCGCTGGTAAATTTTGGGCTTATAATACCAGGGCAAGCCGTGTCGACTACTCAAGTGCACCCCACATGGCATATACCGGGATGAAATTTCAAGGCCATGACAGGATTCGACCTCCATATGACTTTGCATCATGCCTCAGCACAGGCGAGCGAAAGACAGGAAGGGATCAACCGTCAGATAGCGAAAAGAACTCAAAGCGCCATGGTGTACGCGCATATATGAGAGGCCATCACCACAAAGTATAGCCGCACTGAGAGCAAATCCGCTTCTTGGCTGGGAAGAGAAAAAAAAAGAAAGCCGACTCTTCCGATCGTCACGTTCGAAGCAAGATGACTGGAAACGGAGACGGCGAACCAAACCCCGGAGAGCGTCTCTATCAACATACCTTGATATTCGCTTCATTCACATCGGCGGGCTGGTAAAACGCGTATTAGTGACCGTAGCATTTTCGAATGAGGACGCAAGACTGGCGTGGGTGAAGCAAGACAGTGAAGTTTGACTTACCAGGCCGCTCACGATGATTTTACCCTCTCCTGATCCCACGGCAGGCCCAGCAGGTATGGCTTTAGAAGTAGGTTTGGCTTGTCTGGTGGATTTCCTGACTCCTCCAACAGGAGCAGCCTTTGCAGCCTTTGCGGCTGGGCGTCGCTGGTTGGTGCGACGCGCCTGGCGGCGGGTGCTGAGAATCTCATCAAGGGACTTGTCAAGCTTTCCAGACATGGTGATTCTTGAAAAGAGATGGTTTAGTCTTGGGGTTGGCTAGCGGTGTATAAGACTGGATGGAGTGAGTCGAGTAAGACGCGTTTGGATCTTCCCGTTTGTGGTGATCAAGAGGTTGGGTGTCGCAGAGAGCAGCGGATAAGATATAGAATTCGGTCCTTAGCTACGGCCGTGAATAACACAAGATGTTGCTGTTGTGAATGTGAGGGCAGTGAAGATGCGGCAGACTCTCTTCGTACGTGGAGTGAAGTCGAAAAAGTCGGAAGGCGAAGAAAGCAGAAGAAGAAGCGCAGCAAAAGCTGAAGGAAGAAAGAAGCTAAACTTTTTTTGGAGGACTTGGCGCTTAACCCCTTTCGGTCATAAAACCAAAACCACGTGATATTGCTTATATAATACTTGGAATTATATAATAATTTCGTAGCAACGGCTTGTTCAACGTCTCAATAGACTTTGGGAGCATATCAAAGTCTTCGCTACAATCCTGGGGCAGACAATAAATCAACACCGGAGAACGGTGCTATATTGATAGTCAACCCTACCAGAGACTGAAACCTTCTTACAATACACATTTGTTCTACATGAATCATGATGGAACTTCTACATGTGGCCCCCAATAATTGGGTGGCAAGCTGTATGCGAGTGCAATGTAGCCTGTTCGTGCAGGCATGCGGGCGCTTAGCAGTTGGCAGTGTTATCTTTTATCCAGGCTGCCATAAAAGTACCCATTGCTGAGCATTCATCTATTTTAGATGTCACACTTTAGAAATATCTATCGGTTACTTTGAGCATTTCCATTTTTATGGACTGTTTAGCCAACAATCCCGACCATGGAGCTTGGTGGTCTTGTCATTGGGGTCGCCGGCCTCTTTAGGGCATATATTGATATTCTTGATCGGGTCTCTTCCTACAAGGAATTCCCACTTCAGTCACGGCAAACCGTTGTGAGCTTTGAGGCAAACAGGGTTAGACTGAAAGATTGGGCCGCCGGCGATGGGATTGAGGACGGAGCTCTAAAGCAGAGTCATCATATCCGCCTTGACGAACCCGATGTAAGATCGGCTGTGAAGTCGGTATTGGAAGAAATCAGTCTCGATTGAGCATTCCCAATCTTGATCACGAGTGCCTCAAGTTATCGCATCCCCGGCTGCGTCCTCAACGCCAACTTCCCGGAAAAGTAGTGGAGTAGTGAGTAAGGCAAGTTCGAAACCCTCCGTTAGAGGTGGGATTAGCCGGGCTCTCAAGGGAAAGAAAAGCTTTATATCGCAGGTTGAAATGTTTGGGAAGTTTGTGGACATGTTGCACAGGCTCGTTCCTAGAGAGCAAGATGGGTACGAGGGACCCTTTTTCTTAACTAATTAGCGTGAATACCGTTTATTCTAACTTAGACATACCATAGGTCAGAGGTTCTTGTTGAAGACTTCAAGGTTTTGCTTACACGGCAAAATTCTCTTGTTCAATCGCAGAAGAGAGCCGACGAGGGCTAGATGCCGCTGAAACCGATCAATAATACGAGAGACACTTATCTGTGCGTCTAGACGGTACCCGTGACTGGATTTCTAGCGATGCTGCATACAAAGCCTGAGGATCAGATACTTCACTCGAGACACTGCCAAATTTCTTTGGGTTTGTGGCCCTGCAGGCTCTGGGAAATCTGTGCTGTGTGCAACAATCGTTCAGCATTTTACTGAGAAACCAGATCATCCGTTAGCATATTTTTTCTCTACGGGACACGTCCAAACAGGTGGCCGTCCAGACGATGTGGTTCGATCATGGGTTTCCCAAGCAGCACGAAGTAAGGGAAAGATATTAGAATTGGTTCCGCAGGCAATGGATCGGGTTGAAGCCGGAAGAAGGGCATCTCAAGCCGAAATAGTGCAGCTACAGAGGCCTATACAAATATCGTTGAACTCCTTGTTAATAGGGAGGTAAGCCTTAAAGATGATGTCGGCGAATGTTAGCGGGGGCTACATTGAGATCGTTAAATTCCTTCTTAGCGGGGGAGTTCGTTCGGACTCTTTCCCTATACCTCCCAAACTACCACCGCGTTATTTAAGGCTGTTTATAGAGGCTATACCAACATTGTTAAACTCCTACTAGAAAGGAGTGGACCCCGATATTCATTCTCAGATGAGAAGGGAATACCACTGATGGAAGCCACGGAGAAAGGCTTCATCAAGATTGTTAGAGCTCTTGTTAAAAAGGGAGCAATCGTGGAATTACATGATGGCGCTGGAACTGACCCATTGGTTGTAGCAACCCGCTTATGCAATGTTGAAATAGTGCGCCTACTTCTCTCGGGGGGAGCAGACCCTCTCCGACGCAGTGCACGTCAAAATACCCCTCTACTACAGTCGGCTATAGGGAGGAACGAGACGATTTTTATACTCCTGGTTCGTCACTCACCCCGCCAGTCATTTGTACAATACTACCAAAATATGGGGATCTCCTGAACGCTGCGGCGTACGGAACCTTAGTATTGTTAGAATCCTTTTTGAGAATAATGTTCATACGGGACCTCTATTAACTAAATTGAATTACCGTTGCGGCGAACTTCATTTAAGTTCAATATCAACTGTGAACATTATTATGTTTATGATGGGGCAATATACGGCTATAGGGGGACATCTGTAATAATACATTGTATAGAACTATTAAATTCCATCGCGACCCTATGCAAGAATTTGGCTCAGGACAACAGAGGCTGACAAAACAGAGGCGAAGTAGAGATTCAAAATCTTCATTCCAGCACCAGAGTGGGAAGGCTTCTTGCCATCCGGCGAGTTGGAGTTTTCGGTCGGAGTGCCGGACGTGTTCTCTCCAGGAACATTAGCCTGGTCTTCTTTGAGAATCTTGAGCTCCAAATTGCTAAGGAGCTTTCCATCCTTAGTGAATACCTTGGTGTCAGTCTTGGTGTTTTTGACCTTAACGAGCTTACCCTTGGGAGGGTTCTTGATGCCATTCTTGATCAGCTCATCGACTCCAGCGGGTCTCTTTGGGATGTCAAACTTCTTGAGGAAGTTGCTGGAGGTGATGAGGCTGGGTTTGCAGGTTGGCGGCTTAACGGTAGTGGTGCTTGGGTCAAGGGACTGGAGTTTCTCGATGTCAAGTTTCTTAAACTGGCCGAGCAGGTTATCGTAGTCAATAAGGAGGGTGGTATTATCCTTTCCGCCAAGTTTGACCAGCCCGTACTCATTGTCCTCCTGGGAATATTCGTAGATCAGACCACCACACATAGCCTTGGTCATTTCCGGGCCGTACACGGCTTGAACCTCAGTGAAGATGCGTGGCTTCACCTCATTGCAGCCGTACTCGGAGAAAAAAACCGGGACAGATGTTTTCGAGAAGAGATCTACCAGCTTGTCGTATCCACTCTCCGTATAGCTAGAGTCACCGCACCAGGAATAAGAGTTGACACCGAAGAAGTCAGCATTGGAGGTTGGGGATTCTGAAGACTGGCAGGTGACATAGTTCCACGAGTCCTTCAGTACCTCACGGACATCTGCGGCGGAGTAGCCAACGGGGATCTTGCGCATGGAGTGTTGGGCAATATAGTCCTTCAGATCACGTTGGATAGCCTGCGACGCGTTGTTAGAGGATATGGAAACTGTATTCAAATGTGGTACACACTCACACGAATATAAGCAGGAACATCCTTTGCAGCATCTTCGTTGATGATCTCGTTGCCGCCAAAGAAACCGAGGAGGTTAGGATAATCCTTGAATGCCTCCACCATGGAGAAGAGACGGGTCACGAAATCCTTGGTGTATGAAGAGCTGGGTTCGGCACGGTTCAAATACTCTCCATAAATGGGGGTGCTAACATCGAGCAGCAGGTAGATTCCAGCTGCATTGAAGATAGATACACACTCATCATGGTTTAGAGAAGGGTCGAGGTTGTAGATACGAATGGTATTAACCTGCCAACCGCAATTAGCACTCGTGATACAAGCAGCGCAGAGGCCGTAATGGCGTCTGGAGAGTACATACACCAAGGCGCTGGAGAAGAATGGCATCCCGCAAGCAATCATCGGCGCTTGATAGAGGGTCCTTGCCGCTTTCTGGCTTATATCCAGACGAGCCACCAGGTTGATAGCTGTAAGAAATGCGCATTAACTGCCAATGCCCATGACGTTTTACACCGTATAGATCAAGGTAACGCACTCGACACCAACCATCTGGAAACGGGTATTGGTCTTCAAGTTCACGAACTGCGAGCCCTGGACGTCAACGGGGGTCACGGCCGCAACAGCGGAGAAGAGGCCGCAAAGCGACGCAAGCAAGGCGAACTACGGCGCAAGAAGAGAACATATATCAATCGCTAAGCCCATAGAAAGTAGAATCCGAGAAAATCTTTTACTTACCTGCTTCATGATCGTAGCGCGTGTTACTTTCGCTCAGCGAAGATACGGCGAAAATCTAAGGAGTGACAAAGGCGCAACGCCGGTTCAAAGGAGTGAATAGAAGAGAGAGACAAAAAGAGAAAAAGGAACGAACGAATCGTTCCTTCAACCGACAGAGAGATCGACTCTTAAAAAGAATGACTGTGTGAAGGGAGCGGTTCTCTATCGAAGCCCCTGGCGATATTGGTCAATTTTTTTATATTAAACCAGGTCCCTGAAGGAACCCAAATAGTCCGCATTCCCGAGATGCAACCTTTCATCTACCTTGGCTGTTTCAAGTTGCCGCCCACAAGCTAGCAAATAGCAAAGGACGCTGTACTGGGACCATGGCGACACTAGAGTAATAGCGGGCCAGGTTCATGGATGGTCATGAGATATGTCAAGATGGGAGATTTTGTAGCCAGAAGAACGGAGATAATACATTTGATAGCCTTATAAGGTATGTGAAAAAGGTGTCGTTAAAGTACAGTGTAAAAGATCCCAACCCGACCAGCAGAACCGCAAAAAAGGAATACAACAAAAGAAAAAAAAGAAGAATTCCCAGGCGCTTGTTCGAGTGTTCGATCGCCGGTAGCTGCGGCCAGTGACTATCGATCCAAATCCAGCCACTGCTGAGGTATAATAGATGGGGAGAGATATGGGGCGGATTACGATGATTTCGTAGCACCGCTGTGGTTTTCTTCGGCTGGCGGAGTGCGGTTGTAGTGGTGATAATTCGTTTTTCGGGTGAACAGTTTTCTACTCGACGCTGTGGGCGCTGTCGGCGCCACTGTCGCTGGTGAAGGCACCCAGCTTCAACGCCGGATCCATGGCAACCATCTCAGCTAATATTTCAAGAACATCCTTTGGTACGGTTCTGTCGTAGATGGAGATGAGGTCTTTGGGCTGAGGATAGACCTTGAGTGCCTTGTAGAAGGCTACGGCAGCTTCAATATGGCTAGAGCCTAGATTCAACAGTTAGATCCAAGCCTAGAAAGAATAAAGGCGGTCAATCCATGCATAACGTACTGTCTCCACAGAGCGCTTCTCCCTTCGCGACCTGGCTCATAAAGAAGCCTTCTCTCTCCTCGAGATCAGCTGGGAAGCCCTCGTCCTTTGCATCGGCTACTGCTTGTCTGATCCTCGCCATCTGCTGAGCCCCATGGGCCTCGTTCTCTTGCCGCACCGTCCTTGCCAGGCGGCGGTTATCTCGTTTCAATGCACGACGGAATTCCGGATCGGACTGTCTTCTGTAGTCAAAGTAGATCGCATAGGCTGTTGATGAAAATTTCAAATGGTCAGCAAACAGGATCCTTTAAACAGCATAGTCTGCATCAAACACAGCATCCACAGAGCGATTGAGCTTTTACCAAGTAGTCCTGTAATGACAGTGCCAGCCGAAACGGCCGCTATTGTCGATGTCCTCATTGTCGATGGGTTATGTGAGTCTTTTGGAGAGAAGGCGAAGAAGAAACGAGAGCAGGAGACTTTCGATCAGACAGCAATTAAACAGATTTCAGGCAAACCAGCTAAAGCAACAAGGCGAGAGACGAAGACGAATTTCTGAAGTGCGATGTCCTTTTTTTTGGTTCAGCTTGAAGAGAGAAAAAGTTGAAGCTTTTTTTAATCAATTTTTGTTCTTTTTTTTTTTTCCTTTTCTCGGCCTTCCCTTTTTGGGTTTCGCCCAACGTCAAACGTTCATCATCAACATCTTCACTACAGACAACAACAAATTATTACTACAACGATATCGGGTTCAACATCTTCATATTCCGGTAGAATAAGGACGAGAGCAACCATGGATGTGAAGGGCCTTACACTTCGAAGCAAGGCCTCTCGGCGTCGCCCCAAGATCAGTGCTCCTCAGCCTATTGCTAGCCACAACTCCGCAGCGCCGGTAGCAGCAGGACGGACCCCAGAAGCAAGACACCACGCGCAGCCCAGTGATGCTACTGCGGATCTAGTCAAACGAAGATATTCTGCAAAGTTCAATACCCTTCCCGGTATTGACTCGGAAGCTCCTCCAGTCCCCAGCCTTCCAGGCGGACCGATAGAACACTTTGCTGCTGATAGAGAGCCTACCGGCGATGCACAGCCAATTCGCGTGGATGTGAACGCATTGAGAAACCCAAACTTGCCAATTGAAAGCTGTAAGTATAAGTAACCTTCTATGTAGCTATGTGTGTGCTAATAAATATACTCCTTATAGATGTGACAGGACTCTTAGAACATGCCTCGGAACAGGAGATACGAGACTATCAGAGTGACCTGCGGAAGTTAAAGAACAAAACCTCCTCTGATCTACAGCAGAGTGTATATCAGAACCGCACTCAGTTCATTAAGATCAGTAAGGAAGCTGAAAAGCTGAGGGAAGAGATGAGCACCCTGCGAGGCCTGATGTCGGAGCTTACCACCACTCTGGGCCAGGCGAATGCAACAAATGGAACGAATGGCGCGCAGCCAGGATTCGAGGATACGACTACCAGAAGACATGCGCATCGTAGCTCCATCGCTAACCTTGAGAGTATGTGGAATACCCAGCTGCAACAGTTATGGAAAAATGTCGAGCGGTCTCAAAAGTACCTTCCAGCAATACCCGGCCGACACATAGTCATGGAATCGAGCCAATGGGTTGAACTTGACTCTGCCACCTGGAAGCCGAAACGCCCGGTTCACATCGTCCTTCTTAATGATCATTTACTCATCGCTGCGAAGAAACGAAAGCGTGTCGACCCCAATACGGCTAATGGGAAATCCGTTTCTGTTCCAACAAAGCTAGTAGCAGAAGAATGCTGGCCACTACAAGACATTGATGTGATTGATCTTGGGTCTGGTTTGGATTCGGGTGAAGACATGGATGAACGTGGTGTGCCAAACGCCGTTAATATTCGATACGGTCAGAGCTCCTTTACCTATCGTCACGACCAGCGAAACAACAGGGTTAAAAATGAGCTGGTTATGACTTTTCGTAAGACACTGGAGGAGCTTCGTAAAAGTCTAAAATCAGAAGCGGAGGTTGCTGCTAAATCCCGGGAAGCACTAATAAATAGCAGCCAGCCTGCCTCTCGCCGGCACTCCGAATTTCTGGATACCATGGATCCCCGCGATAAGTTAGAAGTCTTGATTGATGTCGACGGGAAGCAACAAAATATGAGATGGGTGGAAGGGCAACTTGACGAACTTGATATTGACATCGCCATCCAGGTGTTTGAAACCGCGGTTTGTCGCGTTGAGAAGCTTCGGAAGCTTGCCAAAGGGCTGAAAGGAAACCAAACTGCCCAAGACGCGATTAACTCCGGAGTAGATTCCAGAGCAAGTAAACTTGCTGAAATCCTCCTACGTGCCCTTGTCGATACCAACTCGTTCATGAATGCTACCAAGACGAATGTTGCCTGGTTAACTCGGCTAGGCTACGACGATCGAGCTCGAGAGGCTTACCTCAATGCCAGGAGCCAAATTATAACTAAGCGTGCCAGGTAAGTTTCACTCCCAGCTTCCTCTATTGAATTCGAATAACACCTTATCCAGGCACTGCGTCTTTGAGGGAGACTTACTGCTGTACATATTTCAGATTTCATTTGTGTACTTCACCATGATAAAAAACACGATCGCCATCTATCAACAATGTTTCCCATCCCCCATGTCCAGTGCCAGCATTAAGTGGGGGAAAGACCATTTGGATGACTTTAACGCCACATTAAGCCGCCAGCTTAGCAGTGTCGAGCCGAGCAACCCCGTGTGGGGGAAATGCATGGAAATAGTATATCAGCATGCTGATTCACTTTCAGAGGTTGGAGTGGATTTCAAAGATATGATTCGTGTCGAAGGCCTCATCGTCAGATCTCCCGACGGCACACCAGCAGAGTCATAGAAGCCTCCCAAAATACTTATTTAAACAGTCTACCCCAAGAATAGCTTTTTTTTAAAACATCACAACTGACATTAAACAGTCAGGTATAATTGCAATCTGACCGCCATTTATTTCTCTGTCGAGCAATTCTATATAAAAAGTTCCACATCTATGTCCAGATGTCATCCCATGCATTCGCAGAAATAGTTTGATTTTCTTTCAAAGCGCAGATTCTGAAGCCACTGGATGAAGCTCCAGTGCTAATGCGTCCTGCTAATCCCCTATCATTTTCCAACATGGTGGGCAGCCTCATCCAATGAGAAATAACATCTGGAAGCTCTTCTTTGATGTGGCTGATGACGATTAGAGCCTGAGAAGCTGTCAATCCTCGATGTCGAGCTTTATGTATGGTACCAGGTTGCAAGAAAGGGAGATGCCACACATTAAAGTCGGAAATCCGACGTGAACCAGTGCTTTCTTCTAAAGTTTCCCCAACTTCAAGGAAATGCAGGCATTTGTCTCTCAATGATTTAGGCATTCCCGAGAAGGCCTCGTCAAGAACAATGAGGTCAGGTTTATGGATCACAGAACGTAGGAACAAGACTAGACGCTGTTGGGATACGTCCAGCGATGAGAACAGGGTCTTGTCTGCCCAGAGAATAGAGAGATCGTCGCCCTCATTATTCGCAGATGTGGCGGGCCAGCTGATTTCGGGACAAAACTCGGGGTGCAAGTCCGCTTCAAAAAATTTTAGAGCAGACACCACATCAAGTTTTCTCTCTTGATTGAGCTTCGGCCTGGATAGGAAAGTATCTGCCCATGCGGACTCTATAGATGATCGTATAGACAAGCTCCTGGGGAAAAATGCATGTATTTCTGGAGAGGAGTGTCCAATGCGTGATTGAAGATCAAACAAAGATATGCCTGGCTTTCCAGCTTCTGGAAGCCGAGATTGACCAAATAGGCGGAGCGGCAAGGAGTATGCCTGCGGGTGGTCTGATGTGATCAAGGATAACAGCGTTGTTTTCCCGGATCCATTGAGTCCAAAGACACCCCATCTTTGGCCACGACGAACCTCCCAGTATAGCCCCTCTTTTTTCTCTCCATCAATCATTTGGTCCCAGCCCCCAAGGACAGTCTTGTCTCCGTATGATACTCTAACTCCGTCCATTTCCACAATTGGCTCTCCATACTTGGTGACTCGTTTCAACTCAGGGCCCGGGCCTCTTGACATTATCTCAAGATCATGAAGCAATGCTATCTCAGACTCAAATCGACCTTTAGTTAGTAACGCCTCTGCCTGATCGTATTTCCGGCGGTCTTGAGCAGAATATGCTGCATATTGATTTTCCTCACTACCAGCCCGAGGAAGGAGTCGAGGCTTCGAGGATTGTACGCTTGATTTTGGAGTTAATTTTCGATGCACAACTGCTTTCCATATATCTAACTGGTTAAGCACATCGCTTTTCTTTCCTTGGATGGCTACTGTGTGGTTTTGGTTTAGTATGATCAGGTGTGTTATCCAACCAGGGACTGCATCCTGTGGCCGTAGAGATAAAACGAGTTGTGGTGAACCTCTCAACGAGATATTATATAACAATGGAGAGAGTGCCTTAACAGTCGGAGGATCCAAGCCCACTGTAATATGCGTAGTTAGTCTTGATAGACTATCATCGTTTAACAGCAACTGCCAGCAAGGTACGTACTGAAGGGATCATCGAGCAACAGCACTTCGGGCTTATCTAGTAACGCTTTTGCAATTCGAGCCCGCCTTGTTTGGCCATTGCTTAAGTTTGATAATGGCATTTCTAGTAGGTTCTGCAGGCCTAGGTCGGCAATGACCTGGTGTAGCAGTTGGTCAAACTCGTAAGATACACCTTCCATGCCTTCCAAAGGGTTGAGCGATGTCTGGCCTCTCAGAAACTGCAGCACGGTAAAGTCTGTCTCTTCTCTTCTGCTTTCGTATCGTGCACTAAGATACGAACCACGCACTCCGCCAGCGTCCCTTTTGGCATCTCCATCGAACCCTATGTAGCGGATTGCATGGCCAGGATATCGAAGGCGCGGGTCCTTTGAGGAGATCTCCTCTGTTGCGAGAAGAGGATATGCTCGAGCTGTAGGTGGTATGCAGATATGTCGGCCACAGAGAATTTCTAGGAAGCTTGACCTATCGGAGGACCCAATTACAGCCCAAAAGGGCTGGTCCTGGGGTCGTCCAGTACCATCGGCTTGCCTTGCTCCATGATTGCTAGACGATAGCTCAAAGCTCAAGTTGGGGTAGAGTGGAGGATTATCTCGCTGGACGCCTTCAGTCGTTGGATAATGTCTGTAAAAAGTTGCATTCTTAATCTTGATTGTTGGTGGGCTGTTCTGGGCTGACAGCCTTCGCACCGAGGTTGTAGGGAAGACCGGCATATGCCATCGAGGGCATCGTAGACGGTTAACCATGCCGTGCACTTGGGATGCACCAGAGAACTAGAGGTATATGCGATATTGGTATATCAATCATTAGCCGTATCCAGAATTTAATAAGTTCTTCGTCAAATTCGCGTGTTTGATATCGTTTGTTGGCGGTGCCGAAACTGGAGAGTGGATTGACTAGTTGACTAATTAGTGATGTAGACGCTGAACTTGAAGAAGATAGGAATCAAGTCGATCAAGCAGCGGTTATAGAACATGGAAGCAGACGTATATCTGAAAGGAAAACAATAGCTCTTATAGCTACCTGACACTAGACTAGAAGCCGAATATTAAACAAAGAGAAGGTATTATAACGCCAAAAAGGACTCAACACGTAACGCCAAAGACAACACATAACACACATAACTTCATCATAAACGCCTGGTTATATATACAAGACATACGGGGAGCGGTTTCGTAATAAGTTTATATCTACGTGACGTTTTGTCTAGTTCCTAAAAGAAAAATAAACGAGGCAAAAGAAAAAAAAGCATGAAATCAAACAGAACTTTTGATTAAAGCATATACGGCAAAGAAACTGGTGAAATCAGGCGTGCAAGACGCCCGTCTGTTATGTGAACTAAGGCGCCATAACTAAAGCCAACAACGCCATGCGGCAGTAGAGTCCATATCTCATCTAGAAAACGAGGGTAAAGATTAGTATTTGATTGCGATGGAAGGAGGTATCGGAAGGTCAACTCACCTGTCTAAAGTAAGCAGCACGCTGATCAAAGTCCACCTCTTCGTCAATTTCTGCGTTCCTTGGGAGTGGATGCATGACAACCATCTGGCTCTTAGCGTGCTTCATGATAGCATTGTCAATGACAAAGCTATTCTTGAGCCTCTCATACTCTTCTTGATCCGCAAAACGTTCCTTCTGGACACGAGTACAGTACAAGACATCAGAGCGAGCAACAATTTCCGGAGTCAGCTCGTTGGTTTCAACGATGAGCTGGCCAGACCTAACAACCTGCTGGCGAATATCATCTGGCAGTGACAAAGGCTTGGGTGAAACAAGTTGTACACGAACTTGGTAGAACTGGAGTAGCTTGATGAGAGAATGCACGGTTCTTCCGTGCCTTAGGTCACCCGTGAACGTAACAGTAATTCCACTGACGGTACCCAATTCTTCGCGAATGGTGAAAAGATCAAGGAATGCCTGGGTAGGGTGCTCTTGGCTTCCGTTTCCTCCATTTATAATGGGAACTGGGGAGAACTTGGCTGCTGTGGGCGCACTACTCTCTTCGGGATGACGGAGGACAACGGCATCAGAATAACAAGCAAGGGTGCGAATGGTATCTTGCAAGGTTTCACCCTTTTGAGCGGAGGAGTGCTGAGTGGCAATTGGCACAGTCCTACCACCTAGTCTTTGCATTGCCGTATCAAATGAGGCTGAAGTGCGGGTTGAGGGCTCGTAGAACAAAGTACATAGAACGCGACCCTTGAGAATGTCAAGAACTCCTTGACGCTGAACTCCAAGCCGCATTTCTTGAGCTACCGTAAATAGCAAGTGTAGATCGGTTCTATTGAACTGATTGACTGAAAGGATATGTTTATGCCTAAATGTAGAGCGGGAGAGCAGCTCTTGAAGTGAAGGGGTTCTCCCTGTGGATGGAGTAGCATATAGCGGCGGCCCAAGTTCATCGGCCGTGGCAAGAGAGTCCGCCTGTTTTAACGGTGATGGGCGAGCTTGGGGAGTAGTTGTGAAAGACAAACGCCGACCAATCGAACCTACTGCCATTGGAGATCGTGGGGAGAGCTCCTTGCCAGAAGGCGATTGGGGTGGCGCTAGTGTATGAGATGACATATCCGTACCTTTGGGCGCATCTGAGAGTATTTCATTGTCAAGGCATGCGGTCTTTCCTTGGAAATTAACACGTTGGATTGAGCCACGCAATGTCTTACCAGCGAATGGCGACCAGATACCGTTGCTCCCGAAAATATACGGGCGATCAACTTCAATTTCCACAAAGGTTTCGGGCTGGTCGTGCAATTCGAAGATCCTCTTTGGATTCTCATACAGCCTCTTAATAATGTCATCAATGGTTAAACGCCCTTCTGCTACTGCAGTTAAAAGGATGGGAAGCGCATCTGCTAATCCAACCGTAGGGGATGCCTCTTTTCCAGCAGTTTCATATGGAAGACTTCCAACACTAAACACATCGATTGTACTAAGGTGTTCCCAGAGTGATTCTTGGGCCTTCTTGGTTGGCAGATGGCAACTCTGTGGGAATGTTTCTTGTGACACAAACAAGGAATAGATGGAAACATCACAAGTCACTCTGAGCCCTTTTTCTTTGCTAAGGGCGATAAGCTTGATGTCCTCTTGAGATGTAACACTCATGACATGCACATTACGATTGTGGAGGCTAGCCAGGAGAAGGATCGAAGCAAGGTCTGTACCCTTCGCATCGGTCATGATTGGCTTGTTGGATGGCCACGAGGCGAAATGAGTTGTGACTGTTGCAACTTTGTTGATGTTTCCGGCCAGGTGATTGAATGGAATGAACAGGGAGCCAACCTCGCTAGTTATCAGGTCTACTTGATCTGCATTCGTGGCGGTTGCAGTCACCGAAAAGTTATAATCACAGTAGGAGCCCTTTTGAGAGTTGAGCTGGGCTAATTTCAGAGCTTGAGCGTCGGTGACAAAGCTATTTATTCCTACAGGCATGACGCGGATCATGGAAAAACCAGCAGCAATGGATGCCTTGGTAACCGCCTGGAAGTCAGTGGAGTCTTTCTCCGCAATACCTGGGACAAAGGCAGCAATGTTAATAAGTCCAGGCAACGATATGGTCCGATGACTCGTCTGGAAATCGATCGGCTGTACACTCATATCATAGCGTCGGGACATGGCTTCGATCAAAATCTTTGCATTCTTGACGTTCGTCACAAGCGGAGTTTGGTAGTCAACAGCCATTCGTCGGGTACGATAACCCTTACTCATATAGTTCGCTGGTCTTCTAAACTTATTGCTCGAAGGAAGGTTGATGTAAAGGTCGATGAGGTTGTTGGCTAGATGTTGTGTGAGAGAGTATTCTGATTTCAGATCTTCGCCATCTCCTGCCAGTAACTCCAAATATTTAACTGGTATGCCATGCTCGCGTAAGAAGTCAGCTGTACCAGCCGTTGCAAAAAGGTTGAAGCCCATTTTATGGAGTTTAGTGATAGATGGCAACATCTCCACCTTATCTTTGAAGGATCCCATTGAAACAAGGATGTTCTTCTCGGGCAGCTTAAATCCAGTAGATATAAGGGCCTTCAGGTAGGCCTCGTAACGGTCACGGCCGAAACAGGCAACCTCACCGGTGGAAGCCATCTCAACACCAAGTACTGGGTCAGCACCTGAAAGCCGGGAGAACGAGAATTGGGGCACTTTAATGCCGACATAGCGTTGAGGAATCGCCACTGGTGGGTATGCCTCAAATGGCTTTCCGATCATAGCTTTGGTAGCCATCTCAATTAAATCGACGCCCATAACCTTTGAAACAAACGGGAAAGATCGTGACGCTCTGACGTTACATTCAATGACCTTGATCTCATTATCTTTAGCAATGAACTGGATATTAAAAGGCCCAGTAACGTTCAAGGCATTTCCAATTTTGCTGGTTGCTTCCTCAATTCTCCTTACGGTCTCGGGGTCAAGGTCCTGAGGTGGAACAATTAATGTAGCATCGCCGGAGTGGACGCCAGCATTTTCAACGTGTTCAGAGATAAAATGGCCACACATAACACCATTTTTGGCAACGGCATCCATTTCGATTTCCTTAGCATTTTCGATATATTTCGTTATAACAACAGGATGTTCCCGGGAAACCTCGGCCGCTTGGTCTAGATAATTGGCTAAATCGTCTTGCGAATAGACAGTGTTCATGGCTGCTCCTGAGAGGACGTAGGAAGGTCGAACAAGAACAGGATAGCCAACCTTGTCACAAAATGCCGTAGCTTCTTCAATGCTAGTAAGCTCTTTCCAGGCGGGCTGATCAACCCCTATCCTGTCGAGCATACGGGAGAATTTGTAGCGATTTTCAGCCGTATCTATCATCTCAGGAGAAGTTCCAAGAATTTTAACATTGAGGCGATGGAGAGGCAAAGCGATGTTATTCGGTGTTTGTCCACCCATGGAAATTGCCACTCCACTGGATGACTCCAGCTGGTAGATGTCAAGAACTGTCTCCAGGGTGATGTTTTCAAAATAAAGTCGATCGGCCTCATCATAATCGGTACTGACGGTCTCTGGATTATAGTTAACCATTACTGTCTTGTATCCTTGCTCCCGAAGAGTACGAATCGTTCTAACTGAGCACCAATCGAATTCTACAGAAGATCCAATTCTGTAAACGCCCGAGCCAAGGACCATAATACCTTGATCGTCAAATGTCACATCGTTCTCAGATCCGTTGTACGTGAGGTACAGGTAGTTGGTAAATGCGGGGAACTCAGCTGCTACTGTGTCGATTTGCTTAACAAAAGGAACAATTCCTGCTTCAACACGAATACGGCGGACCGCTAGTTCATTGGAGCTTAAAAATCTTGCCAATTGGCGATCAGAGAATCCAAGCTGTTTGGCTTGCATGATGAGTGGAACCGGAACGGTCGTAGCAGTATAGTTGCTCATTTGTTTGCCGAACTGACTCAAGCCCTCAAGTTTCCGTAAGAACCACTTATCAATCTTGGTCAATTCCCATATTTCATCAACGGTATAGCCGGAGTGCATGGCATTTGCGATAGCAAAGAGCCGCTGATCAGATGGAGTCTGGAGTTCATTCTTAATGGACATCAATGCACTCGTTTCGTTGAATCCTAGATTGTGGAAATCAATGGCTCGAATGGCCTTTTGAATGGCTTCTTCGAATGTCCTTCCAATACTCATAACTTCTCCTACACTCTTCATCGAGGAACCAAGTTGCGTCGATACACGAGTGAATTTTTTTAGGTCCCAGCGAGGAATTTTAACGACAACGTAATCCAAAGAAGGTTCAAAGCAGGCACAAGTAACCTTGGTGACAGAGTTGGATATTTCGTTTAGGGGAATTCCAAGGCCAAGTTTTGCCGCAATGAACGCTAGGGGGTATCCTGTAGCCTTTGATGCCAAGGCAGAAGATCGTGACAATCGAGCATTGACTTCGATAATACAATATTCTCTCGAGAAAGGGTTGAGGGCATACTGGATGTTACATTCACCGACTACGCCGAGGTGACGAATAACGTTGACAGCAGTAGTGCGAAGCATGTTGTAGTCCTCGTCAGATAGGGTCTGGGAAGGCGCAACAACGATAGAATCACCGGTATGAATTCCTAACGGGTCGAAGTTCTCCATATTGCAGACGGTGATGCAGTTATCGCGGGCATCTCGAACAACCTCGTATTCAATTTCTTTCCAGCCTTTCATACTCCTTTCTATAAGGACTTGAGGGCTGGCTGCGAATGCTTTGGTGCAAAGGTTGCGGAGTTGTTCGTTACTTTCGGCAAAACCACTTCCCAATCCACCTAGAGCATAAGCGGCGCGGACAATTACTGGGAATCCAATGTTTTTAACAGCCTCCATTGCTTCTTCTAGGTTAGAAGCAGAGGCAGATTTGGCACACTTCTCGCCAATGGCTTCCATGCTGCGAGCAAAAAGTTCGCGGTCTTCGGTTGTGATAATGGTGTCGATTGGTGTACCAAGGACCTGAACACCGAGCTCCTCAAATTCATCCTTTAGCTGGATACCAACTTGAAGGGCAGTTTGTCCACCAAAGGTGACATATATCGCATCAGGCCGTTCGCGCTTGATGACCTTGCGGACAAAGTCAGCATTAACGGGAAGGAAATATACCTTATCTGCGAGGCCCTTCGATGTTTGAATGGTGGCAATATTAGGGTTGATAAGAACGGTGTATATCCCCTCTTCGTTCAGCGCTTTGATAGCTTGGCTACCTGAGTAGTCGAACTCTCCAGCCTGCCCAATACTGAGACCACCGCTGCCCAATATTAATACCTTCTTGACATGAACTCGAGGGTGGGCAGCGATATTCTCTTCAATGGTTCCGCCTGGGAAACTGACAGGTTTGTTTAGAGCATCCTTAGATCCAAGGCACTCCCTCACTGTGTTGATAAAGACATCGAACAAAAACTCAGTGTCCCGCGGTCCAGGGGTGCTCTCGGGGTGGAACTGCACACTGAAAAGCGGGCGACTAGCATGTCTGATACCTTCGTTGCTAGAATCATTGGCGTTAACAAACAACTCTTCCCAACCTTCTGGAAGAGTCTTGGAATCAACGGCATAACCGTGATTCTGGGACGTAATATAACAGCGCCCTGAGAGCATGCTTGTGCAGGGGATGTTGTGTCCGCGGTTTCCGAATTTCATCTTCAGTGTGCTTGCACCAGCTGCTCTTGCGAGAAGTTGGTGGCCAAGACAGATACCGAAAATTGGTGTTTTATTCTCCCTAATAGCAACCTTCAAGTGGGCAACCGTGGAAGTAAGAGTGGCAGGGTCACCAGGACCGTTTGAAAGAAAAAGCCCATCATATTCCGTGCCTGCAAGTCTAGGGAAATCGTAGTTCCAAGGAACGACGAGGACTTCGACATTGCGAGAGAGAAGACATCTCAATTGGTTGTATTTCAAGCCAACATCTATGCAGAGAATACGAACAGGGCGCCCTGACGGGTGTAAAAGGGGCTTCCCGGGAGGAGTATAAAGCTTAGGTTCCTTGATTGACACTGCATATGGTTGAATTAGCCTCCGCCAGTTATAGCTTTACGATGTATAAGCGCTTTTCTTACCATCATCAACTAAATTCCTCTTGTTAGGGTCCTCCCACTCCACCTCTTCATAGGTTTCTCTCCAATTTTCCAGTTGCTGCTCAATAGCATCACTCTGAGCCGCGTGTGTTTTCTTCTGAAGAAGTATGCGTCCAAGCATGCTGCCCTTTTCTCTGATTCGTTTGGTCAAAGCCCGTGTGTCGACCCCGTAGATAGCTGGAACATTCTGCTCCTTTAGCCATTCACCAAGGGAGCTCTCGGCCAAGAAGTGCGAGTAGGCTTCGCCACAGTAGCTCGCAACCACTAGGCCGGCAACATGGATCTGGTTCGACTCAAAGTGCTTTGGTAGGTCCTTTAACAATCCATCCATCTTGTCACGCGACGGCACACCATAATTTCCCACAAGAGGAAATGTTATGACTAGGATCTGGCCTCGATATGAGGGATCTGTCAAGGATTCGGGGTACCCCACCATACCAGTCTGAAAAACCAGCTCTCCGGCGATGCTCCTCTCAGCTCCAAAGTTGAATCCTTTGTAAAGAGTGCCGTCCTCAAGCTCAAGACAGACGGATCTGCCATTGTTCGAGCCCAATTGCACAGAAGCTGGAGAAAACATGGCTCCGTTTAGGATTGTCCGAGAGCCCTGGAGCTCGTTGTATGCGACGATACCGCCGGATGAGGGGCTTGAAGGGAAAGCTGGCTCCCGGACAGGAATCTCCAGGTTCTTGGGTGCCTTTGGTTCGGGTGAAGAGGGAACGGCAGGCATGTTGCCGCCTGGTTGAGACCGATGTTCTCTGGGGAATAAAAAGAGCTGTGCTTGTGTTTCACTCCGACATAAATTTCCCGGCGGATGGTGATATTCAACTTGTGGGTCAGCTCAGAAAAGGAACGAAGAATAGAGCTCTAGTCTGCTCAGCCAACGTACTTCAGGGTCTAGCAGTGAAAGGCGACGCTGTTCCTGTGAGAATTGAGTGTTGACCGAGCAAGGACATGTTGGGAAGAAGAGGAAAGAAAAGAAAATTTCTAACCCAGCAGAAAAAAAACGTATATATCCTGGTCCTATGGTTGGCGTCCAGGCAGACTTTGTGGTGGCTTGCTCTAGTTATGTAAGCACCGCATCGGGTTAGTCACTTTAAACTGTGTAAGGCGGAAAGCAGATATTCGCACGTGACATAAACTCTAGGTTTGCCTTTTTTTCCTCTCGCTCTCTGATTGGTGGCAGAAAGCCTCTTTTAACCTCCCACTTCATCGATTAGAGGGCCTGTGTAGTATCAACATAGACATGGAGATAGATATATACAGAGAGAAGGGGGGGAAGTGCGTATTCGTCAATGCGTGATTATAGTGGTATGGAGTATGACTGGCTTGTAGAGATGACAGTGATAAGTTGCAGGGTTTGTTTGCTGTCCCAAGCTTCGACGCTAGTTTATGCAGCTTAGCGAGACAAGCGCGGTTGCCGGTGCGTTGGAGACAGGAGGATACCTATCAACCCCTAGTCACCAGCCTATTCCGTAAGTAGTTGTTTGATGGCTGGTATATAGGCAACCATGGCCTGTAACTGTCAATGGAATGGTCAATAATTCAACCTTAGTCTGCAGATCTGTAAACAATGATTAACACTTTCCAAGGAAACATGCCACTTATGTGAAACTAGCTCTTATGGACTCTGAAATATCTTTAAAAAAACCCCTATGTCTATGCTAACGATCAAGGGGCTTGCCTCGTCCTCTCCAACGTTGCATTCATCGTAGGCAATATCAAAGGTAAGAAAAACGTTCTACCGTGTCCCCCAACAACGGCTCCATATCTCAACATGTCCCCACCGTCACATGTGGGGTGTGATCCCTAGCTGTTTGGTCTGTAGTTATTACTGGAGAGCACCTCCGCGTTTCCATGAGCAATTTTGTTTGTTCCGTGCACAAGCTGTGTAACTTGTTGGCTTAGCGGTCGCCTTTATTATGATCGATACTAATAAGTATTTCGTAGCTCGCCACGGAAGGCACTTGAAATGCTTATCTGGCAGCTGAAGGCAACAACACCCTGGCCGTTCAGTAATCACTTCAAAATTTCAGTACAACTCCCAAAATGCAGTATTACAAATGCATTGGTAGTAACTTGAAGACAGGATGCAGCCAACATCGGTATAATAAGGCTCGCATCCTCCAGACCAAAAGTGCGGGGCCATACGTCAAAATAACGCTGGTAGATCCGGTTATAAGGCAGGTAGCACCCCAATCCCGCAGGGTTACCACATGTTTCCCTCTAACCAGCGATATATCAGCCATGCAAAAGCCAAAGCTATAGGAAGGGGTAAATCCAAATGAGGCCTGCTCGGTGTTTCCCTGGAATTGGGTTTCAAAGGCGTCTTCTGGCCAAATTTGAGAGCACGCTGTGGAAAATGGATTTCTCTGGCCATCACCCTCTATTGTCTACCCAACCGGGACTGGACACTTGTTGCTCAGGAATAGGTGCCATTTCATAACTAACTTCAAAATCCGTTCTGCGCATAATCTCCTCCCTTGAGTCAGTGTCGGTCCAGGTTTTGTTGGCTGCTATCCTGCTAGAAACGGCAATAGACGCAGTATACCCGGATCGGTGATTGTAAGCAGTAGGTCGTGAGTGCGTAGTAAATAGAGATTTATATGACGCAAAACACGACACCATCACTGCTACAGTCGCCTCCATTGCACTCCAGAATAATAGCCAGGATGGTGGTGGATGCTTGGATTTGCCATCGGTTTCAAGGTTGCGAAGAATTGCCATTACGACAACAGCGAGGCCAAGCATGAAAAGGCCAACAAGGCCCAGTTTTTGAGAATTGGGGAGGGAAGACTTGAGCACAAATGCAACGGGAACAGACATGACTAGTTGCTCCAATTAGTCCAATTCTAAGTTCATATAGGGCTATCGGTGTGCGGTTTACATACTTAAGATATCTGTAATGACATCGCATATCGTGGTCACGTACATGCTGACAGCCTCTAACTTTAGAGTTCTCGGGGATAGACAGCCAACTAGAAAGTTCGACATTAGCTGTGGGTGTTGTAATTGAACGGGACAGGCTTTTACTTACGAGCAGTCACGGATGGACAAGCAACAGGAGGTAGTATAACCGAGGCCGAAAATCCCACGATTGTAATCACAGAAATCACCCACCAAGCTCGCCTGAAAGCAGGGAGAGTGCGAAAAAGCCTCCAGAGAAGAGCAAGTAGACTGGCCTTGACAGAATATATACAACATCTGAACAAGAAGTTGCTGGCGAAAACTAGCTTCGCCAGCCTATCAAAATCGTTCAAGATGCCTGGCATCAGCAGTGCCTTGTTATTTTCGTAAAGGTGAAGTAGCAAGTACACGGTTGGTGTAGCTAAAGTTGCCAGAACGTTATGCCCTAGAAGAAATATATACGCGAGTCCCGCGAGGATGTCATCCCAAAACAATCTTCGATGAAGGCGTAGTCTGATCGCGAAGCGACTAACAAGCAACACGGTCGCAAGGCCAAAGCCTGTCCACAGAGATGCCTGTGAGGAGCGTTCAGTAACTTATTTCAGACAAAAGTACCTTTTTGTGAGAGTTAAACATACCAGCAGTTCTGTACGACCGATTTTCCGCGCAAGAACCAGCTTGTCCTCGGCACCCATTATGAGAACGGTTATCCTGGATGGTTTGTGCGGATAGTGCTTTAGCAACGCGCAATTCTAACGGCTCAAGTGGTGATGGCCTTCGCCATAAAAAAGCGAATAACTCGAATAGAGAAAAAAAAAAATAACCTAACAGTGAAAGCAAAGTTCGGGGTTTCCCAGTCGGTATTATAATATAGCAAAATGGACAAGGTGTGCTATGGCGCGACCCATTTTAACACTCTCCCTACCCCGTACATAGTAGAGTATTCCATACATAGTATGCAGACGATGGATACTTCGTATCAGATTTCCGCGTAAATCGTTAATCAGGCCCAAGAAGGAAAAAATCACTTGGGTAGTGGTTGCTAAAAAGCTGAGATTTGATCGAGACAGGTATAGATCTCGATCTTGGGCTGGAGCTAGATACGGGGTAATCTCCACTGGTGGCGCACGCCAGGGGGAGGATCTGATCAAAGGTCGATTCAAAGTTCGTTCGTCAGTCACAGAATAAAATCTTCTCGTGTCGCACGCTCTTCCACTCTCGGAGATACCGATCGCTTGAGCGAGACCCTTGGGTTGAGTTTGAGTCCATGCTGGATTGAGGATGACAGCCCGTTACTTGGGAATTAGGTCTTTGGGTATCCTCCGTACGAATGAATCTGTACATAGTAGGAATGGCCAGAACGATTTAAAAGTTAGCCTATGTACTTACTGCGATCACGGCTGTGTACAGAGGACCTCGTACAACATCTTTAATTTTAAGCGGCCTGACTGGTTAATAATGTGACAGTACGCATTTGGCCAAGGCAACATAAAGCATACATAGTAAACCAATAATCAATCAAGGACCAACTGGAACAACGCACCATCTGTTAGAGGTACAATGGCTAACCAACTCTAGCTAGTAGCATTCTCGGGGTTTGTTCCAACCAGCACAAAGGAACTGATCGAGAAGGCCTTCGCGAAAGTGAGCGGTGATTGCTAAGGAGAAGACGGAAGTTTGTGTCAGGAACAAGAGGGACGAACTGTGGTTCGGTTCAACTCTAAGAGGCCGTTTCGAAAGAGTATCTGCATATGAAGTGATTAAACCCTGTCTGGATGTACTATGTGCGCAATCTCCGGCAGGCTGGGCGTCAGACCTCGTCTAAGAGGATGGCAGTGTGTATCGGTAGGCAATTAACAGCGGTCCCCTCCGCACAGACTTCGAGTTATGCTGCTGTTCATGACTCGCGAGGAAGTCCTGCCATGGCTGGGGCGCACTCATCTCCATGCGTGTACCCTGCAGATCCGTAAATAATATCTGGTTAAGCAGCGTTGTTACATAGTATGCGACTGCAACTGGACATGAGATATCGAAGAGCCTCAACCCTGTTAAGTGTATCACGTGATAAACATATGCTCGCCTGGCTAACATCAAACTGAACAAGCCCGCTGTTTCTGGTGTTTTGTTGCCTTCCTCTCGATGGGGCGAGTCGTTGCCGAAGTCCTGCCGATGCAGTGGGATAGCAAGCTTAGTTCGCCTCACACCGGTGGATCGAAGGGTACCCTCAGTCTCATTCCTCACGAACGCTTTCGTTCCTTTCGCCCTGTCTCAACGGCAAAAACACCGGCGACTCTCAGAGCGAGTAGATGGTAGTTTCACGGTAAAGCGTTCCGAAATCTCTCTTTTTGATGGTTTTTCCTAAGTTAACCGTTAGCCTCAGGGCGTAATACTCTTTCCTTTTTTTTTTTTTTAAGCCACATATCAACAACGTTAACCTCACAAGCCGAAAACCTGTCAAGCTTGGGCAGCTTAAACTTCCCAAGACCGATGTCAAACGCCCGTCCATCGTCTGCACACTAAACGAAACCTGGAGGCTTGACACCGGAGTTCCTTGCATCTGAAGCTATCATGTAACTCACAGGGATGTCTCGCATTATCGCTCCTTATCGACCCTATCATGTGATGCGCCTAGCTCAAGGATTTGCAACACGCAAAATCAAGGAAAAAAAAAAACCACCCACCAACCCACTTGAATACTACGATTGTCGGCCAGTTTTGCGTTCCTGACACCTTATTTCTTTTGTCACGGGAGGATGTTTTGTTTTCATGTTTAATGGCGTCAAATTGTTTCCTCATGCTCTTTCGGCATCGTTGGCCCTAGGGTAGCTTGGACCCCGGTTTGAGTGAAAGCTTGACAGAGAAAAGTCTCGTTGAGTAAAGAAATATATCTCTTAACGAACCCTAGGTAGAGATGTTTTCCTCTCTGTTCCGGCCGAAGCGGAGGCAGAGGCGGGGCATCTTGTCACCGCCTAGGTCTGTTGGACAGGCTGAAAGAGATATTCGCGATTCGACGGCTGATGTCCATTCTGAGGCTGATGCCCTCTTTGAAGAAGATAATATCGATGAATATGAGGTCAACGAAGAGGAGTACGAAGACGTTCCTGATGGCGAATACCAAGCTCCCCTGCTGCCTATGTTTTCCGCTCCTCACCTTGGTATGAACTCAGTTCGGCCTGCTTATAACATGCTTTTGAGCCTTGGTTAATACGGACTGCTGGTATCTAGATGCTCTCCCTGTTTATCAGCTTACCCACGATCTGCGTCTACTAATAGCATCCCGTTGTGAGACGACGTTGACATGGGATCAACTTCGATCTCCTCAGGTGTCGCAGTTTCTGCTGAAACCTATACAGCAGATCATCCATTCCAACCATCTCTCAAAAGCCACTCTTTATGCCCTGATGGTCAACTGTCTCCAGTTTGATAAGGAAGCCACTTCTAACCCTGGAATAAGTGGCGCTAGTCGGACAAGGGCGATGGTTTGCGAACTGCTAGCCATCAAGTTGCTCAAGGAATACACAATGCGAAGCCTGATAGATGCATTATCATACGATTTTCATCCCCTTCAAGGGCAGGCTTCTAAACCGTCTACTGGGACTTCAAACGGTCGAGCATGGGATAGTAGCCAGGCATCTCGCAACCTACTAAAGGATGTCCGAATTTCGTGCTTAGAAATCGCTATTAGAGCTCAGGCGAAACGATTCTTAGCTCACCCACTCGTGGTCCAGCAACTGGAGGCGCTCTGGGCCGGTACTATTGTCTTCTACTCCGCAGCAGATAGCTTACATCGGCAGCCTACTCGGGATGCCCCTTCCCATCAGCAGGGGTATGGTTCTATCAATATACTTGGACCCAGGCCTGGTGCAAAAGATATATCCTGTGCACCAAACAAACCTGTGTCCCGCCGTTCCGTGTCCCTCTATGACCCACGAGATGCGTCTCTATTCAAGTTATCTAGATTACGGGTTCCCAGGTACCGCCAATTGTTATCTACGCTCTCCTATGCAATTTTACTGTGCCTCTTCCTCATCTTGCTTCAAAAGAGACCACTAGACCTCACTGGCTTGGAAATGGTGTTCTGGTTCTGGAGTGCTGGGTTCATGCTAGATGAGATTGTTGGCTTCAATGAGCAGGGGTTTAGTCTTTATTTAATGAGCTTCTGGAATATGTTCGATGTCGGAATATTGCTCCTACTTCTTGTTTACTATGTCTTGCGTCTCTACGGGGCAGTTATGCCCCAGAAACAAAAGGCTTATGCTGCAGGACTTGCGTATGATACCCTAGCCGCGAATGCGGTGCTTCTATTTCCGCGACTTTTCTCGGTACTTGACCATTACCGATACTTCTCTCAACTGTTAATCGCATTTCGAATGATGGCGGCCGACCTGATAGCGGTGCTCATTCTTATAATTATAGCGTGTAGCGGGTTCTTCGTCGCCTTTACATTTTCTTTCGGTGACACGAATGCCTCCCCCAGCTCGGTTGCCTACGCTTTATTTCAAATGGTTATGGGTTTTACCCCGGCGGCGTGGACCCTTTGGGATAGGTATAACCTTCTTGGGAAGATTATATTAACTCTCTTTCTGTTTATATGCCATTTCCTCGTCGTCACGATCCTAATTACTGTTCTCACAAACTCCTTCATGGCCATTGTCCAGAATGCACACGAAGAGCACCAGTTTTTATTCGCAGTGAATACCATTTCCATGGTGAAATCGGATGCTCTCTTTTCATATGTGGCACCGACTAACGTACTGGCTTGGGCGATTACTCCGTTGAGATTCGCTATGCCGTTCCGGAGTTTTCTGAAGCTGAACCGCACAGTGATAAAGATAACGCACTTCCCAATCCTGTTTAGCATATATCTGTACGAGCGTACGATACTGAGGTCTGCCGCCTTTGAACCTACGGACCTGGTTAGGGGCCGATTCAATCCTTTCAGGCCTGTTACGGATCGAGAACATTCCTTTGAACCGTTCACGCCGCGAAATATGTTCCGTGTACGGGAACCATCAGTTGCTACTCATCAAAAGGATAGGGCTCTAGATCAAGTCTTCCACCTCTCCCATGAAGGCTCTACGTACCAAGGAAATCGACAGAGTAGGGCACGTCAACGCCTAGCAACTACAAACGTAAGTAATTGGATGCGGAATATTGGTGATGGGAGCTCTAGGGCGCCACCTGAGGATCAAGATCGAAAGGTTGTCGAAGACCTAGAGGCGAGACGAGTCTGGGTCAGTAGGTCACAACGGCGACGGAGAAACAGAAGGTTGAGTGGGCGTGATTTCACAGAAACAACTCGATCCTTCGCCTCAGATCCAGAAGACTTTATGAGTGTTGCATTTGACACAACGGAGGTATCCAGGGCTCCGAAAACGCACTTTTACCCTCCGAAGGTCATAAATCCGCCAGCACAAACAGATGCCGAGGTGCAGGGGGATGACGAGTTGAGCAGTGATGAAAATGGTGGAGGTGATTCCAGCCGAGACGAGATTTTACCAGATCACAAAAATACCCAGGAGACTATCTTTCCTACGGATAACATGCTTGAAAGTTCGATAGAGTCGCCGCCGATACTTTCAAGGCCGTCGACAGCCCGACGATTTTCACGAAGGAACAGTCCCTCACGCACCCCAAGAACGCCACGCCGGCATCATTCGAGAAATCCTTCCGCCGCGACTATACTCTATAACCCAGTTCCTCCAGTGACTACTAAGAGCACAGCTGTTGCCAAACCTCCATCATCACCCAGATATGCCAAAGCAAAAAGTGGAACAGCAACTCCGAACCGGCGTCGACCACCAAGCAACCTGAAGACCGCCCAAGTACTTACCACGCGACCACGGCCGATTCCTCAGCCTACAGCAGCGGCGTTTTCGGTTCCTGATAATGGCATACAATGGTCACTGAATAACCTACCGAGCCAACGACGTCGTCCTTTATCACTCACTCTAGGCCTAGGTTCTGATATAGGCGATAATGAAGCTCTTGGTGGGGGTTTTGTAGGTGGAGTTCCCGGAAGCTTCACCACGCAAATGGCATACGCTATGGGGGGCATGCAGCAGGATCGAGGAAATGACAATAGAGACATGCTTAACCGGTTGGTTCTCGCGCGGATGAAGACTCTGGAGGAGAGCTTCAGGGATGTCTTAAACGAAGTGAAGGATCTCCGCCACGCACCTGGGAGAAAAGAAAGGACACGTCCAGTTCCCTCTCGCAGACCAGCAACCACTACCAGCAGTCCGAAACATGGTGTAGACATGCCGAGCAGGGAAGAAACTCGTAGGAGCAGCGACAAGCGGCTGCAGCCGTCATTTGGGCCAAAAAATGAGCCCCTTGGTGAGGAGGACTCCTCACCGGAGTTTAGGCCGAGCTCAGTGTGATTGTAGATACTAGATAAGCATAGCTGTAGATTGCACTAGATGTGACTGCCTCTATGTCCATCTGTTAATCGTCCTGCATAAGAATATAATACAATAATCTGTATGAATGTTGCCAAGCCACAGCTGTGCAGGAGCTTGTTCACACTAGCGCGCAACTTCTACTGCGATCCATGCTGTAATGCCTGGCTGCAACTTGCCTTGCATCAGCTTCACAGTCGTACACAGAGACTAATCTCACGTCAGACCAGCAAGCAGACGCTGGCCTAAAATTCAATCCAGAGATAGCACGTATCCGTCTTTACGGACTTTTGGTCCACCTTTTTCTCTCCATTTTTTTCTTCTCTAGCACTAGTGGAGAGTTGTTCAATCATGGCATCTTCGTCCAGGGCGTCAAGTCCGCTTCTCTAGTAAGTACATCTACATGTAGATGGCTATTTTTATTTGATTCTTCTAGGAACGTTTGGCTGATCTATCGACCAGTGCCTGCATAGCTCACAGGACAACTATCCTCACAGAGCACTCGGTGCCTGGAACATCGTCTACGTCTGCTTCGTCATTAGCATCGATCATCCTCCCCAAGATATCTCACGATTCCCCGCAGAAGCTCACCTATACACATGACCGGCTATTCATTCACTATATTGCTGATTCCCCCAGTACCACTTCGGCGCAGGGGAATGGACAGACACCAGATTCCCACTCAGCGTTGAGTTACCTAGTTGTTGCCACGGCCGAACAGGGACGCCGTATTCCCTTTGCATTTTTGCTTGAAATGAAGAGAAAGTTCCTTGCGAGTTATACTCCAGAAAGCACTGATTATGCTGCATTACCAGCCTATGGATGTGCCGCTTTTAACAATGATCTTCGCGCCTTGCTACACACCTTCAATACAACACCTCCTTCGGATTCACTCGCCTCGGCCAGGAGAGAAATCGACAATGTACGAGATATTATGACAGAGAATATCGAGCGTGTCCTGGAGAGAGGGGAGCGTATCGATACCTTGATTGATAAGACTGATAGACTGGGAAGCAGTGCCCGTGATTTCAGAGTGCGTAGCCGGGACCTACGACGTCGAATGTGGTGGAAGAATACCAAGGTTATGGCTTTGCTGATAGTGGTAGTGTTGTTCTTGATATATCTATTTGTAGGCATGGGATGCGGCCTGCCGGCGTGGGGAAGTTGTATTGGACGCGGAGGCCATCATGAGGAGTAGAACGATGGCCAGCCAGCAAGCCTACTTCCAAGTGATGTTTAATTTCTTTGGCAGACACAGTAAAGTTCTAATTTGGTTATTTCTGGTATTTAGTGCAGTTTTTTTTCCCTACCCCTTTATGCAACGTTATTTATTGGGGTAATGCTTAATATATAGGTGTAGCGTTCATAGTTGATACGAGAAATGCAGAGGTCATGGTCGAATGTAAAGCTTTGGCAACCCGAAAGAAGATATGCTACTTTATCACGTCGATTTTGGAGATCTTTAGGTGTACCCTGCCATCAAACCCGCTTTCATCACTGAAAAATATCTAGAGGCAAGTCTGCAGGCAGGGCTATTCAACTCTCTTGCCTCTCACGCTTTTTGTGGAGGAGATCGAGGAATGTTCTTCATATTCGCCAGTCGTTTACCTCGACAACCATTGAATGTAGGTTGGCGAGGAGATAATACGGGCGGAAGCTGGGCTGGGATGATATGTTAGCCCAAGACTAGGAGTAGAGCGGGAGAGTTGCAACCGCTAGAGGAAGGGTTATCTATGAAGAGGTAGAGAATCATGTAGGTTTTTTTCATTTCATATCATGAAACAGAGTAAGACCTTGGTATTTCCAGACCATTGAACACTGGGGAGAATACATAGGGATATGAAGCATTCAAGACATGACGCTCAAACGGAACTTAGGTCCGTTAGAAGCCCGGCACAAGCATCGAAGGCACAGACTGGTATAAAGAAGCGTCCTAGCACACTTCAGTATCAAACCATGGCGGAAAGGCGAGAAAATTCTTCGAAAACAGTGACATTGTGCTTTATCTTGTTCGTGCTTTTCTTTTCCATCTGTATTTGGTTTCCGCTCCTACCCATTTAAACACCCAACGCAATTACTTCCCTGACCACCCAACTCGACCGGCTTAAGAGGACTTGGAGGCTCTGGCAGCGCGACCTTTGCCGATTCTTTCGAGAATGCTCTCACGGTCTTTGTCAATCTTCAGCTTGGTGATGACAACTTTGGATGGGTGAATTCCTATCGGGACAGACTGGCCATTGGACTTCTCACGGCTGACTCGTTCAACGTGGACGACATATTTCAGACGGTAGACGGACGTGATCTTTCCCTCTCGGCCCTTGTTGGTTCCCCGCACAATGGTGACCTCATCATCCTTGCGAATGGGTATCGATCGCACCTAGACGTGTAGTACCCGTTTAGACGAACATATTCTCTTTGAAGTTTCCTCTCGTGCTACTTGGTAGTAGTATAGGTTCACGGCACTGGATATACACGTACGTTGTGCTTCTCACGGAGTTCTTTGCTTAATGGGGCGCTCATGATGGTTCGTCGCTCGCTGGAGGGAGCGCTAAAGTGCGCCTTGCGCGACTTCCGTCGCGAGCAAGCAATTGCTATAGTAAAGTAATGGTCCACGGTCAGTCATCTAAAGACTCCAATAACCCAACCTGGTCAAGATGTCGAGAGAGAGAGAGGATGCCCACAGCCGCCAGTTCTTCGACAAACGGCGCAACCAAGAAAAAAAATATCCCACGTACCTGTGTTAACCTTAGCCATCGTAGCAGATCGAGTCGTAATAAGTGACCTGACACCGAGCGAAGTGTAGTTTGTTAGATGTCGACGGCGTGTTTTCTTCTTGTTCAAAAGTCGAAATTCTTTTTAGTTGCAAAAAAAGAGAAACTTGTGGGTCACATGACTTGAGCTTCCATTTACCTAAGCGCGAGCTAGGGTTTGCTGACTCAGCAAAGCCTTAACCGTCGAAGCTTTTGAAGAAGCGCGAGAGTAGAAGAAGCTCGAGAGACAAGACGCGGAGACTGAAGAGACCAGGAGGGTTACAAGCTGGCTGTCTGGGAAATATGGTGCTTGCGCACCCATGTTACTCGTCTCTCTGCTTTACTGCGGTCTCCAAATACCCAATAGTCAACGAATCCAAGAAGTTTTTATCGTGTCCGCAGCAGAAGGACCCGAGTCTTGTCTGATAAATATCTTTGGAAAATAGCTTAGACATGGCCTACAATGGATACGGTTATGCCCATTATCAACACACAGATGCGCGGACGCAGAACCAGACGCCGTACGCTCCGTCATCCCAACCCTCCAAACCAGCGGACGGCTCCCTTCAGAACGACCACCAGAATTACGGACAACGACATGGCGGCTGGGGTGGACAGAGTGTATCTGGAGCGCAGACTTCGAATCAGCAAAATATCAGGAACAGCTACTGGATCCCCCCTGCAAGCAATACCCCGAGTCAATCTACGGCTTATCAGCAACAGGTATCATATCGCATGTCAGATACGGAGCAAGCCACAAGTTCGACGCGTCGGTATAATAGCCAACCACAACCTCAGCACCGTACTGGCACGCATGGTATGAGTGGTTATAAGGCTGAATCTACCTCAACTATAAGCGCAAGACAGAGTATGGCAACTTCCGGTACTCATTACACTACCAATTCTCCGCAGGAGCAGACGGGGGTTACCGCGGCTTCTCATAATTACCGGTCGAACACGCCGTCACATCAACCTGACTATATGCAGAGTTCTCGCACTGTCGCAGCCACGGCGATGACTGCTCTATCTTCTGCTTCTCAGCACACCTATAACTATATCCAAAATACACCGGCCACTACATCAAACACTAATCAGATATCAAATCCCTCTCAGTATAACATTTCAACCAGCGGCACTACGGGAAGCCAGCTAGGGGCCAATACTGTAAACTCCCCGAATACATTTTATCAACGTCAGACTAGCGATTCTGGTCAAAGTTTGGATGTCAGGGGAACCGCGTCCAATATCCTACGCCAGACAAGTAAGGCCTCAGATATAAGTCCTCCCTCGGTCACCTCAAGCGCAGAGCCATCTCCACAACTTCAATCACGAGCCCACCAAATGCAACCTACGACTTCTCGCTCCCCGTCGCTCCTCCATACCAACAGAGCCGGTTCCGGGTCCCAGATTCTCCCCGCAGCTCAAAGGTATTCCGTGAGTGGTGTGGCATCCGATGATGCCCAGCCTTCACCGACATTAGATCAAAATACCTTCTCACAACCTACGGCTACGACGTCCACAGAGGCGGTAGCAGCTCCTCAAAGTTCTTTACCTAGATTCGTTGACCCCACTAGCGTATACAACCCCTATCCCTACTACCGACAGCTCAGGGCTTCTGGGGTTGCAATTACTACCCAGTCAACCGTTGAACAGAGTCTAACAAGTGCGACAAGCGGATCTGACGCTCTGCAAACAGTGGCACAGGAAGATTCAACTCAGTCTCCAGCACCAGACGTCCCAGAACCAGAAACTGATACGATGATATCCACTACAAAGTAAGCAATGTTTACTACCTGCCTACGTTTAGGTGATTATTCTAACTTGTTACTACTAGTACTTCGGACGTGCCAATGGCAAAAGAACCACGGAAAGGAGCCCCAAAGGATGCTTTAAAACATTCTCCAAAGAAAGTGAGAAAGACGGCTAGTCAGAAGCAAAAATCCAAGGCTGAATCTACCCCAAAGCCTAGGACTGCTGAACCACAAACCAGTTTAATCACACATACCCAAACGAATGAGAAAGAAGATACCGCTAGCCAGATGCAAAAGATGCTTGATGAAATGCGTATGAAAGACCCAGAGCTATTTAAATCAATATTGGCTGCAAATATGGTTAGTTTTATAGTCCCTAACTGTTTATTCATGCTCACCATACCATCTTTTAGAGTAAACCTGAGAATAGAGAACAAGATATTCAGCACACTCCAACAAATGATACCCGTGCCGCTCCGGTAAAAGTTTTGTCTAGCGTTACCGCTACGACTACCCTCGCGGAACCTTCACCTCCGCGTATCTTGAATAATAGTACACCTTCAAGAAAAGCACATAGCAAACACACACCAGGTAAAGCAATATTCCTTATTAGTACACCCGCCCAAATGGGAGTAGCACCCTCGGCAAAGAATCATGTGTTGATTGAAAATCCGGAAGTTGAGCAAAGGCTCCCAGAAACTGCTCCAGTGGCAGTCAATCCCAGTACACCGGATGATGGTGATATCCATAGCCGACGACAAATCACCAAAACAAGTCTTATTGATGGCCTTCCTGACTTGGGGAAATTTCCAGCATTACGACGAAGGAAAAAACCGAAGGCCAGTTTACCAGCTGGCGGACCCTATCAAGATTTTAATACCACATTGCATCTGGATGATGAAAGAAACGCACCGGATCAAACTGGCCAGCCTGTGCCATGCCCTCAAATAGCTACTTCCATTCCTCAGCAATATGCCTCCCTAAGCATTGAAGAGCAGCGGCTGAGACTTTTGGAAACATTCAACAAGACCGGACATGCCGAACTCCCTAACACATCTAATATTCCTTTATCTACAACAAATATTGTCCCACCAAGTCAGATAAACAACGCCAGTGATGCTCTTACCGCCCCGTCACCGCCCCCACAACATCCAGTTGAAGAGGGGAAAGATAAAGAAGATAGGACGGCATCTATCTGGCCTGAACATAAGCGTCGTGTGCTAGCTGAATCGGCGTGCGAATACATTGCAACATTCCCTGGAAACGGTTCTATTACTCCCGATTTTGTATCGAGCCTAATTGATCAAAATCCTAGTTATGTTCAGCTTTGCAATATGTTGGAGGGACATGGCTATACGATAAACAAGGTCCACTTCGCAAAACATCTTTTGCAAGCATTCCCCGATCTCGGCGAGAGCTCAGGGAAAACGACACAGGCCATGCCTCAGTCTACGGTGCAAGCTCCTCAGCCTAACGTGCTGGTCTCGTCCTTCGTTTCTCCAAGCCCTCCACCAGCAACATTAACCCAATCAAGCCCAAAAGGAGTTATGCCCCAGATAGGTATCCCTCCCGTTCAATCGGGGTCAGCTCTTCCTCTATCACGAGAGGAGCAGCGTCAAAAATCTCTAAACTTACTTCATCTATCCAGGCGCAGAAAAATTGCTTCTCAGCGGCACAATTCTATTTCTACCTCTCCCGCACCTCAATCTCGCGAACCGTTACCTAACTCTAAGGAGGCAATGGCTCGAAAACGAACCTTTGCTGAAATCATCGATCTTTCCCAAGCTCTCAGCGATGAGGAGAGTGAAGACGAAGAAGCTGGCCAGTCGCACCAAGTTGAAACCGTTAGTGAGGAGCCGATGGATACGTCACTGGATGGTCCTGTGGAAATACCTAACACCACTATCCCCATACAGCCTCCTGCACTGGAAAGTCTTGCTCAAAGCCCGCCGACAGGCCATGATATTACCCAAACCGCCCAGACACAATCCGTTAGATCTCGCGAGCCACCGCTCGTAGCCCAACCTAGTCCAACAGAGCCCATACGTATAACGAAATCTAAACATTCGGTCACATCCCATCTTAACGGTACAAAAGAGAGTCTTCGCCGTTATAATGGTATTGTGAAGCCGATGGACAAAGCTAAAGCACTAAAAAGGTCATACTATGACCCCCGAACTATCGCCAGAGATATCCTAATTGCGGCTGGACGCCACCCTACAGAACGCCCACTCAATCAACATCTACTAAAACTGAAAGAGAAGTTTCAATATATTGATTACTCTTCCGACCTTGAGACATTCAGATGGGACCTTGTCGACCCTGGTGGCCCTCCTCCCCCTAAAATCGCCCCTGAACCCCTGATCACCCGGCCAAAGTTCAATCCACGTGATAATTTACAGAGTTCACGTGATGGAGCTAGCTCAACGCGACTTGCATCGTTTAATCTCGCTCCCTCTCAGGTGGAAAACTTTCAAACAGTCAGCGCCGACTCTTTTTCATGGCCCATGGCGCCAACACAGGCTCGATCTTCATTTGCTTCTCCCCTTCCCACGAGACTAGGGCCACGCCGAACTGGACGTTCACCTAGCGCGAAAAATAAGCCTAAACCGGTCGCTTCACTCGCGAAGAATGTCGAAATTGTTATCCCAACGGTCACGTCGCAAAAGCCGTCAAATAAATATCAGATTTACGAGTGTCGCTTTGATGACTGTGGCGCAAAGCTGCACAACTTTGAGATTTTCCGAAAACATGTCCTGAAACTACATGGGCGGCCTGAAGAGGACCAGGCTGTCTGTATGTGGGCAGGCTGTGCTTCGTTAGTACAGTCTGGGCAAACAGAACAGCGAACCTTTTCACCCGAGTCGCTTAGGGAGCATCTGGACAGTGTTCATCTGAGTCCACTGGCTTGGAAACTGGGTGATGGACCTAAATCCGTATCCTCTGGTGAGACTGGAAAGTTCCATCTACCGATTTTTATTTCCTAATCACTAGAATTTTTTCTCTCTTTCGTTTCCTTCTAGGGCATCCTTGTTTGAACCCGGATTCGTGCCTTTACGATGAAAAAGGCCGCGCAGTGGTATCCAAGGCAACAACTAACGGTTGTACCCCTGCGATCATTTTACCCACTGCGTGGCGTCCAATACGTGACTTTAATAAGAACCATGGCTATGAAAGCTACAAATCCAGTGCGCTACAGATTATGAGAGCACTCACAGCAAAACAGGCAAATGTGGGGCCTGGATTAGGTCCGGGTGGGTGTATATTAATGAATGAGCAAAGGCAAAGCACTGTTGTCGCATCAGAGAATATTTTCAAGGTTCTCCCCCCGCCAGATAGCAAAGAGTCTGAATGATATACCAATATAATACGTTGCGGGCTTGGGCTCGATGCAATTTGTGATTCGATACCATCATATTAGAAGCGCAGCGAAGGATGATAGCCAGTCTAAGGCTTTATAATTTAAAATCTTATTGTTGCTATTTATTTTTCGGCCTCTACGAGGTAGACATGATTTACCATAATAGGCATTATGTATTGAATCAGAGCTTGTATGTAGAGATAACTTAGGATTGACCTCTTGATGACCGCAGCAGCCATGACTCAGTAGGCACAAGTATATTCGGCATTCGCCCGTCAAATCGTCCACCGGGCCCCATCCTTGTAGATGATATCGCTAAATAAGCGTTACGTCCACAGTATTGTATTAAAAAACACGTCCTTAGCTCTTCTTGTCAGTCGTGCCAGCCTCCGAGTTTTTAATATTCTGCGTTACTTGCGTCGATTCGGAGCGCTTCACCGAATCCGCCGCAGTAGAAATGGATAATGGGTCTATTTCTGACGAAGTATTCGAATTGACCTCTAAGAAATGGTAGAGGACAATGAGTAGCATGGCGCATGACCCAAGGAAGATGGCGAGTTGATATAGCTCGCTGTCGGATATCATTTTTTCCAGGTGTACGAATAAAAGGGAGATGACCGGAGATGAATTCGCTATCAACGATGATGCAGAACACTTATACGCCTTTATATCGTATCATTAATTGTCTAGATTAGCCGTTAAGTAACAAACGAAAGAATGCATCTTAATAGGGTCATACCTGGTTCCCGCCTTGAGGTTAGTCGCGAAATTCAAACCAGTATCGCAATGTCGTGGTCAAAGGAATGTGTATTAATCAGTTCCGTCCACGCCAGTTAAACGCACTTGAGTCCTCTGATGTCACCGAGCTCAACACCTGTCGGTCTCTCTGTCTGCCTGTCTAACTTGATGATCTGGCGCGAAGCTCTCTCATGGCCGCGCTTAATCGGTGGTTAGTTACCCGCCACAAGGCTGACTCAGCACTTCCGCCTTAATTTTTTTCCTCCCCACCAACTCTCATTTATATCTCAAGAATTCCGACAACAACACTGCGGTAGCGTGACAAAGTGATAGCAACCGTCAAGTGTAGGCGTGGATAGGGGCTTGGACACTCTTTTAAATATCCTCCCGCTAGGCGTGCTCGGCCTATTTTTATTTTTATTTTTCCCTTTTTGTGCAGCACGGCTTCCTTGTTCTCTCGCAATATATCCGGGCGATACATCGTACACCAGATATAAAATGGCACCCAAAAAAGGTGATCAGCCTAAAAAGGCAAAGCCCACGGTGGAAGACAAGGTATGCATGCTCTTATTCCGACGAGCTGTCCATATATTCTGAGTGAGAGTAAAACACTAACTCTCTAAAACTTAGACCTTTGGTATGAAAAATGTAAGCAAAATGAAATAGCTCCAGAGGCATTCTCTACGGTTACTCGTTACTGAAGCCATCAAGAAAAAAGGATCAACTGCCCGTAAACAGATAGCCCAGCTTCAGGCGCAGGCCGCTTCGAACAAATCTGCAGATGATAAACGAAAAGCCATGGAGAAGGAAAGACGTGAAAAGGAAAAAGCAGCCGCTGAGCAAGCCAAACGCGAAGTTGCGGAACTTTTCAAGCCAGTTCAGGTCCAGAAGGTCCCTTTTGGCGTCGATCCCAAGACCGTACTATGTGTTTTCTTTAAGAAAGGCAATTGTGAGAAGGGTCGTAAATGCAAGTTCAGCCATGACCTGTCGGTCGAGCGCAAAGCAGAGAAGAAAAATATATATCAGGACACTCGAGAGGAACAGGATCCTAAAAATGCTGATACGATGGATAATTGGGATGAGCAGAAACTCAGGGACGTCGTACTGAGCAAACATGGGAACCCCAGAACAACTACAGATAAAGTATGCAAGTACTTTATTGAAGCGGTTGAAAATCAGAAGTATGGTTGGTTCTGGACCTGCCCAAATGGAGGAGACAAGTGCATGTATAAACACAGTCTGCCACCAGGGTATGTTATCCCCTTGTTCTGCCTTCCTTGATCGTGCCTCAGCATCATGACTAATGCTAGAATAGTTTCGTATTGAAAACCAAGGAACAGAGGGCAGCAGAAAAAGCTCTTATGGATAAATCTCCTCTTAAAACTCTCACACTCGAGGAATTTTTGGAGACTGAACGACACAAGCTCACTGGCAAGCTTACCCCCGTCACCGAGGAGTCATTCGCTAAGTGGAAAAAAGAACGACTAGACAAGAAAGCTGCAGAAGACGAAGCTCGTAAGGCAAAGGAAGCCACTGGGCGTGCCATGTTTGAGAGTGGAGAATGGAGGAATCAAGAAAGTGAAGCAGAATCTAGCGACGAAGATGACGATAATGCTGAAGATGACGATGCTTGGAATCTAGAAAGCATGAGAAAAGAGACGGAAGCTCTAAGAGATAGATATGAGCAGGAGAGGGTTGCGAAACTGCAAGGCTCAGGTGATATACCTGAAGATACCGCAGGTTCGAGCAGGGAACCATCCGCAACCGTCGAGGGAGAGGGTTGAGCCGATCTCCACTGCAGTGGAAAATGAAATATTTAGTAAATAGGGGAATTTATACAACCCTCACACTTTAGCAAACAATGACTTCCATTCCATTTAAACTAGTGTTACCACGTTACCCATGCTAGCCCGGTTGCCTCCCACCTACCTACTGGAGTTGTTGTGTAATTATACTCAGTTACTCAAGAAAATAAACGTATCGTTGGAAAAAGTAGAAGGCCTCCGAAATCTGTCAATTATCTGCACAAGTCACTTGGCTACTCCTCATTTTAAGCTGCCTTTCATAGGTTTTCCGTTTTCCACTAAAAGGGGTTAAAAGATGCCATGTGGCGGAAGAGAAGAAAACTGATAAAAATTGTCTAAGGGATCTCTTCAATTTTTGGGTTGCCAGTAGAAGGCAACGCCTCCACTTCATCCTCTTCTCCTTCGCCTTCTAACTCCGGCATTCCTGTTTCTTCTTCTTTTTCATCCTCCTTTCGGTTCCTTGTCAGCATATATTCGGAAACAGTAGCGACCACCATGGAAAGAAAGAACGTACCTTCTGAGTCCCCGCGCCTCCTATTTCCGCGCCTTGGGCGTTTAGCATGTCTGAGCTTCTTTCCATAAATGATTCAAATTTAAGGCTGTCATCTACAGGGTATTGCTCTTCATCCTTCTCCGCGTCTTCTCTTAAAATTTGTTCAACATGCTAAATTTCAATGTGAAACTGGTTAGAACATACAAAGGTTGATTATTATTCGAATGAAATACCATGCACTTACTTTACCCACGTCCGGTTTCACATGACGACTTTTGGCTTCTGTTGCAAGCAATCTTGGCCAGTGCACCTCACTGAGATCTTTTTTTCTCAAGATGAGGTGAATCTCGGAGCATTTATCCTCGAATAGTTTGATCTCGGTATTTTCGGGTTCAACTTCACGGAAGAGCTCCAGGTCCAATTTATAGAGAGCCTTATTCGTGGTCGAGTAGCCCTCAAAGTACAAACGAGTGGGAGAAATCTTAAGAGTAGCTAGCCCTTTCTTGCTGAAATCCTTTTCAGCAGGGTCATTTGAAGCCGGGCCTGTTGAAGTTGGGTCCTTTGAAGCTGGATCCGTCGGGGGAACCTCCCCAAGGTCCTTGACAATGATTCGGATGTCGACATTGTTTTTGTGAGGTTTAGTGGCAGAAGACCGATCAAACCATATTACTAAATGAATATAGGATTAGAATGGTAGGCTTCCAATATAGATGTTACGAGAATTAATAGACAGAGCGCAATTAATGTAGAGTTCTCCCCCTCCATTCCCCCCAGATCATAATAGAGCGGCGATAAACAAAGGAATAATAAAGCGTTACGTACCTTCTGCGTTAGACATGATGGCAGATCTAACGGATATTGAATGCCCGATGTGTAGCTGGAGAGAGTTGCCCTGCAAAACTGCTGGCTGTCCAGGATTTTGTGATGTTGATATCGGAACGTCGAAAAAGTCCAAAAAAAGAATCTACTGGAAGGAAAGGGCGCGGTGGAGCTCGGGCCATGTGGGCAGCGTGCCAAGCCTCCAGAAGAAGCTGACGAACTTATGTAAGCATGCTACTGTCACGTGGTCAAGGTCACTCCGCCTTCTTTTGTCTTCCCTTTTTGGTATGGCAAGCAAAGTTCTCGATGCGGGATACATTTACATATGTCAAGCAAACCAAGGGCTCTTTTCTTTCTTTTAATAGGCACTACCTAGTCAGCTGGTCATACTGGTTGTGAATCTTGCCTCGGTGCTATTCTCTACCCAGCGTAGATAGCGGCTTTATAGCACTTCAAGTCGTCATTAGAGCCGCATCCACCACTTAGCTCTACTCTCTAGATCCCCTTTTGGGGCCATCTACTGACCATGGAGGCCCTAAAGGCTGTTTTCTTTAAGCCCGACCCGGCAGCACAGGTCAGTATACTAAAGTCTCCATCCTTCTCAACCTTTAACCCACTAACACTTCTCGTCAGATGCGGAAGTGTAATGCCCTGATAAGATCAAACACTCGAAAACTCGATCGAGACATATCCCAGTTAAAGGCCATTGAGATAAAAACCAAGCAATTCATCGTTGCCGCATCTAGGAGAGCACAACGGAATCCCTCGCAGGCAGAACAGGCTGCGAAGGAGACTCGGATATTTGCGAGGGAGCTTATCCGGATAAGAAAGCAAAACGCCCGTTTGACGACGAGTAAGGCACAGCTAGAGAGTGTGAAGATGCAGGTCAATGAAGCATTCTCAGTCAGGAAAATTGAAGGAAGCCTCAAGGCTTCGACTAGTATAATGAAGGACGTCAACACCCTAGTCCGACTGCCTGAGTTGACAGGCACGATGCGGCAGCTCAGTAAGATTTTCCTCCCCTCCCCTTAAACTCCCTGCCGGCCTGGATTTCCCCCTTTAATAGTTTTGCTGACTATGAGAAGGCTTGGAACTAGTCAAAGCTGGAATCATCGAAGAAACTATAGATTCTGCTATGCCAGAGGACCAGCTGCTTGAAGATGAGGAAGAGGAAGCCGATAGTGAAGTTGACAAGGTCTTACAGGAAATCCTACAGGGAAGGCTAGCAGCATCGGGTGGTATCAAACCAGAAGAGCCGCTCCAGGAAGAGGAACCAGTCCCCGACGAGTTCGAAGACCAGGAAGCAACCCTCGAGCAGATGAGAGGGAGACTAGAGGCCCTCAAAAGTTAGTGGAGCTTGCGTTCCGACTAGAATCTCTCGCCGTCGGTCCATGTTGCATTTATGCCTTTTATGCAGTTATTAATGACCAGTCCTCTGCGATATTACGGAGGTCTTTCTTTGGATGTATTACTGTTCGGAGCCATGGCGAACATGAATGGAGTTTAGGAGTAGATATATATTCAGTAACGACATGCCATAAAGTTTTGTTTTTCTTTCGCGGATCATCCATACTACAAACCAGAAAGTTATATTAATTTGCAAGGCGTGGTAAAAAAACGGTTTAACGCCAGTAGCAATCATGACGAAACAAAAAGGGCCTCACTAGGTAGGTTACCTAATTTCATGTGTCACTGAAGCTAGAAAAATAGTAAATAGAATAATTCTTTAACTGTAATCAAAAGCAGAATAATAAACAATTGCTGTTGAAAGCAATGAGTATAACTCCGTGGTCTGGCAGGGAGCTAAGTAGCTGTGATCTTTAGACAAGTCCAACTCGCCTTTTCCCTCTACCTTTTCGCTTTGATGGCGTGCTCGAAGTACTTCCAAGTACGGGAAATTCATCCTGAAGGGACACGGGTTCTCCTTGGCCTTGCTGCTCAGATAGACTGAGTTGGATAGCAAACTCAAGGTCATCGTCATTGGCCTGTGAAGAGGCGCATGCTAGGTCGGGGGAGAAGGAAAACGAGCCAATATCAGTAATATCCTCTTCTAGAAGGGCGCTACCTTCATTATATGGGTTATTATCATTTTGTAAGCTTCGGCGAATAGCCTCAGCAAGTCCGGGCTCCATTTCTTCATCGACAGTATCCAAGGTTGGCCTTGATATTTGTCCAGTTAGAGGATTTGCGCTGAATGTCTCGTCTGATGCGACTGTCTCGCTAGAGGAACTCCCTGCAGAGCTGCTCTCGCTGCCTCTCCTGTTCCTTTCATCGCTTGTGTATGATTCTTCACTTAATAGGCAAGCATAGGCCAAAAGGTCCTCATCACTGGCATCCTTGCCAAGCAAGTCCGTCCCAAACCGCCCACTCATGTGAGCGAGCTCTCTCTCCTTCGCAATTCTTTGCCTTTCGACCTCGGCCTTCTCATTCACAATATAGTCCATTAACGCGCCTCGACCAGAATTGTTAAAACGCTGAGTTTCTGGTGAACTGTTACTTCCACGGTGAGAGTAACGCACGCGTCGTTTATTGCTCTTATACTGATCAGCTGCGGAGGAACTATATGCCCAGTAACGAAGCCGCGTTCCTAATGCAACGACACCCCTAAGCCGAGTGGGGTCCTGGTCGAGACAAATGGCTCCAGCGGCAAAGAAATTATGCCCAACATCTTGGTTCGATGTAGTTGCCTGTACAAGACGGCGACGGGCGCGGGAAGAGAACCTGGAATTGAGCGTCCGAATTGGTTGTGTAGATGAGGCAAGATGATCCCAGGCTTGAACCAGACCATCATTCCCGCCATGCACAAGATAAAGCGCCGTCAATGCAAGGCTAGATACTTGCGGAGAGTCTGTATGAATTATGCGGATAGGGATGATATTATTCACGACGTGAGCACTTTGAGATATGGCGGCTCTGATGTCCCAGACTAGAATAGAACCTAGGGAAGTTCCAACCGCCATATAACGTGCACGCTGGCCAGGAATTTCTGCAGATGAAGCTAGCGGGTTGCAAGAGGTAGAAAACGGCGTGGAAGATTGTGATGATACAGCCGAATTACCGCACATTCCGAGCAACGGGTCTTCAAACTTCGTCAAACGAGCAAAAGTAGACATATCCAAGGCACATGCGGTAATTTCAGCAGATTTTAAGCCTTCAAACGTTAAGTTTGATATTCGCCATTCAACAGTGGTAGGCGGGAGGTTAAAATCATTATATATACCAGATATAGGCGAGCATATGGGCTCGCTAGAAGGCAAACCCCCTTCAGATCTAGTTTGGCCCAAGAGAGACGACTTGGCTTCAGTTTCTGGTGCTGGAGGCGAGCTTCCGAGGCTATCAAGCGATGCGTGTTCGCCAATCTTGACGCGCGTAAATCTTTTAACTGATGCAGCCTGATCATCATTTACAGAGCAACTGAAAATCATGATAGATTCTCCAGCCCCTTGTCCATCATCTCCAGCAAAATCCACTTCGAGTTTGCGTTTCATATCCCACCCTTGATACACTTTTCGAAAATATAACGGTTTGAGTGTAAGAAACCCTTCGATGTCTTTCGTTTCGGCCACTATTTTCTCACCATCCAAGTTCATGTTATCAGACGATGATCTGGGACTATAGGTGGCATTGGTAGAGATTTTATTAAACGGATCCGGCACTGGAGCACGCCGAGTACATTCAACAATCTCCCAGGAAACAGTACGACCGGTGCGCCATGCAGCCTTCTCAAGTTCTTCAGATTCAAGCCTCTGGTAGGTGTCAAGTCCACGTGGAACATCGGTGAGATAGAAAACCTCTCCGAGAGCGTTTAGGACTGTTAACCACATCCTACGCTGGGACAGTCGTTTCGTTGATAGTTTGTCATCCACCTTAATGGCAATGATTGGAACCCCGGGGCATAAAGCCCATCTGGCAGTGATCTGGCCTCGTTCGAATCGTTGGTCATATGAAGGGTGAGGGCCTAGCGCATATAATGTGAGAATGCCTGACGAGGTCGCTGTAATCATTCCACATAATCCGTTCGTCAACTTCAAGATTTCAGAGGATTTTGCGATCCAAGTTGCACAGATACCGGAGCTTACAGCATTCGTGGAAGGAATTCCAAGTTCATACTGAGAGTCCAGGACCGAACGCTGTAGGAATCGACCTCGTTTCTCGGCCGTGGAAAGAAAGTAGGCACGGCCCTGAGGACATCCCTCTCCATATATCATGCCGTGAGGCTGGCTCACATCCATCACGTTAGGGTTGCCAATGAGATTACCCGACCCCAAACCCCAAGGCGCTTCACCGGGGTAGCTTTCTGAAAAATGATTAAACATACGGCTTTCGGATAATAATCCCCATTTTCCTACACCACTTTTCTTTGATGTTGGGTCGCTTTGGGTTGCGATCCCTTCCTCGCTTGCCCCATGAACAAAAGCCGGAGGCTTACTCTCTAAGCTGGACCCGAATGTACCATCAATATGGGATATTGGGTACTGAAGCAAGGAATTATATGTCACCACAGCGTGTACGGTGGGTGCGGGGCCTGAACGGGCCAACTTGCGCTGGTCCACGACTTGATAGCTGGCAGGCTTTCCACGAGCGAGAGAATGTAACAACCTGGTCCGCAGAATGTATTCATTTCTCCAAGAGCTTAAAGCCGTGAGCCTGCAAAACGCGCGCCTTTTCAGCAAGGCATGCTCCCAGTCATCGTCTCCCAGCCGGCCTTCGTTTCTCTCGGTAAGCGCGGGCCCGGGAAAGTACCGTGAAAACGCGATCCGCCAGGCATGTGGAGTGGTCACAAGGCCATGAAATCGACGGCTAACAAGGCTCATCGATGACAATGACGAAGGCTGAAGATGCGACAAGATATGCGTCAGAACCTCTAACAAAATATACGGACACGTTAGCATAATCATCCTAGCTAGAAAAACATGTAAATGCAACATTCCATACCATTAGGAAAACTCTCGATAGAGAGCTCACTCGATTTCCTAAATTTTTCGAAAGGTGTATCTTTGCTAGAGCAGCGAGGGGAAGACACAGATTTTGTCGGGTGTTGCGGCTCTAACTCTGCCTCTGGTTCATCGCCATCTTCGAGTCGCGGGCCTGATAGACGAGACGATAACACCACCGAGCTGGTGGCATAATCGCCATCGCCATCATCTCGACCTGAGATATGACTGATGGAGCAAGTTGAACAAGAGTAGATTCCATGCTGGGTAGTGACTTGAGCGTTGCGCGATCGGTTCTCTGACTTAGTGTTGGTAGACCTGTAGCACTCTGGTTGCATAAAAATTGGAAGAGAAACTGAGGGGGAAACAGTTGTATGACTGAACCAGGATGCGCCGGGTCAGTCGAGAAGCGTCAGCAGGCAGTCAATGAGAGATATGATGCTGTATCTGTGCGAGGCTCGAATCACTTGTTGACATTTGAAGCTGGAGAATGCGAGAAGATTTTCGAAGTTTTTTTTGAAGGAAGAAAAAGTAAGTCACGTGAACACGCGTGTCTTTACGTTCTTTTTCTCTAAAAATCCTCTATATGTATACCAAAAAGCTGAAATGTCTGGGGATTCAGGGTATAGGGAATTTAAGATAACTCCGTGACACGATTCCAAGATATTCATACCTGAGACTCTGTTTCTTTTATTCTTATTTGGTAGTTCAAGGCCACTGGGACGAGTCTATAAGGTAAACCGCTGCAGCCTGGCGGATGGAATCTATACTTCACATAACTAGGAAATACGGTATCAGCCCTAATTTCTACGAATTGACAGCCAAATGAACACAACAGTGCATTATAGTACACCGAAATGCCTCCCACCGGTATGAATTCCCATTCAAGGTTTGGTGATGTCATGCTGACCTATCTAGATGCAGACACCATACGCATTCTTGTCTCTACGGATAATCATGTTGGGTACAATGAACGCGACCCCGTTCGAGGAGATGATAGTTGGAAGAGTTTCCATGAAGTGATGTGCCTTGCCAAAGAGCGAGACGTCGACATGGTACTCCTCGCAGGAGACTTATTCCATGAGAATAAACCGTCTCGAAAGTCCATGTACCAGGTAATGCGGTCTCTGCGCATGAACTGTCTTGGTGATAAACCGTGCGAGCTGGAGATGCTCAGTGATGCCAGCGAGAATTTCCAAGGAGCTTTCAACCATGTGAATTACGAAGACCTAGACATAAACGTGGCCATCCCTGTTTTCTCTATACATGGGAATCATGACGATCCATCTGGTGAAGGGCACTTGGCTGCACTTGATTTACTACAGGTATCCGGCTTGATAAATTACTATGGCAGAACCCCTGAATCTGATAATATCCAGATTAAGCCTGTTCTACTCCAAAAAGGGCATACAAAGTTAGCTTTATTCGGAATGAGCAACGTGCGAGATGAGAGGCTATTCCGTACATTTAGAGACGGCAAGGTGAAATTCTTTCGTCCGTCGATGCAACAGCAAGACTGGTTCAACCTTATGAGTGTACACCAAAACCACCATGCGCATACTGAGACCGGCTACTTGCCGGAGTCGTTTTTACCGGACTTCCTCGATTTAGTTATCTGGGGCCACGAACATGAATGTTTGATAAACCCTCGCCTAAACCCTGAGACAAATTTCCACGTCATACAGCCAGGCTCATCAGTTGCAACGTCCCTTGTACCCGGTGAAGCAGTACCAAAGCACGTCACCATACTAAGCGTAACCGGGCGTGAATTTAAATCGGAGCCTATTCTCCTGAAATCTGTTCGGCCATTTGTGACAAGAGAAGTCATTCTGAGTGAGGAAAAGGAGATGCAAAAGGTTTCTAGAAAAGAGGATACCCGTACTGAAACAACACGTTTTTTGATGGGCATCGTTGAAGAGATGGTTGAAGAGGCTAGAAAAGAGTGGCTGGGACAACGAGAGGGCTCCTCTGATGATGGTGATGAAGAGGCCGAATTCCCTCTTCCACTAGTCCGACTTAAAGTCGAAACATCCAAGCCTGGCGGAGGAAGTTTTGACTGCGAAAACCCACAGCGCTTCTCAAACAGGTTTGTTGGCAAAGTCGCCAATGTGAATGATGTAGTTCAATTTCACCGCAAGAAGAAAGGAACAGCTCTAACCCATGGCAAATCCGATGCTCCGGATGAATCAGCGGTATCACATCTCGTGGCCCTTGACGCGTTCAAAGTAGAACAATTAGTTCGCGAGTTTCTTACTGCGCAGTCACTAACTATCCTACCCCAAAATTCATTCGGAGATGCTGTTTCCCAGTTCGTTGACAAGGACGACAAGTACGCGATGGAGATGTTCGTCAACGACTCTCTAGAAAGCCAGATAAAGCATCTCATGAATCTAGACCGCGATCAAGATGGGCTGGATCAAGATGACGATGAACGAGAGGGGATTATCCAGGCTGCGATGGATAAATACCGTGAACAGCTAGAAGAGCTATTTGCTAAGGGCAAAAGTAGACGGGCCGGCGGGAAGAAACGATTTAAACCTAAACCTGATGGTTGGGATACCGAGTTTGACGGCATATGGGAGGATCAGCCAGGAGCGCTTATACACTCTGATCATGAGGATGGCCGTAAGGATGAAGATGACGAAGAAGTCCCGGCAAGGACAACAGCTACCAGTAGGCGACGAGGTGCGTCAGCTGTGGCGTCTACATCGATCCGAGGGAAGGGTAGGGGTGCCAGTCGAGCCGCAGTGAAGACAACAACAGTTCGAGGGAAGGGAAAGACGGCCTCAGCACCCGCTAGGGGATCTAGAAGCCATGTTATTGAGGATGACGAGGAAGATGACGAAGAAGATTTCCTGCAAGCAATCCCTGATGACGATGACGCCGTGATGTTAGACAATAGTCCTGAAAACGATGATGATGAGGACCTGTTTGTTCGTCAACCTGCTCCAAAAACTCGAGGGAGGGCAGCGCCTCCTGCGTCAAGTCGATCGAAAGCAGCATCGTCAGCAAGTTCTACGAGGAAAACAGCCACACGTTCAGCCGCTGGCACCAAGAAAGTTCAGGGAACGTTGAATTTTGGGCGATCTCAACCTAGCCAGAGTCAAACCATCGGGGGTACAAGTGGGAGCGGCTCGAGTAGTAGACCTACACGAGCTGCTGCAACAAGAGCAGCCCGTAGCGTCAGTGTGATGAGTGATGGGGTTGAGTATGACGACGATGAGGATGCATTCGAGCCGGCGCCCATTGTTAGTAGCGGGAGAAGTATGAGGAAGAGATAACATTTGCATTTCGCTCCTTAGCTAGTGAATTGTTGGCATGTCTGGATTAATGTCATGAAATATATAAATTATTCCAAAATGTCCATATGTATTTGTCAAGTTACTTATATCTATCCAGAACCATCACCATTCCTACAGCTCACCACAACTTACCACGCTACCTATAATCTCCCTTTATGCAGGAACTTGTCAGGTAACTCTACCCACTTTGCCCGCAAGTATTCGGCAACATTCTTCCCCAAAAAGTCCACCGTAACAGTAGCACCGACACCGCGATCCAACAGATTCCGAAACAAGAAATGCACTCCTCTCAATCTCGGCAGCTCGAAACGCTCAATGCCCATGGACCCATCATCTCGCCATTCCTTGCCTAGCAAATCCTTGACCTTGTGTGTGGTCAACAAGTTACGTAGCCAGAGGTATTCGGCGTCAGTACGAACCCAAAAGCCGCAGTTTGCGTCGGGGCCCTTGTCCCCTGAACGGGCGTGGACGAGCCAGCCCAGAGGGCCGCGGGTAGTCGGGCCAAAGTCGGTGGTGCCACCGGGTTGGCTGCTAGTTATAGCGGTGTTCGTGGAGGGCTGACTCTTTGGAGGGTAAAGCTTAGTGGAAGGTGGAAGATCGATGGAAAGCGATGCATTTAGCCATGGAAGATGCGCCTTATGGTTAATGCTCGCTTGAGGGATGAGGGTGACGTAGTATTCAAATATGGGCCTTGGGGAAGCGTGTCTTAAATCCAGATTAAATGTAGCGCCTGGGTAGGACTGCATGACGCAGTCGATGACGGGGCGCACAAAGCACTTGGAAGTCAGGTGTTCCGCACGCGGAGCCTGAGCTAGGATCCTAAACGTTGTCGTAGCGCTGTTCTGGTCTGGGGGATCATCCACACAAGCCCCGAGGATTGAGAAGGTTAGAGAGGTGAAGTGTTTGGAATGTGGATAGAGCAGGCGTCGGATTTGGGATTCAAGCATCCTTGCTTTGGCCGGTATATCGAGGCCAACCATGTAATAGAAGGCTTCAGCCTGGTATCCACCTCGAGCTGTGATGCCTACTTTGGTAGTTGGCGGAGGCAGGTCAGCCTTGACACCCCTTAGAGCAACGCGATTGACTGCAAGTTGTTCAAAGTATACCTCGTCCAGGATGGCTGTGACGTCTGAATTAAGGTATATAGGACCCTGTATTTCATAAAGCAGTTGAGCAGAGCAGGTATCGACAGTAACGGCACCGTTTGTAGAACAGCTCTGTTTTGTGATAACAACCTCACCGGTGGAAGAAATCTCTGCTATAGGAAAACCTATATCCTCCCAGCCACCGGCCGCATTCTCCAGCTGCTTGAAGCCAGTGAAATTGCCGCCGGCGACGTATGTGCTGCATTCTATAAGATGGCCGGCCACGAATGCATTGGCTAGCTTGTCCAGATCCGATCGCGACCAACGATGCCACCAGCATGCGGCGCCGATGAGGAGAGAGGCATCAGAAACACGGCCACAGAGAACGATGTCAGCTCCATGGTCGAGTGCAGCAGCTATCCCCATGCCGCCCAGGTACGCCTGAGCATAGATGGGCTCAAATTGCCACTGTGACAGTGCTTCGCCAGTGTATATATTCCTAAACTCTGCACCACATTGAAGCTCTTCTTTCACCGTGTGGAGCACTTCATCACCAGATATCCATGCAACCTAGATACTGTCAATCAAGGTATTCACACACAGGCATGGTAATGGCATACTTTAAGATGCACTCTCTTGCGTTCCATCATGGCGATGACAGCCCGGTACAGAGCTTCCGTATCCGCCACGCCAGCGTTTGCAACCACTTTGATGTTGTGCCTAGCAATGTCTAGCAGTGCCGGCTCCAGAGCCTCTAGGAACGTAGGCTCATACCCTGGCCTAGTGGGCCGATTAGCCGACCGATCGCTTGCATTGCCATCGCCTGACAGAGACCGGTCAACCCGTCGTGCAGCAGCGGCAGTCATGTTATACTCGCTCATGAAGTCCTGGACAACGACGTCTACAGGGTCGCTTGGGTGGTTACGGGCAAACTCGGCGAGTACATGACGGCGATCAGTCGCCGCCCCCGACGCTCCTGATAGAATGTCAGCGTTTATACGTCTGTATGAGTGATATATGCCTGACCTGCAATGCGGACTGCCCTCTTCGCCATGGTTATCTAGACGAGTGCAGCCGGGATATAGTTATGGGGTATATATACGGGTTACATCCTAACCCTCAAGGCTACCTGCATCAGTAGACTTCTAATATATGCATCACAAAGCCGGAGTTTATCATTCTAGGTCAGTCAAAGCACTTGTACTCCGTAGTTGTCGCAGTTATAGATCCAAGCTTCCCCATCTCGTGTTTACCTCGGTCATTGCTTAGTCATGAACTAGTCATCAGGGTTGAACCCAAAAACGAGATAAAGCTTAAATAGACTACGGTATGTTACAGGAAGAGAACAGATGATCCAAAGCTACCATTTGTCTGCCATGTATGTCAAGGGTTTATTATTCGTGATAAAAAGAAGACTATCTACTTTGCCTCGCTCTCCTTCTTCTTCCACTGCGCTATAACCTCATCCATCTTGGGCACCCTATCGACAAAGGCCTTGGCGGCTGGCCTGGCCATGCAACGCTCCCACCAGGCCTTGAGCGCAGGTCTGGAAGTAATCAGATCACCGTGTCCTCGTTCAAAGATCCTACCCAGCTGTGGGATATAGTAGACATCGACAAGCGTGTACTTGTCACCGGCCCAGAACTTCTTTCCGGTCTTGCTGAAGATGGCCTCCGCAACGTCCAGGTACTCGCCTAGGGTCTTTCTGTTCTCGTCCACGGCAGCCTGGCTTATCTCCATGCCGAGGAGAGGCTTGATGGCCGATTCGTAGATGATGGCCGAGGCAGGGCGGTCAAAGAACGCCGCCTCGCAGGAGATTTCCTGCTCGAAGAGAGCGACGGCAGCGTTGTCCTTGGGGTCGGGTAAGAGGTCGAAGTTGTAGCGGGTGCAGAGGTAGCGGGCTATGCCGCGGGATTCGTACATGGTGATCCCGTCGGAGGTGACGATGACGGGCACCTTGCCGAAGGGGTTGCGGGCGAGATATTCGGGAGACTGCCCCTGTCAGCTACTTGTCTACAGTCACAATAGGATAGGGTATAGCCACCTTCTGCTCCTTGGCTCCCATGTCGATGTCGATGCGCTCGTAGTCCGTGAAGCCAGCCTCATCGACGGCGAGCTGGACACGGTCTGGTGCCGTGGCGATGGGGTGAGCGTAGAAGGTAAACTGAGGCATGGTTACGGGCTTTCAAACTGACTGGTTCGGTTGGGTGTTGACACTTGGAGCTGGGGGGAGAAGCTGGTCGATACTTTATATACACAGGCTTCCCCCACCACAGCTATGATTGACGGAGACCAAGTTCACCCGCCTCGGGGTGATAGACGGATGCAAGACGGGGTCCTCTGCATCGTCCGTCCTCATCCTTCAGCTCGTCCGAAGTTGGCCATGGGTTGCTGGCCAGTGAAGAAGCTCCTAGCTGCCCATAGCCAGGTCGAAGGATGAAAAGAAGGAAGAAAAAAAAAACCCAAAAAAAAAAAGGTCAACCACCAGTTGTCCCCTCCTACGACCCGCACGCCGACGTGTTCTGGTGCCGCCACCCCCGAGTGGAAGGCCTCTGCAGAATTGCTTCCCTCAAGCGTCTCTTCCATGTCTTAGCAGCGCCGCAAGCCGTTCGTGGATTACTCACACGAGTGCGGGAGAACCTTTCACCGAAATAAAAGGTCGCGACTCCGGGATTCGAACCAGGCGTCAAGGTCGTGGTCACGTGAGTGGATCGGGTCGCAGGTTGGGACGCGGCAAAGTTTTCCTTCGGCCATGACAGCTATAAGAGCCCAAGTAGGCACAAGAGAGCAGAAGAGCCACCACCGATGAGTAAGCTGCTGAGTAAGACTCTGACTAAGCTCCCGTGATGCCAAGGCCGAGATGGTGCACGATCGACAAAGAGAGGGAGAAAAGTTGAGCAAGACAAGCAAGATCCTTGACGGTAGAGCGAGAGGCCAGACACACACACACGCACACATACACCCCATGATGGCGCCCAAGACGACAAGGACAAGGCCTGTGACAGCTTATCAACGAAGAGAGAAGTCCCGCCAGTGGCCGCGCCGGGATGATCGACGGCCCAGAAGAACAAGACTTTGATGACATATCAAGATAGAGCAAGATAAAGCGCTAGCTATGGGGTAAAGATGGAGTCGAAGAGAATAACTCAGACAAGCCGAGTCGGCGAGGGAGACGCCGAGCAAGATGCCGAACCGACGCTGCTGGCGCCGCCGCTTACTAGCCGTTACTATGTAGACGGACGATACTATGGACGTACTGTGGACGTACTGTGGACGATGCCGTGGACGTACCGCCGACGATGCTGTGGACGATACCGCTACCGGCAGCTGGTTGGTCTCTTGCCTCTTGCCGTGTATCGGCCGGGTTTCAAGCAGTTTCACAGCGGGAGGTGAGGCCTATGAGAGGGCTATGAGAGGGCTATGGAGGGGGTATGCAAGAGGTATGCAAGAGGTATGCAAGAGGTATGGGAAGGTACATGCGGACAGGCGGCGGTTCGGCTGGACGCCAGGTACCCTGACATACCTCTTGCATGCCCTTGACATGGTCTCGGCACATTACTTAAAGCATGAGCGAAACCCCACCTCGCCTCCTCTTCCACCTTCAGACTTTCGACTTCCTCCTCTCACCCACAACAACAACAACAACCACTACATACCACCACCGTCAGCAGCCATGGCCCTTTCACAGAAGATCGAGACTCCCACTGCCACCTTTGAGCAGCCTCTTGGACTGTAAGCTTGCACCTGATATAGATCTAATCTAGCTCCAAGAAGTGCTGACGGACAGACAGGTTCATCAACAACAAGTTCGTCAAGGGTGCTGAGGGCAAGACCTTCGAGACCATCAACCCTCACAATGAAAAGGCCATCTGCGCCGTCCATGAGGCCACCGAGAAGGATGTCGACGCCGCCGTTGCTGCTGCGCGCGCCGCCGTCGAGGGCCCGTGGAGAAAGGTCACCCCAAGCGACAGGGGCCGGATGCTGACCAAGCTCGCCGACCTGCTCGAGCGTGATATCGAGACCATTGGCGCCATCGAGGCCCTCGACAACGGCAAGGCCATCTCCATGGCCAAGGCAGACGTCATCAACGCTGCCGGATGTCTGAGATACTACGGTGGTTGGGCCGACAAGGTCGAGGGCAAGGTTATCGACACCGACCACGAGACCTTCACCTACACCCGCCACGAGCCCGTCGGTGTGTGCGGACAGATCATCCCCTGGAACTTCCCCCTACTCATGTTCGCCTGGAAGATCGGCCCGGCCCTGGCCACCGGTAACACCATCGTCATGAAGACTGCCGAACAGACCCCGCTCAGCGGCCTCTACGTCGGCAACCTCATCGTCGAGGCCGGCTTCCCCCCAGGTGTCGTCAACGTCCTCTCCGGCTTCGGCCGTGTTGCCGGTGCCGCCATCTCCTCGCACATGGACATCGACAAGGTTGCCTTCACCGGCTCTACCGTCGTCGGCCGTCAGATCCTCCAGGCCGCCGCCAAGTCTAACCTGAAGAAGGTCACTCTCGAGCTCGGCGGAAAGAGCCCCAACATCGTCTTCAACGATGCAGACATCGACAATGCCATCAGCTGGGTCAACTTCGGTATCTACTACAACCACGGCCAGTGCTGCTGTGCCGGATCCCGTATCCTCGTCCAGGAGGGCATCTACGACAAGTTCCTCGCTCGCTTCAAGGAGCGTGCCAACCAGAACAAGGTCGGCGACCCATTCAAGCCAGACACCTTCCAGGGCCCCCAGATCTCGCAGCTCCAGTTCGACCGTATCATGGGCTACATCGACGAGGGCAAGAAGGCCGGCGCCAAGGTCGAGGTCGGCGGTGAGCGTCACGGAACCGAGGGTTACTATATCCAGCCTACCATCTTCAGTGAATGTACCGATGACATGAAGATCGTCAAGGAGGAGATCTTCGGCCCTGTCTGCACCGTCCAGAAGTTCACCACCGAGGAGGATGCCATCCGAATTGCCAACAACTCTTCCTACGGTCTCGCCGCCGCTCTCCACACCAAGGACCTCAACACCTCCATCCGTGTCTCCAACAACCTCAAGGCCGGGTAAGCACAGCTGTTGCATCCACACATTCAATATGTATGACTAATCTCTATATAGAACCGTCTGGGTCAACTGCTACAACCTCATCTCCTACCAGTCTCCGTTTGGCGGGTTCAAGGAGAGCGGTATCGGCCGCGAGTTGGGAGGTACGTGTCTTCCCTTGTTCAAAGCTTACTATATAGACTCATTAACTAACTTGGTGCAGAATACGCTCTTGACAACTACACCCAGATCAAGACTGTTCGCATCCGCCTCGGTGACGCTATGTTCGGTTAGAGCAGTCATTAAGAGCGGAAGGGTAATGCAAGTGCGCTGAGTTGTCGTGCCGTGTAAAACGATTACCGAGGATGGAGGTTGAAGGGACAAAAAGTAAATAAAATACCAAAACAAAATCGCGAATGATGTTCACCCATATACATTATCCCTCTGGTGTCCCTGATCAGATCAGGTCCCCTTGTTTAAAAAACAATGATGCCAGGATCTATCTCTAGCATTCCCTAGACTTGTGGTATTTTCGGTTTTCATATAGTCATAAACAAAAAGACAAAACAGAGAAAAAGACGTAAGCAAACGCCAACCCATGCCCAAACATTATACCCAGCATCAGCCCTTGAAGGGAGGATAGGTACATAACTTAGAGAAAGTACTCTGCTTTCTGCGGCCTCGAGGCAGGAACATGTCTCATCTCCGCCGGCACTGCAGCAAACAGCTTGAAAACCGGTTTCAGGTCTTCCCTCACCTCACAAACGCTCGCCATATTAGCGCATCGGTAACAGTAGTTCGGTGCACTCCAGACTGTGACCATGGCATGGCTGTCAAAGTGGTATTTGTATCCTTCGTTGACGAGTTGGTGCGCACGGGCAATGAGGTTAAGATCGTTGACGGCACAGAACTCGTCTGCCACACGGCTGCCAAATAACCAGCCTACACCCAAGTTCACATTAGCACACCATTTATAAAAGTAAAGACAGAGGAGTTTAGTTTAAAGGGAGAGGGGGGTGCATACCAGCTCCACGTGGGCTAACGGCCCACGTTAAATCCTCTGTCTCATCTGGATCCGACCAGACAAGGTCGCAAAAGGCCCCCTCATGCGGAATCTCCTGTGCCCTCGCAACGATACGAACTTGATCCAACGTTCGGATCTCCGGGCTCAGCCCACCATGTAAACAAAGCACTTTCCCATCGACTATGACGCCCAATGTCATAAAGTCAAAGACTTGACAGCATGCTTTCCAGACAGATGCGTTGCCGTATTTCTGGACGCATTCGTCGTAGAAGCCATATACCTGCGTGATCTGGCGCGATTCATGGTTCCCCCGGACAAGAGTGATCCTATTCGGATACCGTGCTTTCAGACATAATAGTAGGGTAAGCGTTTCCAGACTAAAGTATCCTCTATCCACATAGTCGCCTAGAAATATGAAGTTGCCGATAGGCGACGTGTCTTCCGTCCTGCTTGCGTTCGTAGCTTGTCCGTCAGTTTCCTCGTCACCGTCGTCTTCAATAACGGAGTTAGGTGGTGAGCTTTTTCGTAATCTCTGCTTCAGCTTTGGGTCTGTAATGGTCGTCGGTGGCTCGATATCCTCGGATGTTATAATCGGTGCTTGGGTTGAGGGAGCGGCGGGCCGTGTATCACCGGGCATTCCGCCGGCCACGCGGAAGAGCTCTAGCAAATCGTAGAATTGCCCATGTATATCACCACATATGGTTACAGGGGCGGAAACCGGTTGAATATTCGATTCTACCTGATTAGCTTGGGGTTGAAAGAAACAACTTGGTGTTTGAAGACGCCCTACCCTCCATCATGTATTCCTTTACCACCTCACACAGCTGCTTCATGTGGTGCTCTGACAGGTATTTGCAGTTTTTGGCCGCCTCAAGCCACTCGTCTGGTCCAGCATTGGGCTTCAGTCGCGCTGGGCCAGGCTGGGGGACTGACGGGTCTACCATCGTGGGGGCTCAAATCACACCGGAGTCACAACAAATCATGGGCGGAAGGCGTCAGTGAGTGCTCGTTCGTCAGTAGAATATCGTGGTTATTCGTATGTCGTAGAAGCCAGTCTATCTTTTTTTTCTCTCTCTCTTCTCGTAGTTCTTGATATGACGCTGTCTTGCTGTCTCTTGCTGTTCTGTCCCTTCGTCGTCTTCTGACGTTGGTTGTCCTGCTGAGTCAGCTTCTTCTCTTGTTCTTCTAGACGAAGTTTAATATTAAGCGTAATTTTAGTTTATTTTTTATAACATCAAGAGAAAAATAAGATGTGGAAGGAAGGCAAGAAGACTGGCGTTAAAGATCTCACGGCTAGCCAATTTTTATGAGGCTGTTACTCGTATCCCGAGTTAACCCCTCCCCAGTCCTTAATGCCGCTAAATTATAAGGTGTCTCGTGGAAGATATTTCGCTTCTTGGGTGGCGAGCCCATGTTACAGACCAGCGGGGGCATTTTTCTTCATTATTCTATCCCCGTTTCTGGTGGCTGAGCTAGAGAGCGTCTAGTGGTGCTGGAACCCCAGTCAGCATAAACGTTTAGCCCACTCAGACAAGATGCAATCCCAGACAAGAAAAAAACGTGGGTTTTCTCCACGCGCGCCCGCCAGCCTTGCGATGTATCACCAGCTGGCCTTACCTGTCCCATCCATCTTCGACCCTTAGAAAGGAAGACAGAGAAGGCAGCTTGCACATATATTTTCTATGGGGCCCGAGGCAAGAGAGAAGAGGAGTGGGAGGGAAATATAGGGAAGTTTAAGAAAAAAATTACTCGTGAGCTGTTACATCCGAATGTCAAACCCGCTCCACTCTCTAGACAAGCGCCGAGGGTTGTGTCGCTTCTGAATTTTATGTCATCTTTGCGGTGTGTGGATTTGATGATATTGGCCTGGACTTGAATTTGGGAGCTTCTTCCATTTTTCCATCACATCATGAGCTGTCCTGTTTTGGTATCTTCCCTGTTTGCGGACCGCCATGGCATCTAATTCACAGCGCCAGTTCTTGACCTGGGTCCGGAAGGCATCAAAGCCAAAAAGACACCATCATCACAACCAGACCTTTGAGATAGAGAAAGATTTTAATTCCTCCTCTTCGACCATATCCTCTGACAGCACTGAAAGGCAGTCACTAGACAGGCATCACTATAGCTCTGCAGCTCGCCTATCACTCGCCCGGCTTATTGCCGATGACTCTATTGAGGTAGACCGGCTCCTCCTCGCATGTCGGGATCTGGGTGGCTTCTACCTAGATCTAAGGTCGACTGAGCTAGGCGAGGAGGTCATGTCCGATGCAGACAGGCTTTTTACCCTGGGAGAAAACGTCTTTGACCTACCAGAACATGAGAAGAGAGCATATGATATGGCCAAATTTGGTGGCTACTACGGGTAAGAAATGGATTCTTACAGCCTCTTCCCTTCGCCCAGCTTACAGGTCTACAGATACAAAGGCTACCGCAACCGTACTCTCGACCTCAAGGAATTCTACACCGTCTCAAAAGACGATATACTGGGCCTTCAATGTCCAACAAACGCCTGTCGGCCCCAGCCTCCGTCCATAAATTCATCACGTCCTCTAATACAAACATACATACGAAACTCTCATGCCATCATCTCACTAATCCTTTCTCGTCTGACCTCTGCCTTAAACCTCCCACAAGGTTCATTAGAGAGCATACACCGCCGCGATGCAAACAGCGGCGATCAAATACGCTGGATCAGGCTGCAGGCAAGCAAGGAGGCGCGTCCCCCTCCCGAGAATGACGTTCTGCTAGATGAACACTCAGATTCCAACAGCGTCACCCTTATCTTCAATCAATCTGACGGCCTTCAGTTCCGATCCCCCCAGCCGGAACATTCACTCCACAATCTCCCTATCCCCAGAGAAAATCCCACCATTACAACCCCTACCAATGCCACCGCGTCTTCTTCTCCTAACGCCACCGTTGACTTTTCTCAGGGACCCTCAACTTTCCCTGCCAACTGGATACCCGCGAACCCTATACCAGGCCACTGCATAATCCTGGTGGGTGAGCAGCTCGTCAAGCTCACTGACGGCAATGTCCGGGCGAACGTGCATCGTGTATGTGCGTGGTCCGGAATTCAAGGCAGCAGCCCTCGGTACTCACTTGTATACTTTTCACGGCCTGAAGATGACGTTATCCTGAAACAACTTGCCGGGATCCCCGTCGTCCCAAAGTCGGTTACCGCACCGAAGGGCTCGCGTGAACTACAGAACCAGTGTAAGCGACTTAGCAAAGTATTCGAGGGGAAGGAGTGGATGGGGTGGGCTAGATCGTCTTCGCCTCGAACAAAAGAGGTAGCTTAACGCGAAAAGACGAAGACTGTAAATATATACATTGACGATCTAATGATAATGTATGGGGGAAATGCACTAACTAGAAGATTGACTTCCAGACGGGGATTATATTATTATTATTATCGTCATAATTACTTTGGATGGTACTGAGAGGTTTGTTCAGGAGTTCATTTTAGAGAATGGTTGTCATATATATATATATACATGCTCGCGCATTTCAAATTTTCCTTATGTGGGCATGTCTTGGAAGGTGTGTAGATAGAATTTTTTTTCTTTCATAAAATTAGAGATATTATTTCTGAGCCATGTCTATATATCTACCACCATGAACATGGAGCTCTTTACTAGGTATAAGGCACATAGGAAACACTCGTGGCAATGCGCAGGGTATACGAAAGCCAAGGTGCGTACAAAAGGGACTAGTACTACAATCTTTTCTTGTCCCGTGGGCATCGCGAACAGTGGGTCGATAAGCATCTGACATGGATCAAGGGTGTTGACCATAAACGTGTAGTATCAACCGCAACAAACAGTAACCTTACACGCATCGCTTCAGGAGCCCTTCTCATTAGCTACGGCTGACGGAGTAAAAAGGGGGAAATTGAATGAATAAAAATCTCACCGTTTCTCTTGGCTCTTCCAGGAGAAGACAAAGCTACCCAGGAATGCCCCGATGAGTATGCAGATGATGAAATATCCGTTATAGTACATGGCCAGCAACATTATGAAATATGCTACACCAAACTGCACCATATGCAACAGGGACCGCAGAGTATGCTGCAGGAGAGTTGGCGAGCGTCTTCCTCCCACAGCCGGGTCAGCACATCTATTTAGTGCTGAGCTTGACCCGGGGCTATCTGGCTTGGGCTGGTCGGCGTCTTTACTTCCATTTGGAGATCCTAAGGCGGTGGAACTGGAGCTGAAGCTATTGAATAGAGACGGTTGGCCGGCAATGTAGCTGTCGAATTCATGGCCTACACGGCGCAGAAACTCGAGGGACATGACGAGCAGGATCACGCCGATACAGGAGCCCGCGAACATGCCTCTGGAGGTGATTCGCCATGTTGACGATATGAAACCTATCCGTCGTCTCATGAGATGGCCATCCTTGCGGAAGAGGTTGGAAGCAGATACAACAAGCTGGGTAGAGGTAGGCAAAGCTCACATGCATCGATGACGTTCCAATTCCATAGCATCTAGTTTTATATATGAGTAAGGGGAAGAAACTAGCGGTCTGGAGAGGGGCAGCCTTACGGATATCTTACACTGGTTCCCACCCATGCCCATATCGTGCATGCCGTGGTGGTCGTGGTGGTCGTGGTGGCCGCCGGTTGGCATGGGCATCGCGCTAGTCATTGTCATTGTCATCGCCATGTTCATATCCATATCGATCTTCCCTGAATTGAGACGTATGCCTGTAGGCTGGGAGAAACTGACGGAGTAAGAAGAGATGGCAGATGGAAGAAGTCCGGCACCCCCCTACTTAGGTCTGTGAATCCGTAGATATATAAACATGTTCGATGGGCGTAAGGGGAAAAAAACCTGAATCCACCAACTCCACCAGAATTGAAAAAATGTTCAAAAACATGCTCAAATTTGCTCGACCTCGATCTCGAACATTCGCAGAACCGGGAAAAGGCCTTTACATAGTAGAGATCAAACCCGACCTCACAAAGGGCGTAGTTGATGTGAAGGGCGGGAAGACCTTTTTTCTTTGTGCTGGCTCTCGCAGTTGGTTGATGCAGTAACTAGTTAACATGTAACTGGATATCCTGGACACAGCTGCATGATAACTGACTGCATATCAGCAGCCATATATATCAGATTAGTGCGCCCTTCTATCACCGTCAAGCCTTCAACTTATCTCAAAGCTATCAACTTGACTGTCAACCGCGATCATTTGTTGTAAAAAAGTTGTGCCACGTGACTAAGCTTTCGACATCAAAACATCGACAGAACTCGCAGATTGGAACTTTTGATTCGATGATGGAATATTAAAGAAACAAGTGGAAAGACGATAAGCCGGGGGGTTAGATACGTTGTACAGCTACCATGTCGCAGAAGCCTCAACCAAAAGCGTCTCCCGGAGTGCTTGCTATAAACGCAGCAGCAACCCAAAAAGCTGCTCCTCCGCCCGCACCATCCAAAGAACACTCGAGCAAAGCAAATGCTCCCCGACTAAAGCTCCATGTCAGGCGTCTGCCGCCTGGATTGACACAGGTCGAGTTTGAGTCCGCCTTGGGAGACCACTGGAAAGCCGGACGAGGTAAAATCGACTGGTTTCTCTTTAAAGAGGGGAAGGTCTCGTCTGAGTCAGTGTTCCAGTTAAACAGCTACGAGTATATGCATTTTTATATTTATATTTGCATTTAAAACTAACAGTGGGTTTCATTATATAGCCCTTCGAAACCATCGCGCCCAGGGAGGGCCTATCTGCGAATCAACTCATCGGTAACTATTCCGGAGCTCTCAGACGTCATCCGCCAAACGTCCTTTCAGGATGCACGGAATACCTATAATGACCCTGCTTTACTTGGGCCGCCAACACTTGAATATGCCCCCTTTTCACGTGTGCCCAGTGGAAAGGTTCGAAATGATGCTCGCGTGGGCACTATTGATCAGGATGCGGAATTCATAGCCTTCCTCGAGAGCTTGACGAACCCAGTTACCAAGCCATCCGACGAGGAGACAACTGAGAGTGCGGAAAAGGCAGAGAAGCCGACTATCACACCCCTGATCCAATATCTAAAAGAGAAAAAGGCGAATAAGGCGAAGGAGGCGGCTGCCGCAAAATCATCAAAACAATCCCGATCTGCCGCTGCAAAGGAGAGCAAAGCTGAAAAGTCTATTGGGAAGAAACAGCTTCTCAGCCGTGCAGACAAGCCAGTCTCAGAGAAACAGAAAAAGGATAAGGCTACAAAGGACGCTGCCGTAAAGGATGCTGTAAAGGCCACGAACAAACAGGCTGCAAACGGGCCCGCAAAATCTGAAACAATAAAAGCAACCCAGGAGGAACTGCAGGCCTGGCCCCTCCTTCTCCGGCTCCAGAGCGGAAGAGGGAAAGAGGAAGCCTCAGTGCTGCCACCAAGATCCTACGACGAGACCTGGGTCTTACTCCTCCTACAAGAAAAAGAGAGAAGGCTGGCCAGTCACCTTCTCCAGGGCCTAACGGCAACCCTGTTAGTGAGGACACGAAGAAGGATCAGCCGTCAAGCTCCAAGCCGGAGGATAATAATAAACCAGCGTCAACTACGCTCAAGGGCAAGAACAGTGCTGATTCAACGCCAAAGTCAACGCCGGGCAAACAACTCAAAAATACTCCACCTACAGAGCCAGTGGCATCTCGGACCGCAGCAGCAAGAAGAGCAGCAACCCCCCCGTCTACCGGTCCATCTCCAAACACGAAGGCGTCATCAGCTCCCAAGAACCAGCAACAGCAGCAACAATCCTCTCAGGCACCATCCTCAAATGGAACCCAAGCGTTCTTAAAACATGCCAACCCTTCCCAAGGAGTGACGGAGGATCTACTCCAGAAAGGATTCTCACAGTTTGGCAAGGTCATACGTGTAGAGATTGATAAGAAGAAAGGTTTCGGTTACGTCGATTTTGCAGAACCGGCAAGTCTACGGAAAGCAATGGACGCGAGCCCGGTATCTATCGCCCAAAGCCAGGTCGTCGTGTTGGAGAGGAGGACGTCAGCCGCTGTAGCACAGAACAGAGGTGGCCATGCCAACCGTGGTGGAGGTGGAGGGCATGGTCCAGCCCATACCCAAACCCCGTCACAGTCATCTCAAGGATCAAAACCATCGCAGGCAGCATCCACTACGCCTGCACCTACACCAGCTACGCCCCCTACATCTCGAGGAGCCCCACAAGGTTCTCGTGGTGGAAGAGGGCCGAGAAGAGGCCACGGCCGAGGGGGTAGAGGGGGTGGCCGTGGTAAATAAGTCAATATCAGTTTATCCTCATCCCTTGTCATTATGCCATGCGGAACTAGATACGCAAGCATGTAGACAAACCAATCTCATGCCATACATAGCGCTAATATCTTATTGTCTGAGCAAACATCGAGTCATTAGGCATAAAACAAGCTACGGACTACAGCAAATAAAACTGGAGATAATGAAGAAAAAATTCATCAGCTACTTATACTAATACTACTAGGTAGATGAAATTTTTCACAAAACACCATAGTCCCACTTCCAACTCAATAAGATTGTTGATAGAACCTTTCAGACCTCCTCGACGCCCACCTTGCCAGGCCGACCGAAGTCAGACGCCACGACAAGGTCAAGATCATCACCACTCTCTAGATCAACAGGATGAGATACAATCAAACGCCGAAGCGTAATCATGTATCATCAAGTCTGCCGAAATATAAACGAGAGTAAAAAAAGGCTTCACTTTAGGGTATCGAGGACATAAGGGTCATCAGCAAGGTTGGGACTCATGTCGCTTTCGTAAAAACTACAGAGTAGGGTCGTTTACTATAGAAATGCTATTGGAAGGATAAGTTAGTTATTTGCTGTCATCGTCAAAAGGCACGCGGCTGTGCCTGGGATTTCAAACTGTATACTTACATTCTTTGAAGTAAAGTCGACTGGTTTTTAGAAAAGGGTCGAGGGGATGAGGAGCTTTTATACCTTTTCCAAACCGCGCTAACGCTAAGCGAGAATTCGAAAATTTTTTTTCTGGTGGGCCAAGTTTATGCCTGACCAATAAGGAGAAGCTTATGTCATGTTTATATAACGATATGCAAACAAGACAAACATTATCGGGTAAAAGGTTCGGATAAAGTTAAGGTTCGGATAAACCGTACAACGGGCCGAAGTAAGTCCGAAGTTACTTTTTACATCATCTCTTTTTTTCCTCTTTTATTATGGAGTACTATCAAAAGAAACATGGCCGGCGGCGACGACGACAATGTGTTACAAACGCCCCTTCAGTAACAGCTGGGTATCAGTGGAGATTGCCGATGGCTGTCTGAGTATCACGGATCTGCGGCACACAACAGCCAACCAACTACGCCGTGGCATGCGGTGACAGTCCATAATAAGAAAGTTGATGCACGCCCCAGTGGATGAATTACCTGCTAGTGGACAGATACGAGAGACAGTTGCATACATTCCATTGATGTATGCATGTGTGCATATGCGTGATGTAGCTATTTCTTGGAACTTTTTTTTTTTCAATGGTGTTTGCAGATGCGCCGCAATTCTCGTATATCTCGGCTATTAATCTGGTGAAATCGAGAAGCCGTTTGTACTTCGCTACTCTCGTGCCATTACCCGCGACTAAGAGAGTAGGTGCCTATGAGAACAAAGCACGTGGTGAAGCTTGCCACTATTATACCCTATTCCGACTTTGGTGACCATGGTTTTGGTCCTCGATCCTCACAACCGTAAGATGCTGGGTCCGGAAGGGGGGGGATTTCAGGTGTGGTGCTCCATTTGAAAACCAGCTTCATTCGACTCTCTTTCATCTTTGTTCATCTTTAATACCACTCCAATCTTAGAACAATGAGTTTACTCACATTGCGCCCTTTGTTGTCTATCCTCTTCTTCATCTTTATCATTGCCGCAGACCCAACACTTCACCGCATAGATAGACGCGGATCAATCAGTGTGCTGAATTCCACTTCCTTTTCTTCCCCTAGCAAAGCTCAGTTCATATCAGGAGACATAGACTTTGATGCTCCAAAGCTCGATTTGGTCAACCAAACTGTCTATGACTGGTGGTATTTTGATGCTGTGTCAGACGATAGAAACACATCCCTTACCGTCTGCTTTTTCACCAGCTCTTCTGTGGCGTTTCCATTCCTGGTGCCTAATAAAGGAATTCTACCAATATATATATGGGCTTCCTTTCCCAATGGAACTGTGTCAACGCGTATCGTACATGCCCGGGGAGCGGTTATTGAAACCTCTCGAGATGGATACGCTGGTATCTACCATCCCATACAGATGGGATGGCAGGGCTCTGCTGACCTTGCACGGTACCACATATCTTTCAATGATACGACTCATGGAATTAGAGGCAAATTTGACATCAGATCTGTATGTCATCCGCCCTGGGCCGTGGCATTTTATGAGCGTTATATACAGAGCTTTGATAATTAACTTCAGCCATATCTAGGTAGCGCCACCACATTATCCATGCGGCCGTGCAGCTCGGAAGGTGGGTATGCAAATTTGTCCACATGTCGGGTGGGCCAACGCTGTGCCCGATGGCAATGCATCGGTTGATATGGAAATTGCGGGATCGAGGCTCCAGTTTCATGGTTCTGCATATCATGATAAGGTAAGCACACCGCAAAAATCTGCCACAACAGCAAATCCCAGATGTTTGTGTTTAATGCCTACTCCATACTTACTCGTGGCTAGAACTGGGGTGACGCGCCGTTTGCAACAACAGCAAAGACATGGTACTGGGGGCGGACTCGCATCGGGTCATACTCGGTTGTCTGGTTCTACGTGCTTACTCCTCAACAAACGGAACATGTTAGTGCTTACATTGCTAAGGATGGGAAAATTAGGCATACTGCATGCGCCGGAGCATCCATCATACCCATGCGAAGCACAATTCCCCGTTCCACAACGGATACCTTGCCGATTGGATTCCGTATCGAATTCTACGCCACTGGCGGAAAAGTTTCATTAGTTAATATAACCGTTCATAACGGCCTGGTAATCGCTTCGGCTGGGCCATCGTATACACGGTGGATTGGAAATTCGACTGGATGTGTGATGGGAGACTGCGGGCTACACGGGCTTGGGACGCTTGAACAGTTCCAGCTGTGATCCCACCAGTTCGGTAACTCAGACGCCCAACCATTAAACCACATTCCATTTCACCACACTGTCTACATTTCTGCTTCGATGTACGTATTATAAATGCATACCAATCTGAGAAAGTCCTCTCACTCTCTCAGCTGTGGCCTAGTATCCCAACCACCAGGTAGCTAGTTGCCCATGCAATATCACAAATGACTCTACGTTATCCCAACAACTGCTGTCATAACACAGAACCCTGGACTTACAGCGTTCTCGGTTAGGAGCTAAGCAACATACATGGCTTGGATTTATATAACTATAGAACAGGCGCTTCCCCGGCCTTTCATGAGACCAGCCTGCCAACTCCAACTACATCAATTAAGATATATCTCACCTCAGTTTTACACCTGATACCAACATTTGATATCAATATTCAAAGATTGGAAACGATAAGGATAGACTCTCCGGCGAGAAGTCAGTTTAGCCTATGTCCGGTATGCCATCTCCCCTATCCTAGAATAAGATAGCCTTACTCACATGGCATAGGTGGCCTCCGCCGAAATGATTGGGCTTTGCTTGCTTTGGCCCTCCCGTTTATACTACATAATATATATATATCGTGGGTTTTAGGGCTGGCTGGAGTTCGAAAGCTAGAAAGACTAGCGTCGTCTAAGGGGTTATTACTATAGTATTGATGGTTGCTATCTCACCTAGAGCACTATTCTTGGGAATTCATGGAAGCGACTATAGATACATTTGCGAAGTTTTCAAAGTGATTGGGTACGAGTAATAAAATGAATGAAGTTTGATATTCACATGTTAATGAGCAGTTTCAAGGAATACCAATAAATTACTCCGTTATGAGCAACACTAGGTAGTTAGAGATAGGATAACACCGAACAAAGGGGCAAATCGCCCAAACAGTTTTCAAAACACTTAAACACCAAAATTGGGTAATCAAAAGAATGCAGGCAATGGTTGCTATCAAATGCGGCCTCAGAAGGGAATGTCAAGAATGAAAACGTTTTATGTATCGCACCGCTTATGTGGAAATATCAGGCATTCAAAAGGATATCAAAGTAGGGAGAACGACAGGGGGATGGAAGTCCAAGGGGTCGGGACTTAGGGAAATTGTGATTAAAAGGATATAGATCGTAGAGGTTTGGTCATACAAGTACGGAGCAGTCAGGGAAGGTAAAAAGCAGCCGCCCATGTAATTAAATGAAATAAGAGTAAAAAGAGAACTAAACCACCTCTTAGCTTATATTGAAGGAAACAAATGAAACAACTGCGCGGAAGGCGAGAAAGTGAGGGGTTTATATTCCACCATTACTGCCCTTACGCGATCCAGCTGCGGAGGGTGGTGTGGCACTGCTAGCATCGTCATCCTTTCCGGAATGAGATGCCGAAAAGGGTACTGCCGGCTCAGACTTTATAACTCTCGAGTTATCACTTTCAGCATGAGGGTCTTTGCCGCAACCTTTGACGAGAATGTGTCTCTGTGTAACAATAATTAACACCGGGCTCGTAGCTAAAATGAGGAGGGAGAAAAGACTGTAATTTAGCTTACCTTGAGGGCATCCTTTCTCGAAAAGCTCTTGTCACAGTGGTTACAAGGAAATGGCTTAACAGCCAAGTGTATGCGCTTATGTCGTTTTAAGTCGTGATTTCGGTTAAAGCTTTGCTGGCAAGTGTCACATCTGAATGGCCTATCATTTTGTGGACCAGGAGGACCGAGCCCATGCATATGATGGGCTTGCGGATGCTGGTGTGCGTACATTTGTTGTAAGCTGGCAGCATGCCCACTGTTAAATCCAGGAAGGAGGTTAGGCTGCATTGAACCTATCAAAGCCATCTGGCTAGAGGGGTGATGGACGTTGCTCATTACAGGGCCATTCATTGCTGGGAGAGAGTATGAAGGATATGGGCGGCTGTATTGTGGGAGAGGCTGTTGACCTTCAACAGGAACCTGCACCGGCACACCAAGTCTCTGGGAGCTGTCACTAACAGGTGTCTGATTCATAGACATCGAGGCTCCCGGATAATGCTGAAAGCTAGATGGGTGCTGGGGGATAGGGGATTGCTGGTGTCCTGGGTAACGGAATCGGTGGCCATATGGATCTAATGGTGATTGTTGTTGGGATGCCTGAGGCGATATATGACCAGAATTTGTCTGAGAATCCATTAATGTTTGCGCCATCGTTTGTGACGAATGTTGCTGTGGTTGATGTTGGTCGACCGGATTGGATGGATGCTGCTGAGAATCTTGTGATTGAGAATGCTGGGGTAGCTGTGAAATAGGCGGTTGTGAAGCTCCGGAAGATGGATAAGGAGATATTTGGCTGTATTGTGATAAGCCGTCTGCTGCAGTTGATGGAGGAATGTTACGACCTATTAGGCTATGTTAGGAAGGATTTTAATTAATCCATATACGAAAATTTCATGTCATACCAGCGTTGAATGGAAGAGATGGGACACCAGGCCAGTATGCAGGGTTGCTCTGCCCAGTGGCACCAGAAGTGCTAGGAGCCAGGTTTAACGAGAATGAGTTCGGCCTGTCTATCTGTGGTTTAGATGCCAGTCCGACGGTCCTCTTCTGACCTCTTGGAGACGAAGATGGCGCGTTAGAGCTGTAGTATTTCGATGAATTGGTTGGCTGAGGTTGTAACGGCTGCGGATTCGTGCGTTCAAAGCTCGGAAGTAACGTATCGTTTGACTGAGGAGTGAATTGTTGATGTGTATGGAACACCGCCCCCATTCCGGGCGGGGATACAGCAAGAGCAGCCACGGTTGCAGGGAATTCTCTGAAGTTATGACCTTGATAGACCAGTGAAATGTCTCTTGGTCAGGCTCCTGGAAACGCAATGGGTTGTTATTTTGATATGATAGTTGACGATGGGCTACCCATACAACCAGGTTATTATCCCAATGAACAAAAGATGCACAGATCGAGTTGTAAGCCGTGTATAAGGTATTTGTGGAGTTGAGAGTGATGTTCCTGCGCCACGCCGAAGGGCAAATGAACATCCGAGTGCAAGAAGCTTCCAAGTGAGAAATGAAGAAACCGTTTTCTGGACCACCTAGATCCTTAATAATGCTGCCAAAGATCGGTGAGGCTGCTTTCCTGAGTAACTATCTTAGGTGTTGAGCTAAAAAGCAAGCTATTCAAACATTATCTTTAATCCACCAGCCAAAAGTGGTTAGAGATAAATCCACTATGTGGTTGTTGAATATGCAGAGCTGGAGGACTGTGGCCCAGGAAAATGGAACGTAAAATTCCCCTCAAAAGAAAAGGAATAATTCCCCGGATTGGCTGTTGGTGTGGGAGGCACTTGTGACAGCACAAACTTTTTTCCTTTTGGGATGCAAACAAAAAGAGGAGCCTCAGAACGCTCCTCGCAGCATCACGCGTCCCAGTTGAGATAATATGATAAGAGTGGGCCGAAGCTCTGTAAACAACCAGTCCACGTTGCTAGATTCTGTTGCTAGAGGTAGTCTAGTGTTGGGGTATTAATTAATTTAATGATCTAGAGAGGTCAAAGTCAATGACGAACACAATCAAGAAATTTGTTTGCATGGGATCGACGGTGGCAGAAGGGGGGAATATGGGCTTCAAGATGAATACCTTGAATGGATTCAGATCCAAAAGGTGATAAAGAATCGGGACGGTGGAGTTGGTGGGACGATGATCAGTTGGTAGTGTAGATGCTCCGCTGGGCGCACTGGGGGTCCCTGACCTTGCAGCTTGACAAATCAAAAAGAAAGATGGCGATGCAAAGCTTTTTGCGCGATGTTTTTGTCAGGTCTTCAAAATTGCCCTTCTTGCTAGGTCCGTCCCTTTTTTCTCCCGCTGCTTAGGAGTTTGCGACGTGTCTGGTGGGACAAGCCCCCTGATACGTGGGTGGCAAAAAGGTTAGGGATTGGGTATCGCTCTGGCCTATTGAGAGTGAACAAAGGAGGTGAAGGCGGGTTACGGTCAGCTCCCATAAAATGGGATGCTGGGCCAGGGGGAACTGTAAAATAAATAAGCTGGAGGTGGGAAAAAAAAAACAGATGCTAGTCAAAATAAACCCGGGTCCAGATTGTATAAATGGCGAGGGCAGGTAAATAAGAATAATAAGCAATTTGGTTGAGGAAGGGATAAGTCACAAAAAAAAAAATTTCTTATCACAAGAAGAAATAAGTGGTGACAAGGGTGATAGGTAATAGTCGTTATTTTAGGGGACATACGCAGCAACCAGTCAAATATTGGGAAGAAACGAAAGAGCTTTGGATAAATTTGTCGATCCCCTTTTTTTATCGATCGACTTGCTCGTACCGCATAAGGAAGAAATTAATAGCGGATATATTAGGAACTCTGACGAAGGCGATCAGCTCGAGAAGTTGGGGGTGCAACAACAAGTCCAGATCAAGGGCCCCTTTTTCTTCCCGTACAACACATTCATCGACAGCGGGATTGCCTGCTGATGGACAGAATATATGTAGTCCATCATCAGCGGAGAACATCTCTGCCTATTCCGAGCCGATCCAAGTGTGAAAGCTGGCCAGGTTGACTCTTGACAGCCAGACATCGAAAAAGCATTTAACACGCGACAGCCCAGTCTCCTTTCAGCCTAGGGCTTTTGGGTTTCCATTCCTATCTCGTTTATTCAGTTCCAATCACGACGTTGCCTTGCTTTGGCCGCGAAGGTTGGCCACAGAACAACGAGCGTGGGCCAAAAGGAGATTTTTTTGGCAACAGCATGGATGACGGGAGGCCTTGACTGGGCTCCCCAAAGGCCTTGCTTCCGCGGGTCCCACTCGTAGTGGGCCAGAGGCTGGTGCTTATGCAGACAGAATATGGGACGGATCGCACCCATCCGTCTGTCACTGGCGCAGGATGTGGATGCGCCTTTTCCACTAGTAGATGTCTGTGTGACCGCCCTTGTTCTCGTCCTTCGACGATGTTGGTGGATCGACTTCACGCTGCGCATCCAGCGCAGGAAGCGTCGGCAGGTGGGCGGGGCAGAGCGTAAGAAATGGCGAGGCTAATGCAGCAGGGTGCAGGGATCCGTGGTCAAGAGTGGTAGGATGAAAATACTGCGGTCGACGCTAAGGAGGCCGACCATTCGCCTTCAAATGGCCTCGATCAACACTGGTCTCGCTGAATTGGCAAGGCTTGGCCCAATAGTGGTTGGGCGTCACCTCTCACACATCATAATCGGTCGAAGTAAGACGACCGTAAAGGTTAAATCAATCTAGTAAAAATCAGCGAGGCCTTCAACTGGTACAAAAAAGAAACACCTACAGTCACGAAAACTAGTATGGTGCATGAGGTATCAAGTATGTCATGGGCTCAAGAAGAAATGAAAAGGAAACAAAAGCTAAAAGCGCCAGATGCATAACGGTTTCAGCATTAAGACCTTCCTGGTTGTTGCAAGATAACACGATTGACAGGCAAACAAGCAAAGCTGCAACTCACCCCTTCTCGTACATATTTTCTCTGCATGTTCCCACGTAACAGACATATTAAGGAGCTGAGGCTAGAATCACAACCCAAAGAGAGGCCTCACCGCAACGGACCTCTTCGGCTTCCACTTTGATCGCTTCATAGTTTCGTAATCCCTGATAAATCGTGGGAATGAGCCTTCCTACTTGAGGCTAAAGAAGCTGCATGAATGTACTCCATACTCCGTACACTCCACAGTCTTTGAGCTTTTGGATGTGGTTCATCCTCTCTCGTCTTGCAACCTGACCGATACGTTGGCAACCCCACGAAACAAGCGAGCTTCAAGCTCGAAAGCTTCGATATGACGGAGGGCTGGCAGGGGGTCAGGCTCCCGAAGCTGGGGGACTAACAAGGCCCAGAAATGAATAGGCTGGAGGTAATTTTTTAACAAGAAACCCTTGCATGGCCATGCTTTGTTGGCTGACACCGACAGCTGGAGGCGCTCGCTCATTGGGACACGATCTGTCCCTCCGTATATACATTAATATAGCCCTGGGTTTTCTTGTTGATAAAAATAACATCCGGAATGGAGACCCGTCCCTAGGACCTGGATGACCCCTGGATAATAAATCAGATACAATTATCTATGCTCCAACTGTATAATGTATACATTGTAGGGATACGATCTCAGGATGAATCCACACCAGGATCAGGGTCCAGCATCCGATATCGAGCTTCAAGTCTGCCTTAGGGCTGAGCTAAAACGGTCACAGGCTGTTGACTCTGGCCCTTGGAGTCAACATATATCCTTGCTGCAATCGCCACTCCCACGAGGGAAAGTAGGACACCAGGCCGTGCCGAAACTAGCCTCAGCCTCAGCTCGTGAAGCACCCAGCGCTGCGTAACTTGCGCAGCCAGCATCGGAAATTATTCATAAGGTGAGGCTTGATGTTGTCAGACTCTTGGAACCGCAACACGCGCTGTATATACAGAGCACCATGGGGATTCAAAAGAAAGAAACCATCTATTTGTTACCCGGAGTCGTCGTCAGGTTTCCAGTTTTCTAGTCTCGCAGTCGCTTTCTTTCCTTTTTTTGGAATAAAATATGCCTGTTGAATTGCCATGTTAGCTATCATCTTCCATACCTATCACTTCATAGGCCCAGACAGAGTTCTCAATGGTCATATTGGTACAGGGAGTTATATATTGGCATATATAGTGGACCCAGTCATGGCGAGTAACTAGTTAATCGGCAACCCAATGTTTCAGTTTATCTCGCAAAGAAAAAATCTTCTTGTTCCGTCCTTTCGTGTCCTTTTCACGTTGTTCGGATTTCAGCGAAATCGAAGACAAGCTTGACGTCGGTTGAAATAAGAATTGATTGGGTCGGCCCAAAGAGGCGATTTCCCTCTTATTGTCGCCTCGACCAGAGCAGCTCTCAGAGAATATCGTTTACTCGAGCTCATGAGCAGTTATCGACGCGAACGCTGAGGTTTATTTGGTCCCGAGAGTCCTTTTTCTTACTTTCGGTTCTCACAAATCTCAGCAAGAGTAGTATATATATCTTCTACTAAACCATGCCCAAGCAATACCCGAGTTCTTGGCCACCTTAATGTCACAGCGTGTGAATTGCCTTGCATATATTCAACCCTTCTTGGAGTGCCCGGTCTATGAAACTGGATATGATATCTAATGTGTGTCTACTTGATGCTGCTTCTCAAGCATCGATCAACCCTGGGAATCAGCGGGCTTCGAGGACGTAACGGGAAGCACCTGAGAAAAGCCTGGCCGCACCCGTTTTGAGGATACCATCATGGAACAGTGATTTTACATTCCTCTATACGAGATAGACTGCACTGAGAATTGCTTCCATGCTGGCAATAATATTTGGAGTGATGAGTTTAACATCTCAGACTGCTACCAGCCTGGGAATGAGCCGGGGAAGAAGCAAAATGTGTGTCCCCGAGACCCAAAAACATCAACAGCCAGAAACATCTCCTTGATGAGTTATTAGAATAGGTTGCAATTGAAAAGTGAACTGGGCGGAAGCTGTCCTATTTGCTATCCATTATCCAAATTTACACTTGTCAGCTCTTTAACGTTTCTATCCCACCGGAAGTCTACAGAGTACTGCGTGTTTAAGGAGAGATAACAATTCCAACAAATACGTGCGGCCTTAGATGTTGGAACTCAGCTTCGGTGAGGAGGTGTGCATGCGTGATATACCCTGTATCCCTGTTAGTTAGTTGTCAATTTATTATCTACCCAAGCCCCGACTTGTGCCCCATCTCCAGCCCTCTCACTCACTGCTAGTATTTCGCTCCATCCAACCTATGGTTAAACGAGTCATCGAGATGGATACGAAAAATAATCCAATGCGGATTCTCCCGTTGGCAGCTGGCCTGACGGTCATTGTATACATCGCCATAGAAATCTGGCGTTTCTTCGTCCGTCGTCAGTTCGCTCGTTGTCACGGTTGCCGGCCGGTGGCCAGATCCTCGAATAAGGATCCCTTTCTAGGGCTCGATGTCATCCACAGAAGCATCCGCAACTCTAGGAAGCACAAAGCTCTTGAAAGGAGTTGTGAGCGCTTTCATAAACTCGGGAATACATTTAAACTTAGAGTGTTTTTCACCCCCATAATTTCCACCGTGGAACCCGAGAATATCAAGTCCGTCCTTGCAATCAATTTCAAGGATTATGGAATCATTCACCGTCTCAAAGTTCTAGAGCCACTTTTAGGGAAAGGAATCTTTGATACTGATGGCGACCACTGGGCCAGATCGCGAGCCTTGATCCGACCCAATTTTGCTCGCGATCAGGTAGCGGACTTGACAATGTTTGAAGATTTGATACCGGACCTATTTGCATTGATTCCACGTGATGGGAAGACGACTGTAGATTTGCAAAGTCTCTTCTTCCGCTATACCACGGATTCTGCTACTGATTTCCTTTTTGGAGAATCAGTTGGTAGTCTTAGGAAATCGCAGTCAGAGTTCGGTTTCAGCAGCGCATTTGACTACGCTTTGAAGGCTGTTGCGGAGCGAGGTAGGCTGGGGCCACTAGGCGCCTTTTACTATGATCGAAAAGCGGATGAATGCAATCGCATATGTCGAGAGTTTGCGCTGCAGTTTGTCGAAAAGGCAGTCCTTGTGGTCCAGTCAGATAGGAAAGTCGGAGAGCAAGAAAACCCCAGAATGAAGGGCCAGAAATATATTTTCTTGCACGAGTTAGCATCACGCACATCTGATAAGCGCCGTATTTTGGATGAGCTCATGAATGTGATGATTGCTGGGCGCGATACCACAGCCAGCCTTCTGAGCAACATGTTTTTCATGCTGGCTAAGTACCCAGCGATATGGGCAAAGCTGAGAGCAGAGGTAGCTGGCTTGGAGGGTCAGCTACCCACCTATAGCGAGCTACGGAACCTCAAATATGTCAAATTCTGTATCAATGAATGTAAGAAAAGCCGCCATTTTTACCCCGTCATACATATCTAACTGACCATCACCAGCATTGCGTCTTCATCCTGTCGTACCAGTGAACGACCGCATAGCACTGCGAGACACTGTCCTTCCGGTAGGAGGTGGAAGGGATGGCCTATCCCCAGTCTTTGTCCGCAAGGGCACCATAGTGAGTTATAATGTATATGCAATGCACAGACGCACAGAATTCTACGGCCCCGACGCAGAAGTATTCCGCCCAGAACGTTGGGAAGACGGGCAACTTCAGCCTCATTGGGGGTATTTACCCTTCAACGGTGGGCCGCGCATCTGCTTGGGCCAGCAGTATGCATTGACCGAGGCCGCGTACGTTACAGTCCGCATGGCCCAGGAATTTCGGTTTTTGGAGAGTCGAGACACAGGGCCATGGGAGGAATCGTTAACGTTGACCCTCAGCTCCCTGAATGGAACGAAGGTATGTGTCACTCCAGCTTAGTTTGGAATGGCAAAAATGGCCTGGTACAACAATGCATACAGGCTTCAGGCCTTTTTATAAATTACCCATCTCCCCCCTAGAGAATAACCTCACAACTCATACAGTCGTATTACATAGTATAGTGTCTATCAAATCAAATCACAAGAATAACTACTTGTCTTATTAGTTAAGGGAAAGACGCTGATATCTCTTCGAGGATAACTATTTACGACCATCTAAGTGTGTAACGGGCCCCCCATGCTTAATGGTAGGAAATATAGACAGCTATTATTTAAATAAGTGTCAGTCTGAGTACTTTGCTAACTAATATCTCTACCACGCGACCGATATCATGTCATATTCTCCACTTCGCTGGACCATTATCTCCGGATTCCTAGAACTCTATGCAGATATAATTCCTGTATGGATCGATATTTCTCCTCCAAGGCTCCATCAGGGCCAAATAGTTTCGCCCGATCTGCTTCTGGGACAAGTAGCGCAGCGTCGATAATAAGTGTCGCTGTGTCCTCGATAGCTATCTTATCTGCCCGGGCCTCACTTTTCTGCCAGCGGGGATATTCACGAACCGACGCAAAAATGTTGAAGGTATTTAGAAGCTCTATTGGACTTATTTCCACAATGTGCATGGCCAGGTCGAAAGAGAGGCCGTAAGCGTTGGCAAAATCGGATTTGAACTCTGGCACTTGCTCCATGTCAAGTTGCTCAGCATATTGGATTGCTTCTACATCATCGACGATGTCCCCGCCGTGAGTGAGTTCATGTCTCGCTTGCTTGATCATTATTTGGTCTGCTGCAGATATTCCTTCGTCATCAAACTCGACTTCATCGTCGGTGGTCTCCTGGCCATCTTCATCTAAACCAGGGGTTTCCTTTCGATGCTTAAGAAGGGTTCGTTTCTTGAGTATACGGACACGCCAGGCCACGCTCTTTTTGCCAAAGTGTTTGATGATGCGCCTCAGATCTTGAAGTCGTCCCCTTGGATCAGAATATCCTGTGGATGTAGTTGGGGACGTCGGCCCCTGGCCTTCCATCTGGATCAACAAAGCCTGTTAGTTAGATTGCAAGAGAAAAGGAATCCCGAATATGAATATTGAAATCTCATACCTCTGCCAAAAGTTCAGTAAAAAGGTCGTCAATGTCTTTGCTTAATTGCACGTTTCGCTCATGAAGTTGTACTATTTTGCCTGGCGGTACAGGCACACCTCGGGCCATCTTTAAATCTATAGCAGGGCAGGTTGATGTGTTATATGTTTGTTCTTCGCACTATTCTGTCTTGCTAGATTAGTATCACTTCGCTTGATCAACTAAGATATGTGGGAGCATTCAGGGTTAACTCACAGATTATATACCCTCTCACATAGCACTCCTTTTGGGATTACCCAGGTACTTGGAGGTAACTGCCATCGATTCATAGAACTCATCGTTATAAATGCTGCACCTGGTAGTACATTAATGAATACCCGGCAATTTTCGACACCCAGTAAACTTCCAGCATATCTATAAGATGGATACTTCCAAGGTTGACTGGCCCCTTACTTGATTTCCAGTGAATATATAGCACTAGCAAATACTCTAGCTGCTGGGGCGTAGAGGAAGTTATATACCTTCGATAGAAGAATATGGATATCAGTACCCCGTAGAGTGGGTGGAAGAAAACGAAACCAATATGTAGATTTAGAGTGAGTAGGAGAACAAGTCACTAGCCTATCCTATCCTATCCCATTGACCAAACCACGTCATATAAAGTAGGAAATAAACTAAACAGCAATGCGCACTTCTGTCTAAATGCCCAACCAGAAAAAAAAAGCAAGAAACAATGATACTGAAAGAGCAACGATAGGGTGGATGTAAGAGTAAGAAACAATATTATAAGGGAAGCGATGGTTGGGCATTCAGAACAGACGCGGTTGTATCAAAATCAATCAATCAATCAGGGGGTGGGAGGAAACATCAGGGAAACATCAAAGGGGAGAAACTGAGAAAAAAGAAGGAAATCAAAGCGTTCTATAAAGTAATACCGGAAGCTGAATAAGGCGAGATAAGGAAATGGCGTTACGGGGAGTAAAACAAAAGGTGCTGTGAATGGGCGAGGTGGTTGTATTATTAGAAGTGGAGTTTAACAAAGCCAGGAAAGTGATGTACCCTTTGTTCAACAAGAGGTACCATAATCGACATTACATCGATCAGGGGAGGGAGAGTAAAAAGGCGACTAAAGCGAAACAAGCGAGCGAAATATATATAACCCGGGTAGCTGAAAACAACCCGGAGGGTGGGGATATTTTCGGCCATTGGCCAGGCAAAATGCAGTTCATAAACGTCAAATGCCCCATTAAGAACCTCCAAAAACGTTTATAGAAGATCCACATTGATAAAAATCGCAAGAGATATCATAATATCCGACTGGAGTAAATGGAGGGAAGCCCTTAATCATAGGCTCATGGTCAGCCACTCCCACTCCTGGCTATTAGTTCTCGACGCACCAGCCGCTAAACTGTGATGAGCAGGGTTAAAAGCCGCTGGAGGTTGACGAGGTTGTTGTGGTGCCTGAGTTACCCTGTGCCTATTCGATATATCTCGCATCATGTCAGATTCTGGAGGGTTTCTGACGTTCGCGTACATGCCCGAGACTGAACTTTTATCGAGGCAGCGAGGTCGCCCTGGGATAAGCCGTGACGGTGTACCAGACGCTGTTGTTGGGATGATATTGCTACTGGATGACGTGGCTGGGAGAGTTTGCCTTGGCGGCGCTGCTGCGATTGGTACGGCTGTTCTCGAAGGAGCGGATGTCGACGTAGGGGTGGTGCCTGTGCTGGTAGGCGTACTTGAGATTGGAGTAGGCGGTTGGGATGAAGCTGGTGGTGCTCTGGCAGGTATGGGGGCCGATACAGCGGACTGGTTAGTGGAATTTTTTCGAGCAGTCTTCTTGCCTGCCCTTGCCCCAGCACCAGCCGCGACATTGCTTCCTCCACCACGATTGCGTTTCTTAATGACATCCGTTTTTAGAGCGAGGGGCCGTACAACGCCGTGAAGTTTGAGGAACAGGCCACAAGCGTTACATAAGAATTGGCCTTCGGCGTTACGACGCCAGAGGGGAGTAGTTTGCGTGAAACAATTAGAGCACGATGTCGTTGCACCAGCGGGATCGGAGTTCTTGGTGCCACTAGGACTTGTAGGTCTGGAGGGAGTGTTGCTGTTGGGTCCGGAGCTGGGAGAATGTGGTGATTTAAAACCGTTGTTGTCTGTTCCTTGTCGAAGGAGCTGGGTTGCGTTTGGCGTAGATATGGTTCGGGGAATCTTTTGTCGTCTGGGATCTGGATCGCGGTTACGCAATTCGGTTACAGACGCGGCTGACCCGTGTGTCCGGTTTAAACTTCCAACTTGAGCCCAGTCGCTGCTCCTGTCGTCTAATTCGGCTGCACCAATAGCGGATTGCTTTGACGGCTGGCTGTGGGTGGACGGCATGGAGTTAATGGAACCTGTATAGCTTCCGTCCCATTGCATACTGGAGCCAAAGTTCATTGAAGGGTCGTCGAGCATATTAAAGTCGGCAGAAAGATCCATATTGCGGTCAAGGAATGCATTTCCACCATCTTCCTCATTATCTGAATCTCCACCGAAGCTGAACACGTTCCCCTTGGCAGATGATAGGCTGGTGGACGGCCGAGCGGAAGAGTCCGTAATCGGCTGGCAGGTAGATGGGGTAAAGTGCTGCTGCTGCTGCAGGCTGAATCCGGATGGGTTGACTACAGAAGATGCACCGCTACTTCCAGCCATGTTGAACGAGTGATCGTTGCCGGCATGGTGGTACATGTACCGGGATGTTGAGGGAGCTGAGAGGTTGGAGAGAGAATGTGAGTGGAAGGAGCCTACGGGATGCTGGAATGCAGAGTGGTCCTTTTCAAAGCCAGGGTGGGGAGTTGAGACTGCAGAATGATAACCTGAGGCCGTCAAAGAAAAGAAGTCTGTGGAGTTGATCGATGAGCCTAGTGGGGTATGTGAATATAGATTGGAAAACGTTCCACTCTGCATATGAGACAGCTCTGTGGGGGAGAGCTGAAAGCCAGTACTAAACGATGGATGCTCCAGGGCGCTGGCATCTTCAACCTGGAATGTATCCAGGTTCAGCGGCATTGAATGAGGTGGATGGCTCCCCAGGCTAAAACTGTGACTATGGCCGTGGCCGTGACCATGGCTGTGGTCGAGGGTGAAGTCGGTCATGCCCGCATCAGGGTCTGGATCATGAGAGATAATCAGTCCATGTACAGGAGGGACATGTGGTGACGAGTCAGCCGGTCGTTTTCGAGCCTAAGAGAGTCAGTTTGGATGAAATCACTGTACAAGAGAGTAAAATCATAATTAATAATAAAAGGAAAACTCACACTCCGTTCATCCACACTTGTCTTCCTCACTCGGCGCTGGACGTAGCCGAACTCACTGGTCTGGGTTCCAACATGCGGATGATGAGGCAGGGAAGCAGGCATAACTATGCCCATGGGTGACTGGAGCTCGTCTTTTGCATTCCTGATAGGAATTGCCGAAGCAACAGCATGCTGGGAGGAGGGATCGTCACTCATCGAGGGCGAGAACCCAGCAGGCGAACTGATAGAAGAGGAGGACGGGGCCACGAAAGGGTCGAGGTTCATGGGCTCAGCCGAAGAAGCGGTATTGTTGTCCTGCGATCGTTGAGCCTCCTCACTTTGTGCCTGTTCCAATCTGTTTGCAGAGTCAGCACCGAGGAACCGACATATTGAAAGAAATAGATAGTTGAAGAGAGACGAAAAAAAAAAAGTACCTTGCCTGCGCCTGTTCTCTCTCCTTTTCCTTTCGCAGACTGACTGCCATCATCCGCCAGGTCAGGTTCTCCATCCGCTCTTGGTTCGGCAACTGGGTCTTGGTCCGACTGTACAACTTCCATATCTGCGTCGCTAACGGGTCGTTCTTCTGCAAGTCCTCGGTGTTTTCCAGCGCAGTGCCATCTCTCCAGTCCGAGAATACTGACTCGCGGAGCAACCCCCCGCGAGTGACGCTGTCCGGCAACGTCCGCTCCAGCTTGTCGTGGGAAAACGGGACCAAAAGCAGGCGTCTCTCTGTTTCTTCCCCCCGTCTCCGTGGCTCTCTTTTCTTTTCAACGGCAACGCAACCACGGTGTAATCGCCAGGCAGGTTTTGGCTGCCACGACTAATAACCGGGTTACTGGACAATCGAGACCGAGTATCTGGCAGTCACAAAAAAAGAGCGTCGCTGCGTTGGAGGATAGCGAGTCCGTTGGGAAGACGGCAGCTATTCAGATAATGAGAGGGATGGAGGGAGTCCCGGCAGGGCCGTACGGTGGGGAACCCGCAGGATATTGGATCGACGATGGACGGACGGACGAGAAGGGACTTGCCAGAAAGCGCCAGCCTACGACTTCAAGTTGAATTGTTTTCGCAGGTCGTTGGTCGATGGTCGAGTTGTAGATAATTGATCGATGGTGGGAAACAAGAAGTTCGCCCACAACATGTGATTTCGGCTCGTAGGGCGAAGGAAAAAAAAAAGAAGATATATTAATAAATAACAAATCTTGATGGAGCCTTTTTTTCTCTCTTGGTCTTTTTTCTTCTTATGCAGGACTTGCAGCGATCGTGGAAGATGTATTAATATCATATATACATGGACTGACTGGCCGGGAAGACGGTCTTCTTCTCCTGTTCTCTACTCTATGGTGGTTCTCTTCTCTCTCTTCTTCCTCTCTCTCTTCTTCCTCTCTCTCTTCTTCCTCTCTCTCTTCTTCCTACACTCATTTTGCCTTCTGCCGCCGCTGTGGGACCGAGGAGGCAACTTATATGCACTTTTTACTAACGAGATGGACCATCTACATGCCGAGCATATACACACTACTGTCTGTCTTCTTCGTCTCTCTCTTCATCTTCTTCTTCCCATCCAAAAAGAAAAATACCAGATATCCGTATGGTAAGTTTCGTTACCATACATGACCTTGATTAGTCATCTGCCTATCCTAAACATCCCGACGAGTTTCTCAACTCTCGGTACATCCGAGTCTTCTGGCCGGAGTAGAAGAAGAAAAGAAGAAAGGAAGAAGGGAAAGAAAAACTAAAAACAAGGAGTGCGGGCTGTTGGGCCGTTGCTAGGACAGGGCAGGGAACAGGCTCGGGGCATCTCGAGAGGGAAGCCCGCGGTTCAGAGCAGGGATGACTGAAGATCGAGAGAGCACTCCTGGCATCTGTACTTTACATATATATATATCCCAAGCATCTATATATATATGCATGTATAATAATAGTATATACACCTCAGAGTTGTTAGTATGTATACGCACATGCATGTACCTGGGATGAAACATCTGCACGTAAGGCCTCCTCTCATGCCAAGTATCCATACATGGCCACCTCAGCACTCCAGGTTGGTTTATAGTTAAGTGGTTATGTGAGTATAAGACGACATCCACTTAACTGCCTACCACGCCTTCCAGAAGGGCGATCTGGCTGGGCCATGTCCATTCATTCTGGACGCAGTGGTTGTATAGAGTTGAACGGGACGGCAGTTCGAAGCGTTCTCTGATGCGAATACAGAGACTGACTGAGTCACGAGAGCCAGAGGAGGTTTCAATCCCGACCAACAACTATACGTAGCTGTCTGCTGGGCGACCCCCATCCGGAGAATCACTCTTGGCCCTGACAACTCGTTCTGCGGGCCTGGCGTAGCTGAAACCCCATCCCATAGCAGGAAGACCATCCATAATAACCAGCCATTATATTGTCGTAGAGCGACGGCAAGTGTGATATCAAATGAACATGTGTCTTGGCCGCCAGCTTGGCCAGACATTCTCTTCAAGTCTCGACTGTTCACCTCCGGGTCAGTTAGGACTATATATATATGTATGTACGGGAATCCTTCAACTGCGGTGCAAGATGGCTTTTTCAAGGGTAGTGTTACCTGGTGGTGTGCTGGCCGTGACGGTCTTTGGCCGAAGAGCTTCACCGCCGTTCGTGCAAGCAAGCATGCGATATCGGCATGGTCGCAGAAGCAGAAGCAGAAGCACCCCAGCTTTCCTCATCTGCTTAAAATCGCGAGATCCCAGCATCGGTTCGGGATGGATCCCCGCCCCCCTCCTCTTTTTCTTCTTTTTTTGAGGCCCTGTAACTTCATTAATTCTATTATATCATGATCGGGAGATTTAGGAGCGTGTGCATCGTGTCTTTACGGTACCATACACTGGCTGTAAATAACGGTAGTTAACAACATCCCCAACTTTCGGCTGAGATGGACATCCATTTGACGTCTCATTGAGAACAAAGAGGCCGCGGCCCTCCCTCGCAGATGGCCGACTTACACACTAGTCAAGTGTAGAGGTAATATATATAAATCCCGCATCGCCTCTCATGCTGCCTTCTTCCGCTCTTGGTTAGGTTCGCTTGAAGTAGGAGGAAGAGACTGATATCCAATGATACCCATGCAGTGATAGTAGTAGCAGTCTTCTGTTTAGTCTGTCAGGGTCAACCTATGCCATCTATGCGCCTTTGAACATGATATACCCAAAGCAAAGCTCGGGTTGGGTGGTAATAATAGGAAGAAAGCCAACAAAACAAAAACGAGAGACAATATCAGGAGACAGGAGACAGAAGAAGACGGCGTTATACATGCAGCTCACTCCTCCACGTCGCCAAACAGCTCTCTTACAGTCCACCCTTCTGGATATTCGGGCGAACATGCCCATTGATTACAGATGGTCTCCACCAAAGGGCCGTTCCTTCGCACTTCTTGGAGCCGTTCATCTACCGTCTGTACCAAATTCCTCATATGACCAGCTGTTTCTCTCTCCGTCCGTATCTTGCGAAGAACCTGCCGCCTCACCCTGTGCCAGCTAAGATACCCAAGCGGCCTCTTGTCCACTCCCCATTCAACCACGTCCGGGCCCCATTCAGACACTCTTCTCTTCCTGCGGTTGGTATCGCTGACATCAAACTCGACGAAGTCGGTGAGCCACTCGCAGACTTCGCAAAGGCCTGCCTTGCAATGTCTTCGATAAGGCAAGTTCTGGAAGCTATAACACAGCCGGCAGTATATCCCTATCGACCACTCCAATCGATGGATGGTCCCTAGCACCCACCACTTCTTCTTCATTCCGCAGATGACGCAGTATCTTTTCCAGCCATGCTCGCCCCCCTTTTTCCGCTTTGCGATTCTCTGAGAGTCGGCGTACATGCAAATGTGCCTTCGCCGGAAACAGAAATAGCACCGGAGCGTCACCGCTATGTTTCTCTCACTCCACATGTTATTCAAGTAAACGTCCTCAAACTCTTTCTCCTCCTTCTCCTCTTCGAAGAAGTCGTCGACATATCTCTGTCTGATCAGGAATTTATCCCGATTGGATGGGAGATGCTTGAAGTACCTGTTTGTACATCGAAGTTGCTGGAGATCGCGGTGGTCCAAAAACTCGAGGATGTAGAAGTGCAGTTCTGGAGGCAGCCTGCAGAAGGGTGGCCCCTGAGGTGATGCCTTGGATGATACTCGCTGTTTGCCTCGCCTCCGACCTTGCTTCTTACCTTGCTTTTTACCGCGCTTTTTACGCAAATTTCGACGACCACGGCCTGCCATGGTTTCGTCAATGCCCTGGAGACTAATGTAAAATGCAGTTCTGTGGCTTTTCTCAACTGGCAGCGAGATGAGGCCTAAGTGTTCATAGGTATGTATATTTCGAACTTAATAATAAGTTATCTCCCGCTCCTGGTTAGCGATGGATATATGACCGTGTTGTGGTGATAGAGAAAGACCCTTGCGTCCCCGTTCCCAACTCCATACCAGATAGAGATCCAGTCCAACACACCTGATGCTATTTCTGCGCTGATTTTACATTGTCACTTCCTATTCTGGACTCCTTGATATCATTTGCCCTTGGAAGTGACAACCCTAGTAAATGGAAAATACAGAGGGCAGCCATACTTTGCCGATGCATTCCTGCCATGTAACGTGGAAATGGTTATGATCAAGTCTATATACACCATCTATTCTGGTGAGGCTGCTTCGACGTGGATGCTCCGGTCTCTAAACTACGAGATATATTAACTAGCTTAAAATATCTTGTGATTCACTAGTTCTCTTCTTCCCTTCCAGTCAACCCTCTGGACACGGATGCGCCAGGGGCAGAAAGACAGAATACCCTACTCCTCAATTAGATTCTATATCATACCTAAAGATACAACAACCTGAGTGCCACCTCGTTCACTTTAGCCCGTGATAAATGCGGTTTTTATGGGCATACGGAGTCATCATCATCGTGTGGTGCATAGCAGTGGTAGTGCGCCTGCATTCCACAGCCTGCGCTGGTTGCTTGCAAAGAGCAGCGTGCACCAACCTAGACTGCCGCCTGAGGCAGAGATGGCGGAGTACTGGGATCTTCTACAAGGTGAATCCTCAAGAGCCAGCCAGCAAAAGCAGTTATGGCAAAGTATATAGAATCCTTAGTACTGATATGCTAAGTATAGAGCCCTTGTTTTTCTAATAAGAAATAATTGAGTTGGGATAACAAAAGAAAATACTAGAAATGAATTTGTTCGTTTTCGTAGCCTCTCAGCCCTGGAAACCTCATATAAGAGATATTGCGACCTGGACTGACGTTGAGACAAGGCTGTCCACTGAAGCACCGCTGTGGAACTTAAATAGACGTAAACAGATCCGTATATTTGGTACGACTGGGCTTTGTTCCAGCGTCCAGGACCATGCTCGAGATATACGAAGGCCAAACCACCACCTCTAAACTGGGTAGATGAATATTTCGTCATTCATCAGCTGAGTCCGAATTTCATGCCATTACCCCTGTTCGCAGTACAGTTGATCCCCAGCCATCGGTCAAACAATCGTAAAGTACGAATGCCAGCCAGCATCAGTGGCGCGAGTTTTGTTCTCATCTTGAATGACGAAAGCAATGGGAGGGCAGCCAATGGAGATACTGTCGAACCCCCTCTCCTTGCTTGAAACGAGATGTTTATATGTATAAGAGGTATATATATTGGTCTCTTCGGAGTAGTTCCGCGTGCATAACAACCGTGGGGCCTCCTGTTTGCTCCACATCCCGATATGAGTTCTCATCTGGAGAAAGATAGCCCGATATGCCGGATAGGAGAGCTAGACTATTGATTGGATAGGAGCCATATTAGTCGGTTTGCTGTGCAATGTGGAGAATTTATACGCTTCCGAAGATTGATGATAAATTCAACGCACGTTATTTGGTAGTAAATCTCCTGCATATATTGCACTATGCAAACATCTGCATTATTTTGTCTTTTCTGGGAAACGAATTTGCACATGCGTCTCATGATTGGAATATTCCGTAGCTTGTATGAAAAGAAAGAACATATGCACAGAAATGGAGACATGAGAAAGGGTGCAAGCCATGCCAAGTGAAGCATGTAGCGTTTGGTTACATATAGTAAAGACTCCGATGACAGAAACCAGGCTGTAAAGGGAAGTTTAGGCCACCGCAAAAGTAAAGTAGGGTGATTCCACAGCGTTTTCCTGAGGCTATTTCAGTTCCAGCCTGGCTCTTGAAGCCTTTCGTGCCTGTCACATGGAGCGAGGCGAAAAAAAAAGGAAAAGAAAATGCATAATACTCCGTGAGAGAAGTATCAAAAAAAATAAAATAAAATAAAAAGAAATAAAAATATAAGTGGAAACAAGCCTTGCTGTGAGTATTGACCTGGTGCTTTTGCCCCGTAGGTACATATGTAGACAAGTGATTGACCACTTTGATTTCTCATATTTCAAATCATCACACAGGAAAAGGCCCTGTTCCATTTCGTAGACATCAAGTTGCACGCTGATCTCGACATCAGACGGATTATGTCAGCCCAATAGTGGCAGCATGGCTTCTTATTTGAAGTTTTTGCGCAATATCAACAGTTGAATTTGCCTTTTCTTCTTTTTATCCTTTGTATATATTTCTTTTTATGCATCATCATGATGAAAAATGTGTCTGAGCGCAGCACGTAGCGAAGCTAAACTCTTCTCTCGACACTGACTAGCATGAGGACCGTGAACTTATGGGCCTGAAGAAGTTGAGAATATCCAATCATCTGTCACCTGTTGCATCCGTCTCAATCGAGTGACTTGACTTGGCTGTGGGGAGTTTTGGTTTTCGAAAAAAAAAAAAGCAAAAGATAATTTCTTGCTATGCATCCACACAGAAATAAAGAAATCCGACTTCAGCGTCCTTCAATCTTGAAATGGGATATTTTGGCAGTATAAAACAGATCGCAACTCCGTGGCTTGGGCAAGATTCGTCCATCGCACTGCTGTTGCATCGGTTGATTTACTAGGTAAATCGGAAACACAGTCTATGGAGACGTGGCGTGCAGAAGCGCATGAACAGAACCAGAGCGGTGGGAGTAACGACCAAGCAGTTGATCAATCTCCGGTTAGGACTGGATATAATGACGAAGAAAGGAAGGGTAACTAAGGAAAAAAGGTCGTAAGAAAAAGAAAGAAAGAAAAAGAAAAAGCCAGGCCCTTGGGCTTTGGCTGGTTGAAGATGCTTCAAATAACAAGGCGAGGATTTACCTAATCGGCGACGTCCCCAAACCCTGGCGGAATAACAAGCATGCCCAAGGGGCTAACTAGGCCAAAGGAGGCCACTGTCCATCGAGCTCGAAGCCAACGGCGGTATTTTTCCCCTTAGCGCAGCCCTTAATTTACCATCCAGGCCATTCAGAAGGCGTGGATAAATAAGAATAGGAGTTTGATATAGCCGAACAGGGACCCATCCCTTGCTCCTCAGGAAATTAGGCTGTCGTAAGCCTGTCCGATCCACCTATGGAAAGAGAACGCTTTGGAATTACTTTGGTATCATCGCATGACATGAAGTCGACTGCATGCGCCATTTTTCCCACTTTTAATTGTCATCTTTCGCCTTCGTCTCCGCCCCTTTTCCTCGATTTTTTTGTCTGGTCATGCTCTCTACCAAAGCATGGGCGATGTTTTTTCCACCCCTTCGATGCATGGATATGGATGATGCTCCGTTTTGCTATCCGATCAGAGAACAAACATAACGGTGGATCCCAGAATTATTTACTCCGTACTCTGTGCCATGTCTGGGGAGATTTCAGCTCGATGCATGTATATATAAACATCCGCTATACACAAGGGACCCATAAAGTAGACATAGCATCATGCACACTACTCCGTATGCGGAGGCCCAGAGCTTGGGGTGAGATAAAGTTATACCAGAGACTTTGGTAAAATCTCTCAGTCTTTACATAGTAATTCACTGCTCACATATATTGTTGAAAACTCCTCCAAGATAGCGTAAGAGCTGGCGAGATATCTCTTTTTTTTGTTTGCGCATTTTGATCCACATTTTGCTTCTGCAGACAAGAAGCAATTTCCTTCGAGGGCATAGAACGATCCAGGAGTGGAAGCTGTTTACGACAAAGCGTATAATGTAACTTACCTAACTAGATAGATAATATCTCTTTAATGAAAGTTATTGTGCGTCTATCTTGCGTTGCACACACAGATGATAATGTATAAGTGGAGTGGTGGATAGGCCCATTCTCGAATAACAATGACTGATCGTTATTCGGCCCACCTGTTGTGCGTCCGCCCTCAGCTTCTGCGGTCGAGCAGCCAACCAGTTCATCCTCTGTCCTCAGATAACTCTTTTGGTTGAGCTAAGGTGCGGATAAGTACTCCATCAGGTAACCCCCGCCCTGGCGTTAAAAAGAAAGATGGAAGTTCGAGCTTTGACTCATTGGACATTTGAACTACGGAGCACATGTTGGCACATGTATAATGTTGAAAATGTGAAATGGTAGCCCCTGCAAACGGCATCTCCTTAATCACTCTGCTACGGAGAACGGAGGACACGCCCATTAGTGTGCTTTCTCCGGGTTAATCTCAACCTCAAATCGGAGTTTGTTTCTGTTTGGTCAAATATGCTCTGGGAGTTGCTCCTAGGTAGATTAACGGAGAGATATCCTGATCAAGCGTTCTTTCTTTTTGGCGTTCTCTCCTTTATTATTGGCTGAGGGGGCTTGTCTCCGTACAACCGGTGATGGGCCCGAGCAGGGATAAACGTTGGTGTCTTCTGAAATGTTACGTCTGATCGTTGGCCCTTGGCATGAATATTAGAGGTCACTCTATACTTTTTGAAGGCCCGATAGTTTTATATTTGAATGTATATCAATTGTACTTATGCACACATGTCGGTGTACGCCGTAAACAAAAGTTTCGATGACAGGTTGTGTAAATGCATCCGAGTTAAAAGATGGAAGAAACCGCGAGCTGAATTCATCTGAAGGATCTGGTTCATAACATAAAATAGATAACGTCTGGAAATGTCGATGCTTTGTACATCATTCGAACCTATAGACTTTCGTGTATGCGAGTGCCTGTTCTATATGTATCTGTATCGCCCCCCTTGACGTTTCAACGTGAGAAGAGGAAGGCAACGCAGTTCTGCCTTGCGTGCGTCTGGACTTTAGAAGGAGACTTAATTATCTCGTTTCTTTTTCTTCCTCTTTCCTTTTTTTTTTTTCTCTATTTCCTCTCGGGCTTCTCCCACCTCAGGGTGCGCTCCGGTTGCATGGGATGCCATGTGTGAGCGTGTATAAATGTTGGTGGAGGTGGAGTCAGGCTTTCGTCCTGTCAAGATAGGCTTCGGAGTATTTCTTAGAGTTGCACTGCATTTGCAAAGTTTAGCGTCTCGTAGGAAAAAGGAATTTAACAAAAGAGATGGAAAAAAGAAATAAATACAAAAAAAAGAGAGGATAGAGAGAAAAGCAAAGCCTTGGAGGGCAGACCTGGTGTTCGCCACTATCTCACGTCGTTAGTATCTTTCATCATCGTCGTCATCATCATCATCTTCGTCTTCTTCGTCTTTTCTATCATGGGAAGTTGGAAGAAGAAGACGCCGCAACTTTAAAGGGGAAGGAGGCTAATGACTAAGCACAGCACTTTTGTACCCAGCTGACTCATCATTTGTTAAAAGCGGCCATCCCACAAACCTCAAACATCCTAACCGCTTTAGGTAATCCCCTTTTGGCTTTTTTCTTTTCTTTTTCTTTGCTCTTCGTTTTTATTTTTTCCATGTAATACGATCGAACGTCTTTTCCAATCTCTTTGCACACGATGGGAACTCGAGATCGCACACTTCTGCTTGTGATAGACAGCTGGGCGATCTGTAACCTATTTATGGTACCAACTAGGCTCGGATGCCTCTTCTAGCATGCTGTTACCACCAGACCCAGCTAGGTTGGTCTCTCATTTACTATAGGAGGAGTACATATATACGGGGAGGAGAGCGATATATGTACTCACTGCGAACGTATGGAGTATATACGGCTCTCCCTCTCTGCATTCCTCCTTGTTAATTCGGGGGCGTTAAGGACCATGGGCTGACAGGCTAATTTCATAGCTAATTGGCTGCCAGTCCCTTTTTTGGGGGTAACTTTTGCAGCAACGCTTGTGAGCACGCGCCTGTCTCCGACCAGATGTCGGTAAATACGACTAAAATCTCGAAACAAGCGGCCAGGGGGACCGTTTAGTGAGGGATACCTTGGCACTAGGCGTAATCTCTGTTGGAGATGCGTTTCAGATTGCCTTTTAGACTCACACCAACTAATAGTCGGTTGAAGGAGCCATGTTAATCCGGTGATACAACCATACACGAGTCTATAATGGCCGATCGACCAGGTCTCCTGGCTCACAGAAACGACAATTCGAGCAATTTCAATTGGCTTTCTTTTTTATAAAATGGGAAAAACATAGATCATTCCTTCACTCTATTTACCAGTGCAACCGAAGTCTTTCCACGCAACCCACCTTGTTTCATCTTGCCCTTGATGGCAGCACTTTGGCTTCTGAGTGTTACTCCCCGCATAGAGGAAAGCCTGACCCTTGACCGTCTGGGAGATGGTGGATTGATAATATAACTAATATAATATTTACGCCTCTTTCCTGCACGGCGGAGTTACCGAGGGTCTATTTCACCTTGAAATTGACACAACAAAACGCCTGCGTGGTAAGGGGCACAACGGTCAAAACCACATTTCCCGAAAGGACTATAAGCTCTCCACTAACTGGTGCGGATAGCTTATCCTTTTTTTTTTTTTTTGCTATGGTCTTTTTTTAGGTCTCGAAAATGAAAGTATAAAACTTTCAACTGCCAAGGAGGCTTGAAGAGTTGGTACCCTACTTCATTCTCCGTATACATAGTACGGAGTACACAGATATAGCAAAAACGCGTTGGGACTCCTGGAATGTTTTTCGACCCCAAATCTCCACTTGGTACTTTGAAATTGGTTGACCACGCCCGCGCATTACCTAAGTGCCTATATATGATGCTGATCAGCCCCCAACTTCCAGATGGCTAGAACCCCCCTTGGACAACAACCCATTCGTTTGATCGACTTCTCCATATGGCCAGCACCAATGATATTTATTTCCTCATACAGTTTTAGCTCTTTTTCGTGGCGTTACCTGTCCTCTTCTTTTTCGCTTCGGGTCTCTGTCTCTAATAAGTTCCTTTTTTTCAAAAGGAATTTACATATTAGCCAACCCCCTTGGTCTACTGTGGAGAGTGCTAACTCTCACTCCTACCCATGGTAGCAGTAGTAGCCTAATCTTGTTCCTTGTCCCCCCCATCTGACAAGCTTGCCCATTGACCAGTACGCAGTACCTGTCTCCGTTGCCATTTGATCAAACCATTTTGCTTTTTCCCTACATATATTCTCCTTCCCAGTGCTCGATGCATAGAGAGAGAGAGGGAAAAAAAGGAAAATGTCTTGGGACGTTTCACCCCACGATTTAGCCTGGTTCATTTCGTGTCCTAATTGCGGGCCGGGGGTAGTGTTTATCAAGTCTCTCCTTCGCATTTTTTTTTTTCGCAAAAGCCCCCCCTCAAAGTCGCTTCCTTTCTCGATTACCTTTTAATTAATACCTTTTCTCTCTTTCTTTTGTTATAGATTGACTTTGTATTGCACCATTCCTCGTTTGGTTCGTTCCTGGACCTGTTTTCATACCCCCCTTCCACCCACAGTGGCGGTTATATCTGAAGTATATATATATATCTATGCATATATATATATATATACCTTTATATATTTTTACAATCCCTTCCAGAATATATATAGTATCCCTCCCTTGGAACCACACCTCTCGCAGGGAAGACGCCTAGCTTTCTTTTTGGTTGTTTGGCAATATATTTCATTCCCCTTCCCTTCCATGGCCACCTTTTAGTCCCTTCTGCAGCGGGTCGTCGACAACAACGCCAATTACAATTCATCTACTTTTCCATTTAGTGTTGAACTCTGCCGGGGATGACATGAGACCGTGACAACTGGAACTCCTTGTCGCATGGGGATATTATTGCCGATCGTCACTTCTTCGCCGCTCCTCGCTATATCATACATCGCCGGCGCAAGGGAGAGGATCTCAGCCATATCATCAGACACCAAGTCGCTATCCGTCGATTGTCCTTGATAAAACGGTTTTCAGTTCACTGCCCGCCTGTGGAAGCGATGCGCGAGGTCACATATCGACCCGTAAGTCAAGGAAAATTGAAAGGCCTTGGCCATGGAAAGCTCGACGGGATCGGCCGCAGATAAAAAACGGAATAAGCTAGGCTACCATAGAACTTCTGTCGCTTGTGGTAAGCGTCCTACAAGTTTCTCATATACTCCTCTATTCGGTAGTGAGGTGCATTCCTCTTTACATTTTTGACGAGCGCGAAGGCCGAAATTCAGCCTCTCTTGATCTGGCATTTTTTTGGGGGGCATCGTTCTCTTGGCTCTTCCGGCTGGTTTCGAATGATTTAAAGCGTTGGGTTAACATATCAATTTTCTTTATAGTACACTGCAGAAGGAGAAAAATACGATGCTTACTTGCGCCTGACGATTCTCAGGGCCGGTGCGAGAACTGTATCCGTCTGAAGAAAGAATGTCATTTCTATCCCGTGGACCAGCAACCGGCGGTAGATAAACGAGGGCGTCCCATATCGAAACCCGAGACCGCAGGATCTGATGTATCCTTGACTACTACGCCTCCTCTGCTGGGCAGCGGAACAGTGATGGAGCAGAAGGAGTCTTACTTCCCATATACGAATATGGCAATAACTTCCAGTCAAGACATATCAGCCTATAACTCTGGCGCATACTCCGGAACGCCCGTGGCAGCATATACACCAGGTTGGTTCCGCCACATTCGGAAAATCGCACCGTCTGATCTCAAAGGGGGAGTGGCGTGAAGGGATTTCATAACTAAAGCAGTTGTTTTTCTCCTTAGATTCCATGGTTGCGCCTGAATTAGGTGCGATACCAAACCCAGCCCAGCCTGTTTCGGCGTGGAACGAGCCTCTTTATGAAGCACAAGTACCCGGAATGGTTATGAGGCCTTCTCCTGGAACAGTCGTACAGCCAGGGGCGATTCCACATCCATCAACAGGCCCAATGGCGGTTACGCCAGACCCCACCGGAATACTTCCAGTCAACATGTCTGCTTCTGGATTTGGTGCTCCTCATGATAACACAGTATGGGGCGGCCAAATATCGAGATCTATGAGTTTATCTGCGAGACCAGGCGTGTCTTCACCAATACCTCAACTATTTCCTAGCCAGTACCACCCTTCACCACCGATTCACCCTGAATTTAAACGCCGAATGACTACCCCGGCCGAGTCTTCTTACCCAGCAACCATGAGCCATTCCATCCCTCAACTCCCTTCGACACCTATCCCCGTATCATATGATGAGAGCCAAATACCATTTTCCGCCTATAATATGCCCGGAGCCGTCCCAGAAGGCCTACGGCACCCGGGCCAGGTTATTGTTGGCTCCGCAGCAGACCCAATGTCCCTTTCGGAGTGGTATTCGCCAGATTCTCTACAAGCGCACCAGCAGGCCTTCATCCCAGATCAGCAAAATCTGATGCATCGCCCACCAAGCTAATATACCCGCCCCCAGACGCTCCAACCCACCTATACACGGCCTCAAGCCCTCCCTATAACTCCATGAACCTTGTACTACCTTTTTTTTTTTTGTCTTTTTCCTCTATAGGAGATTAAAGCAAGAAACAGGCCCACGATTCATCAGCTGTGAAGAATGCTCCCAATCCGGCTCCCTCGGCCCCTTTTTTTTCGTGCTTGAGATGGCATCTCAGTCAAAGGACCTTTCTCGTTGCTCACCCTGTGTGGCATTTATTCATTTACGGGCGTATATTAAATAAACCGGCATTATGTTTCTTTCTTTCGCTTCCTACCTAAGGACCAACCAACACCCCGTCCATAAGCTAAATACTTTCGTCTACCATCTAGCAACCTATGTTATTCGGCGCTCTTCCTTTTCACCCGGCCTTGCTATCTTGAGAACAAGCAGGAAAGAGGAAGCCAAATCTCGGTTAATTACCGCCTACAATTGGCCTCCTTTCATACCCGAGATTTACTCGGTTTCTTTTTTTTTCCTCTCTTCTTTACGCATATCCCTCTGTTCGGTAACTTCCTCCTGCTACATGCATCTTGATAGTGGGTTCGAGTTATATATACCTGTTGTCTCTCGACCACCGCATCCTTCTTTCATCTTGGGTTTTTTATATCTATTATTTTTTATTTTTTTCCCCCTCTACTAATTTTCTATTCTATATTCCCATTTCTATATTTATATATATATATATACATTTACGAACTGGTTACATTGAATGTGAGCTCTGAGAGCCACACCGGGGTGTCTCATTAAAATGGAAGGGAGGGTTCTTCATCGTTTTATTCAAAAATAGGGCTTCTGGTGCCATTTTCTCCATTTCCTTTACTTTTTCTTAGTAAATTCTCTATGAATATTCCCCTATTTACCTGATAGCTGTTGGTTTAAGGCGGCTATAGTTCCCATATCATTTTTCCATGGAGGCAGCACATTGCGTATTCTACACTTCATCTTCTCATCATCTCCTTCTGTACATCAGCCAAGCCAGCCGCTCTCAAACAACTCGTCATCACCATCTTCTCTTTCTTCTCTCTTGGACCATTCCACACCACGGAGCAAGACGGGCTCATCAGCGCCATGGTTGCTTGTATTTGCTTCTAGTTCTCTGTATCGGCACTAATAGCGTGCTTCTGGCTGCGGGACGAGGGGGTGTGAGCCCCCCATGAGACGAAGAGACAGCCTGGTCGGGCGATCATCCCGATCAACCCATCTATCAACTTGTCTGAGTATATGCAAGTGTAGGTGTGTATGTTGGTTTATGACGGAAGGCCCGCTGAGAAGGGAAAAGCCCCACCAAAGCATCTCCCCCTCGGCTTTGCAAGTATAAAAAGCTACATCACTCCTACAACAACATCGCGGCAATTCTTCCTCACTCCTCTAGTTATCACTTACTCCGATATTCAAGTGCGTCCTGTTTACATCCGATATCTTCTTTTACGTCACCAAGATCAGACAGATCTTGGGCATAGGCGGTGGCATGGAAGACGAAGCATTGTGGGTGGAGTTCCTAAACAACCGGTTGTATGAGCAGGCTGCCCCCCGTCGTCGACACTGCCTACGAGCCCAAGGGCAAATATGTCACGATTAACGGGATGAAGACCTGTGAGTCGGTCCATCTAGTATTCTTGCAACAGGTTGAACTACGCTGACTGCCCGCTACCAGATGTCACCGGCCCTGACTCCGCCACAGAGGCCATCCTGGTTGTATACGGTTGAGTCTACCGGCACTTATACACAGAGAGCTCTTTCATCTGACTCTCAGGACACAGATATCTTCGGATTCTTCCCGCAGACCCTCCAGGGCGCAGATATCATCTCCACTTCTGACTCGGAGCGCAAATACCGCGTGTTTATGCCCGACTTCTTCGACGGCAGCCCCGCCGATATCTCCTGGTACCCTCCAGACACCGATGAGAAGAAGGAGAAATTTGGCGCCTTCTTCCAGAACAGAGCTCCGCCACCAAACACTCTCCCACGCATACCCAAGGTGGTTGAGGAGATCAACAAGGCCTACAGCATCGGTGGTTCTGGCTTCAAGTCATGGGGTGTGGTAGGCTACTGCTGGGGAGGTAAGATTACCTCTCTACTCTCCGGCAAGGACTCCCTCTTCAAGGCCGCTGTCCAGATTCACCCGGCCATGATTGATCCCAAGGAAGGTCTCGATGTGACTATCCCCATGGCAATCTTGGCTTCCATGGACGAAGATGCCGCGGAGATTGACGCGTACAAGAACAACCTAAAGGTCGAAAAGTTGGTCGAGACCTATCCTACCCAGATTCACGGCTGGATGTCCGCTCGAGGCGATTTGAAGAATCCCGATGTTAAGAAGGAGTATGAGAATGGATACAAGTCCGTCATCGCCTTCCTTAGAGCCCATTTGTGAGAACGCCCCTTTCCTCTTGAATGTATATATCTTTGTAAGGCATTCCACAAAAGGTGTACACAAGCAATGGAGGGTTTGAGGATGACTGACTCGTTCCCCCACAATTCATTGTCTTGAAACCTACATAACAAGGTCCTCAGAGAAATCTAAGATATGATTCATAGCATATTCAATTAGCTCCGAGGTTGAGTCGAACAGAAGTCAGCTAGTAAATAAGTAACCGTAAAAAGTAGTAGTAGCGTATTGTATTACTTATCATTCTCTTTTTCTGCCTTTCCCTACCTTGCACATACATCACTTACCAAAGTGCACCAACAAACTTACAAATGTATATACTACACGCCATTGTATAACCAACCAGTTCAATTAATCCCGCCGACACGGATAACCACATTGACATCAATCGCCCTGGCTTCCCGGATGCTGCAGGCTAAACAGGTGCGGCCTACCCTTGCAATCACCGCATCCGTACAGACGGCCGTACACCAGGCCCTCGCAAATGCTTCTTTATGCTTACTTCCTCTCGCATCAATAATATAGGTTATTGGCCGACGGCGGTGGCGTCGCCGTTTCTCTGACCGGTCGGATCGACATGAATTCTGCCTCTTTAGCAGAGGAGGGTCAACAGTCTCAGAGGCCTGTGGCTGGAAGACCGTCAAGCTTGGGAGCGAAGCGAAGGGGATGTATTTGTATGGATAGAAAGAGATATGGAGTGGGTGGCCTGGAACGCGGAAGCTGTTGGTTCGTACGCCTGAGGGGTCGAAGGGGTCTGGGACTGGTGATTCGGGTCCTGGGCTCCGGCCAAACGTATCTACGTCGTCGGGGGCTGGGGGCTGGAAGTGTCTGTGATACTCTGACGATGAAGAAGACTGAGAGTCGTCGTCGTTGTGGTTGCTAGAATGAGCAGCCCATCCTCTGGGGGGAACGCAAGGGAAGGAGGAGATGAAGAGTGAGTTCTTGCTTAATGGGAAGAGAACCTTGCGTGGTTTCGAGTCAGGTGTCTCTTTTATGGTGAAGAAAGCGTACGCGAGAGCTTTGAAAGGGAGATATTTACTTGGATCATCTCGTCCGGCCCTGGCAAGCGTTATATTATCAAACACCACACTTGTCTCACGGATGTGAGGCAAGTTAGGTTCGTCCATTGGTAAAGAGAACTGTTCTGGGGTGAGCTCTCCACCTGGCCCTAGTGGCGAGGAGTCAAGTAGGACTTGCGTCGTCTTGTAAATTCGTGGCACTGTCAAGTCGCGCAGGTCATCTTTCAGTTCAACTTCCACCCATCGGTCCGTATAATCCCTGCCCTGTTCGTCCTGGGGTACGACAAGACTGGACACCCAGCCCATACAAGTAGTGGACCCTTCTAGGCAACTGACAATTCTTGATACAACGCACATCTTGCTCCACCAGCTCCTCCCTTTGTATATAAAACCGCCATATAGGTTGGCTACTGGGCCAAGAGTGTTTAGGGCATGAGCGTCATTTTCTAACAGTGTCGATATAAGCATATCATTAACAGCTTCTCCGGGTAGGACAAATCCCGTTAGCCACGAGCGAGAAATCCATCCGCCCAAGTATGTTGACGAGGTGGGAACAGAGTGAAGTTGAGAGGGGGGAAGAAGCAAGACGAGATGGGAGGTATTTGAATTTTCATAGGCCGATAGCCTCTGACGAGGCAAGTCGTCACCTTTCAACTCATTGGTAACGAGTGGCGTGGAAAGTGTTCGGATCATAGCAGCTGGATCGTTTATCACCGTATTGAACTTCTTCTCTAACTGGAATTTTACCTCCTCTGCGTCGGGCCACTGGATTATATCCATAAACGCAAAGAGGCCGTCCAGCTGCTTCCTAAAAAAGCGGGGTCTGGTAATACAATCCCATACTATCCGGGAGTCCTCAGGTTGTTGATCTTTTTGCTCTTGCATCTGCTTTTCCTTGAGTTTTCCGCGTGTTAACATTTGTCGAATCCGTGACGGATGTTTCTCCCGGGATCGGCCTGGGGGTATAATAGGATCGAGCCGCCCACACGTAGGAGCATATTTGATAGTCATGCTTTCAAAAGCCCTCTGGCAGCAGATGATTGCCCAATCAACTTGGTCATTCCTCATATCGTTAATGTGGTAGATATCCCGCTGGGTAATGCTTATACCTTTTGAGCGACCCATGATGCCAACTTTGGCGGCCGCATCGAGCCGCAGAACCAATTCAGCGGCTAATAGAATTTGGATCAAAAACCACTGTCTCTCCGCGTCAATACCGACATCTGGGTCATCTGGGTACTGGTCCTTGATAATACCATCATGATGTGGTGGGCATTCCCAGAGGATCTGACCAGCACGGATTCTCCATTCGATCTGGGAAAAGTCAATCCATGCGTCCTGGACGGCGAGAACTCTGACCAGAATATCAATCTGAGTCTTGAGGCTGGTATGCTTGAATTCATCGCCGTGCACTTCCTTTGGGGGAGGGAAAAGGAAGGTGGAAAATAGCCGTTGGTGGAGCTTGGAGATTGGCTCTATATCGAATAGGTTAATAGGCTTAGCCTTGAAGACCATCTGATCTCGCAAATCACAGAGGGTTTCCAGGCGTTGAGCAATTTGTTTAGTTGAGCAATCACGGACCCCAAGACGTCTCCATGTAGGTGGCCCTCCCTTTATCAACTGTGCACGACTGAACCGTATGCCCGGTCGACAGCAGATATATGGTTCGTCATCACCTGTCGGTGAGTTATAGAGTGTATTGTCAGAAGAAACAATGCCAGGGGGGTTATCGGACTTGGCCTTTAGCTGCGGAGAGATGGGAAGCTCCATAAAATGACGGAAGCCAACGCATCCCCGTTCTTTAGCGCGAGAGGAGAGCATGTTAGGTACCTCGAAAACACCAATATCAAAGGCCGGATATTTGGACGACTCCAGCTCTGCCATATCCTGAGCAACTCCTGCTGTTTTCCTACTCTCCAAGAAGGCAGGCAGATGGGCGTGAAGCGTAGATAGCGTAAAGGAGGCATGGTGTAACGGTTTCCTGTCCTGGAGATTCTGGATCCGCGTGCTATCGTCCCAGGGAAAAACTACATGGGGAAACCAGTGAGAGCGGCTACCTTTCTCGAGTAAGAAGTGAGGAGCACCAGAGAATATGACTCTGAGCTCCTGTCCGGTCAGAGGGGAGTTCCTAGGGTGAACCGTGCACCCTATATTGGAGCATTTGCTCGGACTGGGCGTAGACGTGGTGCCCTCTAGGGCGTCACTGGCCTGGCATTCAGGCCCAGACAGCGGAGCATGAGAGAAGAGACGGTCCCTGACATTATCGGCTCGTAGCTGAAAGTAGTCTGGGATATTTTCTTCGTGGTGATGGTGTTCCTAATTCCAGTTAAACCTACTCAAGGGCCAAAGGAGCAAAGAAACAGGAGCAATCAGCTAGGGAGGGAGAGATATCACAGGTTGTTGATGATGATGATAATGATGCCCTGCACTGGACGCCTCCTGTTCTTGGTCTGCTGCGTCCGTGGCGTCCGTCGAATCCGTCGCATCTGTAGACTGCGATGTCTCTGAGCCTACAGTTTCTGCATTGGAGCATCTACGGTTGCCAAAGATGGAATGGCGCAGCCGGGTAGAGCTCCTGGACTTCCTTTTGCGTAGTGGCAGCTGCAGCATATTTGGCAGCAATTCTGGGCTGGTAGTCTGTACAACTACATCAATAGCATTCAAGACGCTCTTCCTCAGCCTTTTCCGGCGATCACAACGGAGTAACCATCAGTTTTAGGTATATCCCCCTAATTACTCGCAGTTAGCCCTATGATGCTATAGATGATGCCATATGCCATGGTTGGAGGTAAACTTCTCTTTCGCCACCAGTAACTTATTTGTAGCCTCCCCGGAGCCTCCCTCTGAGCGACCACTCGTATCCTGGTATCACCATCCGCCATCGGCCATGCAGAGTTTTTTTTTTTTTCTTTTTCCCTCCCTTCTCCTCCCGGTATTGATATCTCTGGTTCTGTGAGAGATAAAAACGGAGAAAGAGAAAAAAAAAAGAAAAGAGAGCAGAAAGATGGAAAAAGAAGAGAAGAAGTCAAAGATTTCCCAGTTAGGGAGGCGGTGAGGATTCGGCAGCAGGGTCACGGGAGCGGCAATACAGGACATTACACCGATACACACCGATACCGCCTGCTTTTGGCGGTGCAACGTGACCCGGGTGGCGTAATCTAATACATCGTGATACCGCCCCTTTTTCTGTATATCAGAATGGAGGAAGGAAGAATGTATACGTTATAAGTATTTATAAATATAGAGGGATGGGGTAGGAAGATTGTTCCGGTGAAAGGGGGGGCGATATCAATGATCCCTGAGGGCCAACAGATGCAACCATGAGCGCGGATCTCGGGACTGTGCCGTCTCTTCGACACAAAGACAGACTCCTTAATATCTTCACCTTCCGTGATTTCTCTATACATTATATAAGTACTAGAGCATGGAGTATGGAGATAGACAGACCACTTAGTAGCCTGACGCTTTGCGACTGACGACTGACGGCGACCGACTTAGCGCTAGATGGGCCGCAGCATCCCCCCTGGCCGTGGAGAAGAAATGCCAGCTAGAGAGTGACAACGCAGCAAATCTCGAAACTTCACCAACCCCCCCTAGCTCTATACATAGAATACGTATACTTGTAGAACGAGTAGTCAGCAGAGGCAAGCATGTTTCTACACCATTACAAACGAACTAGTTAGCTTCCCGTACTCCAGCAGAGAGAGTGACTCTTGATATAATTGAAGGGAAGCAGAAAAAGCTCCACCAGAACCAAGCAAAGCAACCCAACAGCGTCCTCCTCATGTGGTCGCTTGGATCGCCTTAGCCTCGCCTCTCTTCTCTGCCTCTCTCACTCTTCTTCTTCCTTCTCTTTTTCTCTTCCCCCCGGACAGTCTTACAACTCCTTTATTATTATTTATTTATATATAAAGCCCTGCCTCTCCCGTTTTCTCTCCCTAACTCCCTTTCTCTCTCCCCCTTCTTCCTTCCGATCTTCTGATATACTCATATACCGTGAACCTTTCTCTACCGCCGTGTCCGTCTAGCTACCTCTACCTACTCTCCTTGCAGCTCCTCTACAGTACCATCCTCCTCAGAACTCCTAAAAGAAACCGGTATGAAATCCTCTGTCCCTCTTCCTCTCTGAGCCTTGGGCTCAAAAGAAGTCTGATAACCGGCCAGAAAGTATCGATCTGTTCCGGCAAAAAGGAAGAAAAAGGCTAACATTTCGCTCTCTTTAGTCATAACGAATTCGCCTTGCCGGCTCTCTTAAATAGCATCAAAACCCTGAAACACGACTTGAGTCCTTCCCCTTAACCAAAAGTCGGCCTTAAATCTACATCTACACCCTCGAAATGGCCCCATCCAGAAAGCCACGCTGCCAGTTCAAGGCCTGCAAGGAGCTTGCCCAGCGTATAGTCGGTGACTGCGGCTTCTGCAAGGGCCAGTTCTGCAGCAAGCACCGCATGCTTGAATCACACAGCTGCAGCGGCCTAGAGGACTGCAAGAAGGAGTCACACGCCCGTAATGCCGAACGGTTAAACTCTGAACGGACAACGGTGGTTAAGGGGGTATAATGGGTTATGTTCTGTCATCTTTCTCTCTATTTTCTTACCTGGGACCGGCGAGCGTGGTACGGGTTGGGGAGTCCTTTTTATTGCTGTTGTTCTGTCCATCCCTCTTCCCTTTTTTTTTTTTTTTAGCTTGGGATTCAGCAGCTCTGGTGGGTTGGTCTTTGGATGTACTCTTGGATGTTCTCTTCTCCCGCTCCATGCATCTTTTGCTGCCCTCTAAGCCTTGCAGCGTACCGGCTTTAAGCCTGAGATTGGGTTGGTCTTTTCTTTCCTTCCCCCTTGGCTATCTTGCATGGTGTTTGGCCTGGTTCACCATATTTTTTCATTTAGCCTGTTTTGATGTTTTGTTTTGAAAGACCGTTTGCTGTGATATAAAGGGTATCTACCGAATAATATCAATATTAGACTATACTGTTCTCCATAGTAAATCCAGACCATAGAAACAAGAGAACTCCAAAAAGCAACCGATATCGTGCATGCCTATTTGATATTGTCGATAGATGCAGATATGAAAAGAAAAGAAAAAGACAAAAGCAAGATCTCCCCCCCAAGTGTTATCCTGGTCCAATTCTCGGCCTATGGAGTGATACCATGTTAGCTTGTCTCCTTGCTGCGAAACAAGGTAAAACCAGTCGAAACTTACATGTCGTGATGCTCACTCAGATTGCTGAGGTACTTGTTCAACTCCTCCACGCGTTCTTTATGTGTCTTGACTCCCTCACGTTTTAGTCGTTCGTTCAGCTATAGATAAAAAAATATGTAAGCCTATATCGTGCCCGTTTCCCTCCCCCATATAAATTACGTACTCTCTTCCTTTTTGCTTCCGCATATCTCCTCTCTGCCTCTGTCTTCCCATCGCCATCAACTTGCTCACTCGCACTCCGCCGTTGGTTGTCCTTTTCCTCCTTCGAGCCGGCTTCTTCTCCGGTATCAGCATTTTCTTCTTCTTCTTCCACTCTCACAGACACATCTCCCTCTTCCTTCTCCTTATCTCTCTTCTTCTTTTTCTTCTTCTTCTCCACGCGGCCGTCCTGGACCTTTGAACCCTTGATCTTCAACCGGCCACCTCCGCTAACGGCATACTCGCTGGACGGTGCCATGGCTTGCGTCGCGTCAAGGAGTTCTATGTCGTGTAGCCTTCAACTGGTTGATTCGCTGATCGCGCTGACTTGACTATCGATCGCGCCGCATCTCTCTCCGGTTCCTTGGTATCATTCGCTAGGCTCTCGTCCATTGCGAAGGAAGAAACATTTTTCTCTCTGTAAAGCTTCAAGAGGATTGTTCTTTCTTATGTAATCATATAATTACGTCATACTTTAGGAATTTGTTATTCTGCATAATTTTTATGAACATGTAAAGTGCGGTTGTATTTTCAAACCTCCACAGACTGCAGTAACATCATGACCAAGCCCAGCTGTGCTTACGCTTGTCTGTATCAATCAAATGGAATAGGCCGCAGATCAGAGTTTCCCTGTCGTTTCCTCATCTCTTCTCCCGCAGCAACAGCACTGGGTACTTTTATACCACAGCAGTCTCCCCAGAAGTCCACTCCGCCGGAAGACTTGTTATGAGAATGATCACAGTGATTGTGATCATGCACGCCCTCCTGAGGCTCCCGAACGCCCATCTCTGGAGTTGCAGGAATCAAGCTTCCGAACAAAAAGTGTTGCATAATGGGTAGCTTACCCAGCACTTCCTTGATAAACATCTTCTTCATGCCAGCTTCTACCTTGTACCAATTCTTAGCGCCGGAGATATCATCTAGCATGGGACTGTGCCACCTGAGGCCCTTTACGGTCTTTACACTATCCACCCACTTGACTTGATCGAGGTATATCCAGTTTCCACACTCTTCATCAAGGACGACATTATTGTGTATGGAGAGAGGCGTTATGTAGCGATGCCCAGTTAGTTGTGATGCACCGAAGAGGAAAGGTAGAAATTGGTAGTCGTCCAGACCCCAGACACCGTGAGACCCGGCTGGCTCCAGGTAGTAAGTTAGCTGGATACGGCGCATAAGCTCGATATAGCGAGTGAAGACGCGACAGACGAGAAAGGGGAAATCATGTGTGTCAAGGGCACGATGCAGGTAGAGACATAGCAGCCACATCATGAAGTTGAGCTCATGGCCCGACCCGTAGTCGAGACGCGAACGCGAACCTAGGGAGCTAACCAGGTAGGTTGATATCTCGACTTTGGCGGCTTCGTCAGTAATGCCCAGCAGGTCTCTATGCCATGACAGGCTGTGAGATTCGACATCGTCGAAAAAGGATCGGAAGGCGGGGTTGCCAAAGCGGGACCCGCCCTGTTCAAGGGATGGGTGGGCATCGAGCAGCGAATCTTATTGATGATAGTAACCTTGGAGAATCTTGGATATTATGGGTGATGGTGGCGATGCAGGGACCAAACCGCTCGAGGACATCCGAGTATAGATTTCTGCCGTACACTGTCTGACAGATTGAACACAAAGGCCGTGATTAGGGTGTGCGACGGGGACGAAAGGAAGGATTGGTGGTCCTGGACAGAGAGAATGCGAGGAACAGGACGTGTGTACCGGAGATCCTCTGTGGCAGGGCGAGGGGGCATAGATGGAGTTGGTGGCGCCGAGTCACCAGCGGCAGGCTGCCGTCGAGGGCCACCAGTTCGAGCTAGCTTCTTGGACAAGTCGATCTTAGGGATGGGGGTACGGGACGGTGGTTCATGGGGAGAGGACGCCATGGTGCAGGAGATGCTTGATTCCTCCTCATGTGTTTTGTTCTTCACCCTTCTTTTCTTCTTCTTCCTTCGTTTTTGTCGTTCAAGTCAAGCTTGAACCCGTGACAGATGACGTAATCAGGCAGTTGCGAAGAAAAGATAGAAAGGATGGAAATAAGGAGATGGTGAAAAGATAAAGAGATGGAGAAATCTATTTATCAAGTTAGTTTTCGCATTTCGTGGACGTAAATGCTTGGACTGGCTGTCAGTCAATGATCGAATTGGAATTATCTTCGACAAGCATCCATACTGTGTATAGCTTCAAGGAGCTACGCTCTTCCCGAACATAGTGTATGCTACTCGGGGAGTCAACAGAGATGTAGCGAATATCTAGTGGTAGAGCAGTCAAACCAGTTGCCAGATCGTTGTGTGGTCGTTTAGCGGATGCTCACATGAGGGCTCTGAAGAAGCAAGCTGGAAGTATCCCTGTTGCTTGGGGAGCCTTGTTGACTGTTGACTTCTCGCTGTCGCATGATCCAGGCGAAATGAAGAACCGAAGAGAAGAGAGGAAGAAAGTGAAAAAAAAAAAAAAAAAACCGCCGTAAATGGATGTAAATGGCCGAGTATCTGGACTCACCCTCAACTGTGGCCCTCGCCAGACACCTATCACAGACTAGCATGCACGATTTCTGTACGATGCTCCTCCCCCTTGTTCCTCGTTCCACGGCGCGCCTGATCCAGTCACCTCACCAGCCATGAAATTCAGCCCATCGCTCGAGCGGTCGTCCTCGCAACTGCAGCCCAGGTTTACGCCTCCGTCACACCCAGACCCATCCTCCCAGGACGAAAGCCATGCTAAGCCGACCAGTCATGCGCATGTCCAATAAGACACGACGCGTCGCCGCCACTAGCCAAGCGACTTCTCGACCTATATCAACTCGACTAACTCGACTAAGTCAGTTGTAAGAAGACGATCTGAACGCAGAAAACTCTGCTTGGTGGGCCAGTCCACGCAGACGGGAAGACAACAGAAGGCAAGAGAGGGGGGAAAAAAAGAGCCAACATCTAGACAACGCCGAGGTCGATGTGGGTATCGTGGTTAATGGTTATGCCGTCTCGTTCGCGCTGTTGTAGGTAGTTCACTGTAGAGGCGAGATCAGCTCTTTGTCACGACTACAACGAAACAGAACATGGAATAAGAACAGACAGACAAATTGACAACATATTATTGAGGATCGAGGGATGCACAGTTGATCTGATGCATGATCAGCGGCCAAGCCATCGGCCGGAGTTTTTGGCCTTGCTGCATCATCCCTGTGGACGAACCCTTGGAGATGGCGAAGAGAGCGGCAGCAGCTTCGTCTAAAAAAGTAGTTTTAACATGTACACAACAACCACGCATCTCCGCCCATCTCTCTCGAATCCTTCCGCTGTACGGGAGTTATATATGCTTTTCGTTTTTCGTCCAGTTTTCTTTCTCGCCTCGTTTCCTCCCGGGCTTCATTAACGAAAAAAAAAAAAAGGGCTTCACCGTTTTTATCGTTCCCGCCAATTAGTGGTTAACAGCAGCTTCTCGAACCACCGTTCCCTCCCGAGAGCTCGAGGAGAACCAACCAACTGCCGTCCCAAGAACCAACACATTAGGTCGGAAGAGAATTAAGAGGGAAATAAAAAAATAGAACAAGGGCCTAGGCCGTTTGGGTGAACGATGGCTAACTCGGCGACGGCGACGGCGAGGTCGGGATCAAGACCTAATTATGGTTCTTTCTCTTCGCCGTCTGCAGCGGACTCTCATTCAGATTCAGGCTCGTCGACATTGTCCAGAGACTCCATGGAATCTACACACACTGCTTCAAGGCCCCAGTTTAGCAGGATAAGAACCCATCAGTCGATAGTTCGCGACCGCAGCTCGATGAATAGTGTAGACGGACAATGTGCGCCAGGGGCTGGAGGCGCTACACCAGCTGCAGCTGATGGCACCGGCCATACCACCAATAATAATAATAATAATAATAATAACAGCATCGTCAACGGTGGCACAATACCCCGGCAGAGAGGGAACTCATACTCGTCTCAGCGAAAGGGGAGCATACGCCAGGACCAGCCACGCTCGCTATACCGGCGCATGCTCGATAAGTACGGTAGCTTGGAGCTGGATAATAAAGGCAGTGTTGCCAGAGACCACCTCGCACTAGGTATGTTGAGAACAATATAATATTACAACGGACATGATAGCTAATACCCGGTTAGAACGCACATTTCTCTCATGGCTACGGACATCTCTCGCCTTCGCTTCCATAGGCATAGCCGTCACCCAGCTCTTCCGTCTCAACACCGCCATCCAGCAAGCAGATCCCTCTCAGAACAGTCCCAGCAGCCCGTCCTCGCTCCTCTCAGAGCAGTACAGAGAAACCTCCAAGGGCCTCTACTTCACCATCACGAGTAACGGCAGCCAACTGCGTGGCCTCGGCAAGCCTCTGGGTGCCACATTCATTGGAGTCGCCATACTTGTCCTCTTCATCGGTTTCCATCGCTACTTTGAGAGTCAGTACTGGGTGGTCAGGGGGAAGTTCCCTGCCAGCCGTGGAAGCATCGCCTTGACTGCCTTTATCACCGCATCTCTGATGGTCAGCAGTTTGGTCATCATCCTTACTATATCGCCAGGCGCGATGGAGTCATAGGCATTCATCCAATACACGGACTACCCTCGCCCATCCAACTAAATATCACACCACCACTTTTTTCCCCCTTGCCTACATGCATTCGTCTGGAGTTCGCCTTCCTTTCCTCGGCGGATATGTGGGCTATCAGCTTCCCTGCTCGCAAAACACAACCATAACCATCTTGGATTCTATAAAAATTGTCGGCTTCACTAGTCATTTATTTCAGCGTGGCATTAGTCTTTAAACTTTTTTCTCTTCTGCCTCTGTACATCTATTCTTTTTTTTTCCTTCTTCGCTCTTTTTACCCTTCTTTTTTGCTCTTCCAATACCCCGCCTCTTTCGGCTTTGGTTGTCATGATTCATTCTCTATCTTTCTTGTCCCCTTGTTGACGTCTTCATTCTCTATCCTGTTTGATTGGTAATTGGCTTCCCTTTCTCCAAGTACCGACTCTATTCTCATGCAACTTGATATTTTATTACGTATTATCAAAATGTCCCTGTAAACACCCAGGGTTGCGCCTTGTTCAAATAATGCAAGCAATGAATGCACCAATTTTTGGTTGGCTTTTCCTCTCTTTTTCCTCTTTGACAGTGCATAGTTAGTAACTAATGTGTATATCCATGTCCATGTGCTGCAACTCAAAAATCATTCTTGCATATCAATACGAGCGATGCGATGCAACCAATGCGGAGAGAATAACCGCCTGCTGGCCCACAGAAATGCTTGACACTAGCAATTAATTCCATGTTTAGCAACTCACCAATACACTCGTAGGTTCCGATTTGTCGAGAATTAACCGATTGATACCAGAAGTCAACCGTGGCCAAGCTTCGATATAGATATATACATAGTAGATATTTGTACCGGAGTGTATGTAAAGGGAGTTCATCTCTAGAGCATTCTGTTCATCTGAATCTCTATCAAAGCAACTTCTTCGCATCTCGACGGTATCCTGAATGTACGCATTAGGTGCCATTATTCCTAACATGAATTCAACCCATCAAAAAGCATCTCATAAGTGTAGCGGTCACTATTTAGCAAGGCGGTAGAATTCCAGCCGTAGTTTCGATTGTTACCGCAATTCATCAGGCGGTTCCATCTCTTCCTTGTCCTGCAAGCTTTAATGAGGCTAACAGCCTAGACATTACGCTCACTCGAATCTAAAAGTGTCGAATCGAGTATGCTTACCCCAGATGGCATATTAGCGAATGGTGATGATGATGTGTTTCCCTGGGATGTGTCTGTAAAAATGTTTCCATCCAGGTATTAAGACTAATATGCCGTTCTTGCGCCTCGAAGTGCCATAAGCAACTAATAAACGGTTAGGTTAACCAGCCGTTGAGATATCTTGGGATGGTAGTTTATCCAGGTCACAGTGGGCTGATTGGATCCGCATTGGAACAGCGAGGTAAACTGATACCAACGCCAGTGTCAACTTCTCTATCCATTTGAGGAATGAAGCTTATTGGAGTAAGGAGGACCTCAGCTTCGGCCCCAGCCATTTTATAGCTGCTCTCTGTTATTAGAACAATGAGGAAAAATAGATAATTCAGCCGTGTACTCTGACAGGATGAACCGTATAGGTAGTAATTCAAGATCAATTCTTGACCTTGAGCAAAGAGTATATTACCCTTAATTTTGACGGCGAATACACACGAATCGATAACTACTAAACCAATTTCCTCTTCACTCAACTCTTTAGGGCTCTCTGCCCCAAAAATAACAGGGAAAGGCAGGGGAAATCCAGCGTTTGGACATTCGTGTAATTTTGGCATGAAAAATGGAGGGTCTTTCCAACTTTTTTTTTCTCGTTTATTATAAGCAGTAGTTTCTATTAACTACTGGAGTGACATTCCAACTACTACATAATAGATACTTACCATGTAAGAATACCCTTAGCCCGGACAGCTCTGAAAGCATCGCCCATTGTACCCGAAGGGTAACCAATATACCATCTATAGAGAGGTATAACCAGATAAGGCTCTTCCCAAAACATCAAACTAGAAACGAATAACATCTCTAAGAGAGCATGGCCGACTTCAGAAGACCTATCAATGTATAAGCACGCCTGGTGACACTCTCCGTGCTATACATGTAAGGTTACCTTTCCAGCCAGTCCTATGTTGTGGAAGTTGGGTTGGCAATTTGTGGTTCAGGGGAGGCGGTTTTTTGGGGCATTCCCTTACCCCTTTAAATATCCATGTTATCTCTGACGGGTTGACATCCAGGCATCTTTCAAGCCCTGTCAAACTCTTCTTTTCTTCGGCTCTTTTACTCAGTGTTCCGTGGCGATTTTCATCGGACCAGCTTTTTTTTTTTTTTTTTTGGTTTCTATGGAATCGGACGATGTAACTACTGTGTATACGTGTGCGTGCATTAACTAGATAATCGTGCATATCAACCAGCAATTCTGCAACGGAGGAAAAGGGGAGATAAAGAGTTCGAGTACAGACAAGGCATGGATGGCAACGTACAGTTTATCCATACTACGTGCATGAGAACCATGTCGCTTGCTCCACGCCCCCGATACCCCCATATGTACATAGTAGAAGAAATACACATACAAAAGTATGGATGTCTAATTTTATAATGCCTGTTCCCAGACCGCTCTCTCTCTTTATCAGGGCATGGGTGAGGGCCTTGGTTCTCCTGATTTCCATAGAACGGTTTTCTTCAGGAAGATCCTCCTTGCAGGACTGGCCGTGGTACTCTGTCCCAGCAGACTGATTATCGGCAGGCGGATATGTCTTCCGGCAGCCGGGATAAACCGCTTCCATAAGATCAAGTTCTTACATAGCGTCTTACTGCATATGTAACTATATGCCGGAAATGTCACAGTGCAGGCATGTAATATACATCGTTGCGGATGATATGTCTTCAACGGAGCAACGGGGATAAAGAAAGAAGGATATGTAAAGTTGGAAGTAGCACAAATTATTCACTAAACGACCAGCTTGACTTTGCCTTCTCCCCCTGAGACGTATGTACGGAAAACCCCGTGGGCATGGAAAAAAAAACCAACGGGCGTACGGAGTCTATAAGGTAATTCAGGCGAGACAAGGTTAAAATATAACCTGTTAGGCAACATGGGCTCCTTTCATGCATGGTCTAGATACTTCTGTATGTGAAGAACCGAAACTATCAGAAAGCAATAATGATGTTTTGTTATGTCTGTACCTGTGTGACGCGAGCTATATATATGTGATTAGAATATAGAGGAGCACAGTTACCGTTGGGCTGTGATAACTGAGAAGAACGGGTCAAAAACCGGGAAGCTTGGTGGATCGACTGGTATGTTATGAATCGATCGGCCGTTGACCATAACATATATATATTACTTGTGTAGTCACAACAGGCCGTTGTCATACTGGGGGCCACAGTTATCCGGTGAGCCCTGGAGTGATACATAGCCACGAGAAACAGTACTTGTACCTGCATAGTGTTAACTAATCAAGTATATCAACCTGGCCGCCTGTCGACACCTTCTTTGTTGTCAAAAGGATCAGCCCTGTCCATCACCTTGGGCTGGAATGAATGATTCGCCTCCCGTTCTCTTCTAGATGCGTCGACTGAATTTTCTTCTTGTTCAGCTGGAGCCATCTTCTATTCGTCGGAGAGCCCGGCATTATTTTCCGATGGAGCCCTGAAATCTGAGGCTGAGAAAAAAAAAAAGGACGTTTCATTTCGTCCATCGGAAGAGATGTCGATAGGGCTGATGGGCTGAGAAAACAAAAAAAAAAATTGAGACAAGTTGAAGAAACAAAAAGGAAAAACAGGTGGCTGATGTCATCGCCCTGGCGAAGAGGTGTAGTATATATCTTTTTATCAGCCATTCTTGTTCGTTGTACATTGTAGACGTTTGATTCGTGGAGGGCGTATGATTGCGAGTGGAGACACCAAGGGGGATAGATCAAGATCTCATTTCAACTCGGATCAAATAGTAACTGATTGCTACTATGTATGTAAATGCTGAAGAGTGACAAGACCAGCACAGGCATTGCAATGTCGACCAAGCCGATCTCATAATTATACTACTACGTATGTATATGGAGTGATGGGTTGAAGAAGTCCTACCCCATGTCTTCGTTAGAGGAGAACGCAAAAAGAAGCAAAGGAGCTTAAGAGAAAGGGCCATGGGTCCAACATGGAACCATGAATGGGATTAGGGGGGTATATGGGAGATAATATATTATTTGATTACTACAGAGTTATATGATTCCATCCTCTTTTTTTTTTCGCCCTCTTCATCCACCAGAGACAGCAAAGACAATCCCAAGCAAGACAGACAGCAGAAAAGGGGGTCACGCCCCACCGGCGCTAGTTGGCAGGCCCTCTTATGCACTATCCCTCCGCAGTAGCGAGGAAGAGACAATGGGAGAATTGCTTTTTGGCACGGAGGAGCCTAAGCTGCAGCGAAATACGACGGGTTAATGAGAGAAGAGGCGTTGCAGTGGCTGGGGGTGTGTGGGAAAGTAGAAGTATATACGGAGAGTATATTATTGAGTATATACTTACATACAGATCATGAGACAAGCGATAAATTCGATGGTCAGCCCGTATCAGTTATGTATTTCCTTGCTATACATGCAGTAATTGTATGTAGTATTGCTTGGATATCTCTTCCCTTCTCCTTCCGCATGGTGTGTTTATCTACTATGTACGGATGATGGATAACAAAAACCTCAACGCATGTACATATCCGTCCGGATCCCTGAACGATGTCAAGTACGCCCATGAATAAGAGTGTGCTCGGGCGCATGACATGGCAGCTCACACTAACCCGCTCGAACTTACATATCTCTTTCTCCAGGATCAGGCTGGGATCCGGCCAGGACCCGGCAGGGATTGATCGCATCGTGAGATCCACGATAATTACATAGTATGTATAGAGCGAGTATACTTATATTTCCAACAGTGGAGATATGCCCTAAGGGGGGGCGCACAGCCGCTCCTCGACGCAAGACAGACATCCTCCCTGCTGTCTCTTCCTCCTCCTCTTCTTCTATAAATATATCTTGTATTCTATTTGTATTGAATGTTACCCTATGTAACTTTCCCGTAATAATACCTGCCGAGCCTGTTCCTGGGATACGCCAGATGTGCCTGAACTAGGCCTCTTTGGGCATATCTCGAGGCTATTCAACCAATAAAAGCCGACTACTCCGCCAAGCCGTCCTCCCGGTGTCCTCAGAGTCCCCACCCTTGGCTCCCCCTAGCCAATAAGAAGGCCGGAAGTGGATCTCTTCAGCATATCCATCTGCACCGTACGCCCTTTCTTTACCATACATAGTACATTACATGAGTTAAACCCTGCCCAGGTCGCTTCCCGTCCGTCCCATGAACCGTTGCTTTTCTTCTTCTTCCGCTTCATCTTCATCGTCCTCTTCTCGCTCTCCCAACCTCTCATCAACCACTTTCTCCCTCCTCCCTCTCCCCTCTCCCTCCCTCTCTCTCTCTGGCTACAGGTCACTGTGGCCGTCCGTTCCTTACACCAACGCACGCCTTCGTTCTCGTCGTGCCGTCTGTTCGTCCTCTTTCCGTGGCTTATCGCTGTCGCCTGGCTGTTTGCCGGCAAATATCAAACACCAATAACAACAGCAACACCCTTCTCTATACAAGGAGTTTCCGAGATATTTGGGGCCCTCTCTGGATGTACGATGAGTCCGGGCTCTCAGGATTCTTCATAGGAGAAGAAGAGCACGTCTTTTGCCGTTGTCTTCATTCATTTGATTTGGCAACATACGTGAAGCAAAGACTCGGAGCGAGAAAGTAGAGGGAAAACAAAAGGAGATATCTCTTCGATTCTTGCTTATACTTATTCTCCTGACTCTATCCTTCTTATCCCGTTCTTCGTGGCGGCAGATTTTTTTTTTTTTAATATCTTTTTTTTCTCAGTCATGACATCCATATCTCTCACGGCTCACCAGCCGTCTCACTGGAACAATCCGGGCAATGTACACATGCACTCACAGGACACTCCAAGCTATGACACGCGCACGATACCCTCTGCGCCCCTTCCGAATCCACCGTTCAGCTTTCCGGCTCAACCTTCGACAGACAACATGTCGAGCAGTTCACGCCGGACAAGACGTCAACCACCGGCCGCCCTACCTTCATTCTCTTTTCCTCAAGCACCCTCGGATTCTACCGCTTCGTCTGCTATAACGTCTACCGCCGCTCCCGTGTCTCCTGCTCTCGTTGAGCCTGCTCAACAAGGTACCATCGGCCACCGCCGTCTACCCAGTGAACTTCTGGGTGATGTCTCTTCCCAGACGGCCGTTAGCAGTAATAATAATAATAATACCATGATGGCACCTTCGACACTTCCCCATCCAGGCCCCGGACTTGCTGCTGGCCCAGGCCGAGGCGTACGGAGACACGCCCACCGGAGGTCTCAAGCCATCTCAAGCGTGGATTTGACTGCAATTGCCAAGGCGTTCCCACCAGTTCCTGTCTCTGGAAGCGTTCCAACTTCACCCATACTACCCTTTGCCAGTGATAGGAACTCAAAACTCTCTTCGCGATCTTTTCCGGACATGCACACTGCTCAGACGTCTCCTCGTAGATCCGAACAACCATCCCGAAATGATGAGGTTACTGAAGTGCCAGTAACGCTTCGTCGTCCCCTCTCGACAATATCGTCAGAGAGCAGCGTGTCCACTGTTCGTCCTAACCAGACCTTCTCGGATCGGTCTGGCTCTGGACAAAGAAGTGGCGCGAGCTCACCTCACAATGATACTTCAACTCGACCCAAGACTGCTGGTGCGCAGTTGGCTATGAAATGGATGACCTCCAGCCCGTCAAATGAGAATGAACAGACTAAAAGACCACTTTCTGCTTGCGCCTCCATTGCTTTGAATTTTAACCTAACAAACACTCACCGAGGCCAGGAGCCTGAAGATATGTCTGCTACTAATGGACCCGATACATCAGATCCTGAAACCGAAGATGCCGAAACATCCACGTTAACTCAACGAACGGCACACGAGCGCAAACCGTCGAAGAAGCAAAAGAAAAAGCGTTCTTGGACCGGCATCTTGACTCGTAAAGGAAAGAAACGTTCGTCGAAGAAGTCTCGCAAGGCCCCTACCCCTCCACCCATGCTTACAAGGACCAACTCAGAACTCGGATCCATGTATAGTGTTGATTTTGACCAGGATAACACTATAGTTATTCGCACTCCTACTACCCAGAATACCCCGAGAGGCCAGCCATCCAATGAATCGTCATCCACCGATAACAGCCTGGAAAATGCATGGAAACCGAAAAGCTTCTACGAACAACAGAGTAACCCTGACATTTTTAGCCCAGTTATCGATCTTGACGCCGCTCTTGGCCCGTTCAACACTCCCGAAATGGGACCTGAACGAAACATTGCCAGTGGTTTCATGATCGCCTCCAAGAGGATGTACAGCGGTGGCCGTCGCGGTGAATTCGTGGGCCCAGAAATGCGGTATCACAGACGAGCTGAGAGTGCGCCGGAAATGCCACCATTCGACCGCAGTTTCCTTGGTACTTCTCGGTTCGGCTTGTCGACCGCAATGGAGAACCCGGATGTATTTGATGAGGAGGAGGAAGATGCGTTTTTAGCGCAGAATGATGACCAGTCCAAGAAGAACACTAACTCGTCCAAGGGAAGCGCCAGTGTGAGCGAGTCGTCAAGCGAGGATGACGAAAGTGACGGCGAAGAGGCTGGCCTGGGTATACAAGTAGTTGACTCTAGCAACCCCCCCGACCTTTACCCAGCTTCTGTTGAAAGTCGCCCCAGTACCGCCCAAATCATTACTCCTCGCACTCCCTACGCTCATGCTATCGACTTTGAATCTCAGTCTCAACGCAGCAATAGCAATAGCACCACCTATCACCCTGGAAGCATTGGTATTGTGGGCTCTGATTCTGGCCAGACCTCCCCACGGAACTTTGATGAGAAGCGTCCCTCTACTTCGCCAGAGTTCATCTATAACCCCTCAAATGCCACCAATCTCACACCTTCTCCTGCAAACATACCCCCAGTGCCTATGATCCCACAGGCATTCCCCTCGCCCTCACCATCGAGTGTCTCCTTCGACGTTCCTCGCCTCAACACTGCTTCTTCCTCCTTCACAGACCGCCATCATAGTTCAGGTTCCGTGTATTCGGGTGAGCCAGGATCGGATTACCTCCACAACTCCTCTGAGGATGTCCCGTCCCTAACTAGTTCTGCGTCAACAATGACCGGCAACATCCCTCGGCTTCCTAGCACTGTCTATGGCCGCAACCTAGGTGACCGGGCCGCCTCTTTTTCCCACGTACTACACCTAAGCAGTGACAATAAAACTGTCAGCAGCAACAATCGGCCCAACTCATCGAAACGAGCTAGCCTAGTTAGCTTCTCGCGCCTGGTTGGTGCTACTTCCGAGCGCAGTAAGCTCAGCCACGAAGAGAAGGCACCCATGGATGAGCCTGACAAGCGCAAAAAGAAGGGCCATCGAATTACCCGCTTGATACAATTCTGGAAAATGAAGGATAAATGATAGGCAGCTAGACCAGACCGATAACCTACCACTACGCCCCGACTCCCCTTTTTTCTATCTTTACTATTCTCCCATCTTGGTTTCGCGGTGGCTCTGCTGGATTTATCCACCTTTAATTTCCAACCTTAGAGCTTTTCCTCTTTTTTCTTTTCTGTTTCTTTTTCCTTGTTTTGTTCGGAGTACATATGGGAGGCACGATATCACGGATGGAACTATTGACTTATGGAGATCTTTTTTTTTCTGCTCTTTTCTATTTGGTTTCTCTTTTTCTCTTCCATTTTCTGTGTTTGATTCTTATCACACAACGTTTTTCAAAACCCAATCAATGCTCAAAGCAAGTTGTTAGTTCAGCGACTTTCTTTTCTTAAAACAGACGAAACTTGCAAGTCATTCTTGTTTATCTACTTTGCTCTTCCCACCCGTTTCGTTAAATTCCTATCATTTCCTGCCTTGACTCCGGGGAGCCCATCGACGACGAACTCCTTCAAATGTTACCACACGCCTAAAGACATTTTTCCTTTCTACCGATTCCATGGTTTTCCTTACCATCATACCCTCATTGGCTTTCTCTACCTTTGTTTGATCATCTGCATTTCGGCATGCGTACTGGCACAGCAATTTTTCCTTCTTTCTCTCATTTATCTCCTAGTTTATGCTCTTTTTCTGCTTCTTTTCGGCTCCTAACGACCATAACCTTCTCGCCTCTCTTTAATCAACCCATCCATTTTGCCGTCTTTCCCCCAATCCCCACACACGAAATGCATTTCCTTACCTATCATTCCTTTTACTTCCTTCAAACTGACTCATGCACGCAGGGCACAGCACATGCAGAGACAAAAAATGTACGCATTTCTTTCATTCCTTTGCCTCATTGCTCCATGTTGCATTACATAGCAAGACTCCCCTCTCTTCTCCAGTTCGTGTCTCAGCCTACAAGTCTAGATGTTGCTCTGTTTCACTTCTTGCCCTCTTTCTTTTTGTTAGCTGCAGGGCGTATATCCCTTCAGGCTGGCTCTTACCTCCTTCTTTTATCAAGTCCTCTTTCATTCGGTGGGGGAAGTATTTTTGATTTCAATTCTTAAGGACCGCGGTAGAAAGGATGGGGATTTCGATGAGAGATTTAAAAAAACAGATACAGATACAGATACAAAAAATCCAGACACAGCAGAGTGCTTCCCTGAATTTGATGACCGAGCAAATGCCTTTCTAGTAAAAAGGGTCAATTATGAACTTCCGTAACCTTCATTCCTACTCAATCCTGCAGGGCTGCTACATCCGGTCTAGTAAGATGATCTCCGAGAACTTTGGACTTGACCCCCCGATAAGACCTTCATCCTTCCTGAGCAACGAGGGCTGGGAGAAATCGTGAACATAAAAGCATTGATGAACTCTAAGCTTCTAAGGCCCGGAATATCCCCAACCAACTCTTCAATTGCGCTTCTACCAATACCATCCATAAAGTGCCCCATGAAGTATCATTGTACTTGTGATGTGTAAATGCTCCGCATTTTAGGTAAGGTTGGGGTTTCTTCCTTGCCTCAAGCCCAGTATCGACCGCAGGACCCCATAGGCCACTGTCAAGATTGATACCGCTGCTAATACGGCTATCCTTGACCATGGGTGGGGGAACGGCAGAGCCACTGAATGAATGACTACAATGCCTATGCGAGCGTGAAGAGACTTCTTCAAGGCCGGGTTGAGCACGAAGATGGTATTCTGGACGTCGGTCCAGAATGGCTGGACAGAAGGATTAGGGGAGTTAACTGCGCTGCTAGTAATGATGTCTCCGCTGAGAAACGCGATGGTGTACATGTCGTGCAGGTGGTCGATGGCGATGACTGTATATCCAGCGCTGGATATAGTCTGAGCAATCGATGAATAGGCCAATGTCAACCATCAACCTGCGTGGATTAGCTGAATTGATATCCTTTCTGAACCAATCTGTAAGTTGAGAATTTCGCTCTGGACCTGACAAGGGCCTAAAGGCTTGGGTAAGAGAAGAGACGAAGGTATTGACCAAGCAATTACATTTGCAAAGAGGGAGCAAATGATTGCTCCTTTAGTAGAAGTCAGGTATTCAAGCATGTATCGGCTTGCGCGAAGCTGATTCTGAGGTGGAAGACAGAATGCAGAAAATACAGGGAATGGCCGTCCCTGGGTTTAAATATATAGCCAGCTTGTTGGTTAAGCTTGGAGGTACTGTGTGTCCATCATGGTCCTTCATCAGCTTGCAACTGGGGAGACAAGACAGGCATGTCAAGTTGACCCTTTCTAGTTATCGTTTAAAGTCATTCGTCTCGCCCTAGTTATAATCGTACTTTATTTTTTGGGCTGAAGCATCCCTCCGTATTCACTGGTGTCGAGTATAAAATCCTGCAAAGTGTGGAAGTGGTTATTTGTATTCCTTCAGCTACACTCAATAATACGCAGGCTATATACTCCCGCTGGGCTTCAGCCACCAATTTCTATAGGAGAGAAGGTCCTCCATATTATGGGACGATATATGGGGTTAAGAATATTATTTGGTTGGAGTTAATATTCTAGCCCTTCTCTTCTAGACGGGAATAGCTATTCAGCTGTGCTAACCGGCTGAGTTGAACGTGGGTGAGAAAGGTGAAGAACAGAATCAGAGGGCTTCCTAAAAGCCTACCTCGTTGTTGCAAATAGCTATTGAGGAGAGGATACAACTACGGAGCCGCAGTTCTCCGATAAGCGTGGACCTGGTACCTCATATCCTCAAGTCCAATGTTTTCTCCAACATTGTACACCAACCCTGTGCGGTCTCTCCTGAACCATCTCGATTCTTCGGATATGAAACATTCCCAGCACCCAATGGCCGTAGTGAGTAAAGTATGGTCAAGCAGGAAACGCATCGGGTATTTCCTCTCTGGCCTCTTCTCCTCTTCAGTGCTAGAAGTGACAGAGTCTCCACTGCTGGCTTCTCCCTGGGATCGAGCTCCCTTGGATCCAAGAGATAGCGTCGAATAGCTCCCGGGGCTGTCAACGACCAGCAATACAGCCCCAGGTTTCGTTATGTCGGTTAACCGTAGAAGCATCGCCACTGTGTCAGATAGGGAGGTTGAGAAGAGCTCGTTTAGTGTGAACATAAGCGTTATTAAGACTGTTTTGGGCCTCTGTGGCTCTACTCCTCCGCCCCCGTACAAATTTGTTACTTCCTTCGTAGGTGGCGATACTAGACGTGATAGTTGCTCTTCCGAAAGCGCCAGAACATCCTCCTTTTGGAACGACACAGCGAGATCCCCAGGCTTCAGCAAGGGAAGCTGGAAACCTGGATTCTTTATATGGAGTGACTCCGAAGTGCACCCTTGCAATAGCCCGTCGATCACTGGTTGCCAGTCAGCCACATCTAGGGCTGTGACTGAGAGATTCAGACTCGACCCCGCTGGGTCATCGAGACCAACTGCCCATCGTATAGCAGCAGCCAGTGCTACTACTTCTGCTCCTGCTCCGCCACCTATGCAGAGTATATGCTTGTTACGTATACCTTCTACACCGACGGGGGGGTAACCCGCCAACCCTGGTGGCCACGCGAGGTTGTCACTCGACCTCAATCGTAGAACAGCCTCAAAAATCCCAGTATAGGCGAGAGCTCTCCCAGCACTCCATCTGAGAGCGTAAGCTCGTAGCATGTCGGAATTAGCATCAGTAAAGGCGGAGCTGAAGTCTCTATTGAAGAGATATGACTTTATGGTTTGAACCTGCTCCTTCAGAGTAAGAGTCGTCTCATGCTCGGTAGCAGGCCTCGCTGCCAACCTAGAGGCAAATATGTCTAGAACCAGCTGCTGTAGTAGAATCGGAGCATCTTCAATGGATATCGAGAGATCAGTCAGTGTTCTTTGGGATAGGGTATCACTTTTTTTCGCTTTGGTAGTCTTCCGCGCCTGAGGGCGAGGTTTAGGCATCGCTACGGGCGTCTTCCTGAACTTGTCGCTTAGTTGAGTATTATATATTTGCTAGATATTCTCCCTCTTTTTTTGGAGATGAAGTGCGCACTGCTGAGTTGGTTGTTTGATCCAACATGATATTTTTGTTCCGATATTTTTTTTTTATGCAGTGATTTCACTTGTGGGCCACAACTTCTTCGAAACTTACTACAAATCCAACCACTTGCGCTTTTTGAGTGCAAAAGGCTAACAGCCATTATTAACGAGTGAAGAGACAGTAGCTATCCACCGTCTGCATAGCAGCATGCATATCTCCTTTCTTTGATACTGTATTACTCGGGCACTTTAGTCGAGATAACACCCTTCGAAAAGGTCATATATTAAATACGGAGCATATATGGTGGAGAAGAGAACATATAATTAAACAAGCTAGAATAGGAGCCTTGATACATCGCTTGAGGGAGAATCAGATTCTTGTTATACAGGCATAACAGACACGCCACAGTCTTGCAAGCTTCCTCTATGATCTCAGACCAAGTAGGAGGCCGGTCCCCTTCCCACCCTCCTTCCCACCTTCGCCGCCGGGGATATATGTGACATTGGGGTTTGAGGATAGCGTCTGGGCGATATCTCGGCTGGCTTCGATTCTTCGTATTTGAATCAGACCATCACCTGCTTTGGCGACGGCTTTACTGATAATATCAGCACTCTCTGCTTCTCCCTCAGCACGGATGACGTTTGCTTGTCTCTCCTGCTCAGCTCTCTCAACGATAAACCGAGCTCGTTCTGCGTCTTGCTGCGCAATCTGTTTCTGTTCGACAGCCTTGGTGAATTCGCGGCCGAAAGTCATATGAGTGATGGAGACATCCTCAAGTGCAATGTTGAACTCTTTAGCACGTCGAAGGAGGTCGGTACGGATGCGGTTTGAGACAGCCTCTCTCTGGGTGATCAGTTCCGCGGCATCGAATTGGGCAACAATTGACTTGAGAACTTCGTTTCCAATGGACGGGAGGACTCTCTCATCATAATCTTGTCCAAGTTGCTGGTTTGGTTTCGAACAATGTCAGCAACTATACCCAGCATGGCTTCACAATATTATTGTCCTTACCTGGTAAATCACAGGCAGCTTCTGAACCTCGGGTCTGTGTAGCACTCTGAGTGTCAGGCTGACCATCTGCAAATCCTTACTTCCGGTCGTTGTAGAGATATTTCTGGGCTTTGTCCTGACATCATATATAATGCTCTTCTGTAGCCATGGAATAAGGAAATGTGTGCCCTCGTTGACAACCTTCTCCTGCACACCAGAGAGTCTGTCGAAAATAACTGCGCGAGATCCTCCCTTCACATCATACATTGACGCCTGGACAAAAGACGCACCGACGGCGACCGGGATGGCATACTTGTATATCAACGACAGTGAGCTTGCCATGGCGAGTATGGTCTGGTTTCTGACCGGGGGCTCTGGGGACTTTATAATGTTGTTCGCAATGGATAAGTTACTTCTCTTTTCATTGGCGTTTCTTTGCAAGAGCTTTTGGAGGTTTTTCGATCTTGATATCTTCACCATGCCCGAAGCGGCTTAGCGCGGACACAGAAACCAAAAGTCCAACTTCTTCCGTTTTGACGAACTTCTCGACCTCCGGACCAAGCGATCAGTTATTCCCATTGTCGAACGCAGCAGCAAGTGTTCCTCGAGCCTGTCTCCTCTTTTTATCGTTCCCTTTTCAATTTTTTTGTCGACAGCATGGGTGGCCATCTCGACCCCAAGCATGGCGTGTAAGTGCATCGCAACCCTCTGCTGTCTCTGATATTACTCGGCATCATCTGGACTTCCCCGTCACGCGCAAGACGGCTTGAGAGACGGTCGAGATGATATAGTGGGGATACTTACTGACGACTGATTACAGGTTTCTGGGTGGATGGGGTAATTTGGGTATGTTTTGCTTCTCTCCCTCGGATTGTCCAGTACCGAACGAAACGGCCATGAGAGCAATACACGCGAGCCATGCTCTCCCGGTCCTACGATTCGATGCAATTTGACTTGACATTGGTCTATCCGCACGCCATATAATACACAGGACGGCTAATCTTTGTCGACTACCAGGCGTTGCTACCCCAATGAAGGGTATCACCACTTACTCCCTCTCCCAGAACCGCCAACGACCAACGGCCGGCATGCTCTACAATGCCTTCTTCAACACCTACAGACGGTCCAGGGCGCAAATCCTCTACGTGCTTCCTCCATTCATTGCTGCCTACGCCTTGATGGACTGGGCTACCAAGAAGTGCGTTTACCATTATGTTCTACACTCTCTACATATGTGCCCAGCAGACCCGATATTCAAGGCGTATATTTTTCCTATATGTTTGGCAACTGATGATGATTATAGGAACGAGTATCTCATGTCTAAGCCTGGCCGTCTTGCCACTGCTGGCGATGAGGAGTAGACTTGTTGGAGGCGCCAATTAGAGAAGGACTCAAAACTATTATTTGGTGATTGCGCTGTATAGTACTTAGAAAGCAATTGACATCTCTATATATTGTTTGGATGTATATGTTTGAGTAATTCACAGGGTGCGAAGATAACCCTTCCCCAGTAGCCACCATCTACCCCAGCAACTGATGGATAAATAATAAAAGAATAAGGAGATACGAAAGACTGAGTAAATGATAAAAATAAAAAAGAATTAAAAAAAATAAACAGAAATGACCAAACTGAGGCTCGATCTCAGGACCTTGTCGGTGTTAACGACACGTGATAACCAACTACACCATTCGGCCTTTTTGTTGTTGGATACTGCCTACTTTCGCTGCCTTTTATACGCTATAACAAGGGCATTTCCATACCAGGTTTAGCGTCGGTAGATTTTGAGTTTACGACTTCATAGCACCTTTTTTTTTTTTAGAGATTGTGAAAATTAAGAAGTTTTGCTTTCTCTTTGCTATCAGAGCGCCGAATACAAACCCCCTCAACGTTATACGAACCCTCTCTGAGCCGCCGGAGATCCTTTAGTTTTTATAGTACTCATAATGGCTAAAGACAGAGGTGATAAGGAGAAGAAGGAGAAGAAGGAGAAGAAGCGGTCGGAACCGATGGAGTGCACAAAAAGTCCAAGAAGGAGAAGAAGAATGTAGTGATCTCGAGAAAGCTGTGGAAACAGAATACTCGAAGACGCCAGACACGGATGTTGTTATCCAGATGTACATGTAACGCGACGAGCGAGGACGCCTCTGGAGCTTTAGTCCCATTCGCAAACCCCCTTGCCGAGACAAAGTTGCGAAGAAGGTGTTGAAGAGTGTGAAAAAGGGTGAGTTTTCCGTTCCCTCAGCCTATTCATAATTATCTTTATTAATGCCCTTTTTTTAGCTGCTGGAAACAAGGCTCTAAAGAGAGAGTAAAGGAGGTTGTCAAAGCTGTCAGGAAGTCTCAACACCATCTGCAAATGCCCCATTACCACACCATCCGCTATCGTTGTGCTTGCTGCCGATATATCTCCCATGGACGTGATATCCCACATTCCAGTTCTATGCGAAGACCATGGAATTCCTTATATTTATGTCTCCTCTAGGGCTGAGCTTGGAAATGCTGGTGCTACGAAACGACCAACAAGTGTGGTGATGGTCCTCCCCAAGGGAGGAAAGAACAAGAAGAAAGACGAAAAAGAATCTGATGACAAGAAGGAAGATTTCTCAGCTGTATATGATGAGTTGGTCAAAGTTGTTCAAAAGGAAACCAAGAAGGTCAAAATATAGAGATACACCCTTCTCTCTCCTTCTCTCTAATGGCCCGATTTCTCTGCGCTTCACCCGTGTTTCCTTGGTTTACTTGTTCGATATATCTCGTTTATGTTCCATGTTCGTTTTTTTCATCTCCATTGCAAACTTCTGCATACTGGCCATGAATTTTTCGACTTGCGTTCAATTTGGGAAAAAGAGGCTTGTTTGGCGATGTTTCTCTGGTCTGTTTTTGACCACTGTTCCCCTTGGTCCTTTCTTTCTTACGTTCAATGGCGTCTGTGTGTGTTTATGGTGTACCACGAGGATGGAATCAAAATTTCATATTCAATTTACTGGCATCATCATTTCTTCATCATCCCCATTTTATCAGAACCAGACGGTGGCACAAATATTACAGTGAGCGGGGAAATACTGGTTTATTTTTCCCCTTCTCAAGCATTTCCCTCAGACCCCAGCACATTATATGATGCGTTGGTCTTCCTCTCCCTTCCTGATATGAGATCCGATACGCCGTCAATTGAGGGTCCCGAAACGTTATGGGCATTCTTGTTTCCGATTTCCCTTCCTGCCTTTAGTCCTAGATCCTTTTTTGGACCCGGTGTCTGTGTTGGAGCTCGCATTTCTCGAAGGGCCATCTCCAAATCCACCTTCCGTCAAGTTCTTGCCCTTCGGCTTTGAGCCCTGCATTTTACCGAGTACCGGATCAACGTAGCGAGGTGCAGTGTTCATTGATGGGCCCGAAATAACTTCTCGTCCTATCTCAGAGCCTGAAGCCGCCCCTGAAGTCTCATTCTGGCCTTGCTGGTGCCTATCTCCTTGAAATTTTGCCTGTCCCTGTCCCTAAGTCTCCATCTGCGAGCGTGTCTCCGGTTCCCTCTCGCTCCATTCTGCTTCAACTAATGAGCTCTGCATCGGTGCTGCTGTAGCTGA